TCTCTTGCTTTGGAACACTCTCTTGCTTTGGAACACTCTCTTGCTTTGGAACACTCTCCTCCTGTTTTTGGATATTCTCAGCTTTTGGAGAGGAAGCTTTCATGACTTCCTGGAACAGCACAGCTTGTTCGACCAGAGCAGGCAGATTCTTTGATAAAGATAAACCCAAATTGCTGAGCCGATCTCGGATCTTATTGATCAGTTGCGCCATCTCGGTATCATTCTCCAGTCGAGAGTGAAGATTCGGTTCTTCCGGGCAGTATCTGCGCACCCACTCTTCAATGTGACTTGATACCTGGGGCCTCAAAATGTGTTGAGCCCAGTATAAAATGTTGTCTACGATACGGCAGAACTGAATAGCGTCCCACGTATCCATAGTATTCCCCCTCCAAATAGCTTGAATTTTCTGTCCATGATCGATTAGATGTTACCTCCAATTGGAAAGGACAGGTCTCACATGATCTCGGTAATGTGCATCAACAGCCTCAAAATAGACAATCCAAACAGTTATTTCGGGTCCACTATAAGTGATAGCGATGACTGGCGGCACGTGGCGGTCATTCATTTTATTGTCTCCAAATCTTGCCAACTTTTCGAACATAGCCAACGCTGTAGAAGCAGCTTTCAAGGTCGTTTGAGAAGGCTCACTCCAAGTGTCTTTGCATTCAAGACCTGTCTCTGCAGCGTGGTTCATTATGCACCAAGGGAAACATAATTCTTTGCGTCGAAGCAGCCCAGAACCGCGCCGATTCCTGGCAGGAAACTTCGCGTGATACGAGCCTGGAACACTTTGAAGCCCTTTCTTTGCAAGCTCATCAAGGACAGGGGACGAGAACATTTTTGAACTTGTCTCATCACCAAAACGAGCAGGATTCAGTTTCTCGACAGCTTGTATCCGAAAACCGAAGTATGATTCAATATCAAAGTCACCTATCGAACTTGCATCCAAAGTCGATTCTATATCGTCGAGCGTCTCCCATCCACCTCTGTTAATTGTCAACTACCTGCGAGTTCTTGAAGATAAGATATACATACAGACCAAGCGTATTCGTTGGATCTGGGCTGTGCAATGTTAGAATGGTTTCTTCAAGCCTTGTTCACCTGACCGACCATGAGCCACAAATGTCATCCATGCGGTGTCTGAATACAGCTCTGAACATGTTTTGGTACTCGGATGAGAATCGGTAGTAGTTGTCCTTTCCAAATTTTCGTGCCCCTTCTGTCAGTTCCCGCACGGCTGTAAAGAACTCCTCGTCTCTCGCTCGACGGGATGCTGTAAAACCGTCGGGTTTGTATGCTGATATTGGGATCGTATCGAACTTCTCAATCAGAGGACCCTCAGATTTCAAATAGGCCATAGCTGCCTGCAGAGTAATGAACTGATTGAAATTCAGAAGTCCATCTCGTACGAAATGCACGTGAGCTGGTAAAGGCTCTTCAACATCTTCGTCATTATCAGGAACAGCCGTAGGCCTAGAAGTCATATTTCTTCCGCTACAGTAAAGTTCTTAGAATTTGATAGGAAGATGTAGAAAGATGTTCAGCTGAAGCTTGACATCTTGTGTTCTCGCGCTTCAGATGTCAAGGGGTCGGTCGGCAGCCAATCAGAGAACCCTGGATGTTGGTTTTCTGTTTGAATCCGAGATACGTCACGTTTCAGGGGGGTTTGTGGCTGCTGCAGGAGTACGGGGTTCAAGGTGCAGATACCTGCCCTTTCAAGATGTGTGATAATTTTGCAAATGACAGCCTTGTCTTGCTGCGTTACTTTGCTCAGGTGATCGTCTCTTAATTTCATCGCACCTCTTGCATGACCACGAATGCGCACTTTTTTTTACACATTGTTCTTCCCAAGTTGCACTGACTGCATTCAAGAGGCGTACAAATTGCACCACAATTTTTGCAGCACTCCAAGGCAAAAATGCTACGACATATCAAAAGTGTGCCTATCTTACTGCCCATTCTTGATATCATCCGCAATCTTTTCAGCCAAAGCGTCTGGTAGAGTCAGTAAAACAAATGACCTTAGGTCAAGCCGAATACTTACAAACAGTACTCTGCGGATGTCCGGGGGGCAAGAAAGGAAAGGCACTGGCATCAACGACTCTCAACCCTTCGACGCCAAACACTTTAGCGTGGCTATCAACCACAGCCATCGAATCATTCGCAACTCCCATCTTGCAAGTGGAGCTTGCATGCCAAACCGTCTGCAAACTGCCCTTGATAGTCTATCGCACCTAGTTAATTCTGTCTCCATTCGCTAGAAATAAACTAGGCTCACCGAAAGAATCTCGTCATCAGTCTGAACATCAGCACCAGGGTAATACTCAGGTCCTTGAACAGTTCTCTGCATAAATTCCGTTTCAAAAGCCTGTCGCACTCGCTTATAAGCAGCAATAGCAACTTTTTGGTCTGTGGGAGATTGGAGATAAGCTGTATTAATGATCGGTAAGGTATTCGTGTCTGCGGAAACTACAGTGATGTTCCCTCGGGAACGCGGCGCTACGAGTGTTGCGAGAATAGTGGCATACTGTGAGCCGTCTTTGGGTTGGCCGAAGAGTAATGTGGACCAGTCGCCCACATAGCCAGCTCCTGATATGTACTCGATTTCGGGCCAATCGGCGGGATATCTAAGGTTTGTCAATCATCTTGAATCTTAAGGTAGCGGATGACTTGAGGGATGAAGTGCTTACTGATCAAGATCAGCTAATGCTGCCGCTCCCAACGTTGGTCTCAGAGATGCTGGCACTTTCTCCCAACCAAGAAAGTCGGAGACCGGATTCGCGAAGGGACCCGTTTCTGTAGCACCATACTGTGCGAACTCAGCAAGGAGATAAACTGGATCATTGGCAAGCTTGGTGAAAGTTGTCAAAGCGACTCTATACGCCGGACCAAAGAAAATATGATCTTGCATATTCTGTCCCACGCCTGGAAGATCCTGTACAAGAGGCACCCCTAGAGCTTGTACCTGTGCAGCAGGTCCAATCCCAGAGACTATCAACAATTGCGGGGACTGAAAGGCTCCTGCGGACAGGATGACTTCTTTGTTGACGTTGATGGTATAAGGGATAAGGTCAAGGTCCTCGACATCGACGCTGATTGCTTTCTTGTTCGCGTCAAAATTTACTTTCTTCGCCATCGTGAGAGCGAACACTTTGAGGTTGGATAAGCCTTCTGAGATAGCTTCATTGAGGAAAGAGGTTTGCGAAGAATCCCGAGTCTCGCCTTCTGGTCTGATTGTTGAGGAGCAGTATTGACATCCTAGCAATGAGCCACTGTTGAAGTCTTGAATAGTTGAGATGCCTATTTCGTTTAGGCCGCCTTGCATGTAGCCTACATGTCTTATTAGCATTGCCATCAATCATTCTGATGGGCAGATATTCTTACTGCTGAAACTTTGAGCATAGTTTGAATACGATACCTGGTCGATTAACCCAGATGAGTTACACAACGTCATTAATAAGACCTCGGGGACTGCTCACCTGTAATGGCCCTCCTGTGGCACTAAAAGCGTCTGCATTGTATGAGGGAGTCGCATTTACAGCCCGTAACAGACCTGGCGGGGTAAAATTCGGACTTTTCTTGTAGTAAGGAAGGAAATTATCAAATGTGTAGGACTGATCGTCAACAGCATCAGCCCAATTTTGAAGCGACCCAATCGTAGGTCTTTGGTAAATCATAAAATTCCTCGCAGAGCTGCGGAATATCAGTAACATGCTAAACTAGCAGAAATTATTCAACAGTATACATACCTTCCACCCAGACATTTTCCTCTGGCATAAGACCGCGCTTGATTGTCAGAAGCGGGGTCTTTTGAGGTAAAGAATCCCCAATCGACAGTTGGCAGAGTCTCACTCGTTCCTGACGTATGTATATAAGCTATTCGAACCTTTTCACCAACGTCTGGAGAGTACGGTACTCACCAACAAAGGTTACATCTCCAGCAGGGGTCTGTTCGAGGATAGGATCCGTGACCTATTTAAGTAATCAGCATAGTAGAAAAGTGCAAATGAAAATATACCGTTTGTGTCCGAACGCCAGCTTCACTTCTTGGCTCTACATTCGCTCAACCGCAGAGCGCTTATATAAGGATTTGTATGGATATTCACATACTTGGTAAAGAGAGCCTGCTTCAATGACAGCGACTGTGGCAGTAGGGTCCTCCGCCAGTCTTTTTGCAATCGTCAAGCCGCCTGTTCCTCCTCCCAGGACAACATAATCAAACGTCAGATTTGCACTGAGGGTGCCAAGTAAATCTCCAAGTAGGTCTGCAAGGGTAGAATTGGTTTGGCGCCCCTCATGTCTGATGGGTGATCCGGCAACGGTTGTTGCCAGAGCTGCAAAGGTAAAGAGTCCTGGCTTCATGTTGGATAGTAAGATATTACAAGTTAGAAGACCGCAGCACAGTCACTCGACGGTATGCAGAAAGTGGCTGGCTTTAATGTATTATTTTCAGACCCGAGTTCTTATTTTGATATGCGCTCTACATCCTCCTTTTGGAAGTGATTAGAGACAGGGTATATATCTCGGTCCAGAACCAGGAACATGGTGCTCGAGTATGCCTAGGTAGGCAATGTGTCGATCAACTAACGTGAAGTGGCATGTCGAGGGCCAACCAATGTTCTCGTTGCTGTCTCGCTAAGCGTTAGTACCCGTAACAATGTTCAGGGGAGAGAGCGAAAAGAGTGTTGATGCGAGGTCCGGGGTAGCCCCATGTCTGAAAAGAGTGCCGGGCGGGGTAGTACCGAGGCCCACGTGAATGTTTGTTAAATCCTAGTAATAACATTATGCTTAATCTGCTTAAGCTTGCTACAATGCGTAGCAAGTGATGTTATTGGCAGTAAGTTCTCCTTGCTATTTTTGCTCTCATTGCCTGATGTGAAAACGTAATGGAAGCCAAGCGCAATTGCCACGATTCCTGTCCCAACCCCAGATCCCAAACCAGCACCTGTTTTGAGAGTGTTAGTGTCCTTAAGCAAGCCGCATTTTTTGCCAAAACAAAATGCATCTTCTTTTCGTAATTGACTTTAAGTAATAACAAAGCGAACTTCTTCGCGAAACGACGTTTGACTTACAACCTTACAGTTCTTGGTGTCTATGTCACAGATTTGCCGAGCGCCACGAGCCTTTCAGAACTGCTTCTATTGATCTATCTATTTTGTACCATTCATCAGCTCGCGCAATGAGAAGCAACTCCTTGCAAATCTATACGTCTACAACACCTCATTCTTGACCTCGCCTCCAGCCCAAGCTTCAATATTGGCAGCAACAGTTGTCCTCAACTTCTCAATGCTGCTTTTCGCCCACCACGCCAAATGAGGACTCAGCACCAATCTGCCTTTCATTGAATCGTCCTTCGTCCACTCATTCGCTGCTCTGACCAAAGTACTGTTCTTTAGTCCTGCTGGCTCCTCGAAATACACATCTGTCGCTGCTCCCAAGATCTGTCTCTTCTTCAGTGCTTCGACCAGAGCTTCTTCATTGATGATCCCGCCACGAGCTACGTTCACGATCAATGCATCCGATCGCATGGCCGCAAGCTCTTCGCTGGATATCATGTTAAGTGTTTCAGGTGAAAGCGGTAATGTGAGGAAGAAAGCTGTGCTGGATCGGATACATTCGTCAAATGCCATCCTTCCTTCTCGTACTTCGCTTGCGGCAACACCTTTGCGTTCGGCAAAGCGAACCTTCATATTCAAGGCTTTGCAGATATTTGCGACTCGACCACCTACTTGTTGTTAGTCTTCAAATTCGATCCTAACATGACCACGTGACCATCTCTCCTTAATTCGGTTGCAACAATGCCCCAGCGCTGAGTGAGAATTTTGCACAACAGGGAACAATCCTTGAGAAAAGACGAAAGTACTCACCCAATTCTCCACCTCCCAAGATCGTCACAATCTCCTCCCTACAAGTCCCCGGACATTCTCCAAACTCATCCTTCAAACTCATTCTCAGCGGCCAATCCACCCCCGGAAACGTCAACTCATGCATCCTAACCACCTGTCTCCTCAGCGAAAAGAACAGCGCAATGGCGTGCTCAGCAACACTCTCATTACTCGCTGCTGGTACGTTACACACTCTCACGCCATACTTCTTGCAAGCTGCGAGATCAATCATGTCGACACCAATGGCCATGGCGCAAACGAGCTTGAGGTCTGGACATGCTGCCAGAGTCTTCTCGGAGATGGGAATTCGAGTGGTGATGGCGACATTGGCAGGCTTTGGAGAGGTGAGATGTTGGATTATGATGTCGTCCGTTGGGGGCGTCTTCTGGTATGCAGCGTATGTGTGCTTGAAAGTGGAATTGAAGGTGGAATCTGGACAATGGATGGCATCGAGGCGGACGATGTGAGGTGATGTTGATTGAGTCATTGCTTTTGTCCTGTACGTCAGTCTGTCTTAGCTTGGAGATTGAGATAGAAAAAACTCATTATTTTATAGAGTAGACGAGCAGTGAAAGTGACTGAGCGACCTAGGTAGAGGTGAAGATGATTACTTCGATTATATAAACTTTTAGCGTCGTCGTAGGCAAGGCGGCATCACGTGAATAGTGGAAACCCCCATCGGAAGCGACGACGGAGATCTGTCGGCATGCACATCTCACTCCTAGGCATCCTGAGGCAAGAATCAGTGATCATGGAAGTGTCTTAGCAGAAAATATCTAAACATTAGAGTGGCGAATCTATGAACAAGAGAAAGTGAGTCTAATCGTTCAAGGAAACGCCACCTCATGCTTTGGTTGTGACCCTTCCCATATATGCGCTCGAAGGACCAGTCTATATATATGTACAATCTCTCTACATAGTACTGTACAACTACAGATACCTCTTCTCATGTATCTCCTCGTACGACTGGACTTGATCTCCAACTTGGAAGTCAAACCAGTCATCAAAGCCCATACCACATTCACTCCCCTTTCTCATCTCTGGAACATCTTTCTTCACGTTCTTGAGCGAGGCTAGGGTACCTAAACAGGATCAGCATAATCCATCAAATACCAGAAGAGAAGACAAACCATCATAAACCTTCTGGCCGCCTCGCAAGACTCGAATCTTCGCGGTCTTGCTAATTGTCCCGTTCCTGACTTTACAGCCAGCAACAGCCTTCTGTTGACGTCCCTTCACATTTATCGAGAATATGTGAGCGATTTCGGCTTCTCCCATGACTTTCTGCGTGATTAATGGCGGAAGATGCTTGCTCAATTCTGCTTTCACCTCATCTACTAGTCTGTAGATGATGTTGTAGTCCAAAATTGCCACTTTTGACTCTTCGGCAAGTCGAGCAATGTGCGGTTCAACAGGAGTATTGAAGTTAATGAGAATACCCTTCGCAGCTGCTGCATGTTCAATGTCGAATTCAGACAATTGACCAACGCCAGAGCGAAGAATGTGAGGTTGGACTTCGTTGTTACCCAAGCCAGCTATGCTGTCGATCACGGCTTCCACAGAGCCACTAACATCACCCTTGATGATAAAATAGATCTCTCTAGGTCCGCTCGATTTGTTCTGTTTGGTGGTCTCGGGAAGAACATTCTCGTCTGCTTCGGCTGCTGCTGAGGCTTCTGCTTTTTCGCGTTCCCGTTTCTCTTGCTCTACCTTTCGATGCTCGTTGATCGCTTCCATGTCCTCGGCAAGTTTGTCGCGCTCTTCCTTTTCGAGTCTGTAATCCACAACACTCTTCGCCTTGCTTTCATCAGGAGCTTGGAGAACTTCGTCCCCTGCAAGAGGTTGTTCACGCCAGCCATCAATCTCGACGGGTGTGCCTGGACCAGCCTCGTCGATTTCTATGCCTGCTTCGTTACGCAAGCAGCGAATTCTTGCCCATGTTCTTCCAGCAACAATAAAGTCGCCAGGTCGCATAGTACCACGTCGGACGAGTACTGTCGCTACTTTGCCCATGGATTTTATGCTTGCTTCAATAATCCATCCTTCAGCTGGTCCGTCCCGCTCAGCACGCATATCAAGAACATCGGACAATGTGACAGCTGCTTCTTCAAGTTCGTCCATGCCTTGACCGGTCTTGCCACTGACACAAACAACTTGAGTATCACCACCAAAGTCTTCAACATCAACACCGTGGCGAGCCAGGTCTTGCTTAACACGGTCGATGTCAGAGTCTGGCTTGTCAATCTTGTTGATCGCAACAATGATTGGGACTTTTGCTGCTTTGGCATGGTTGATAGCTTCTATCGTTTGAGGCTTGACACTGTCATCAGCTGCAACTACTAAAATTACGATATCGGTGACATTTGCGCCTCGTTGACGCATACTCAAGAAAGCTGCGTGACCAGGAGTGTCGAGGAATGTGATGACTTTTCCTGAGGGCATGGGAACCGAGAAGGCTCCGATATGTTGAGTAATACCTCCATGCTCGCCGGCAGCCACAGAAGATTTTCTCAAATAGTCCAACAAAGTAGTCTTGCCGTGATCAACATGGCCCATGATTGTGACAACGGGTGGTCTTTGAGGTAAGACTGATGGATCAGGAGCCGGTTCCCTTGCCTTCAGATCCTCGCTTTCTCCACGGTCTATGATGGGTTCAAAATTGTACTCCATGGCAATGAGACCTGAGGTTTCAGCGTTAAGGATGTAATCATGCGCTGTCTCCTCAAATCCAAGCTCTTCCATCTTGTACACGAAATCTTCAAGTCGGACTTTCAAAGCCATAGCCAAATTGGAAACACTGATATATTCTGGAAGAAGGATTGGTTGCGCAGCCAGAATTTTGGCGGCCTTCTTGGCAGCTTTTTCTTGTTTCCGTAGCCGTTTTGCTTCGGCTCGTTCATATGCTTCTTCCTCGGCAAGTTCGTCTTGTTCGTAACGGGCAAACTGCTGTCGCCTGTTTGCTTTATCTTTATCTTTACCTCGCGGCATATCGTCGTAGACAGGCTCGTCATCCTCCTGCTTTCCTCTTGTCTTTTTTCGTCTCGGGCGTGAGCGTTCTGCCTCTTCGTCTTCCTCTTTTTCAAAAGCCTTCTTCTCTTCGACCCGAGTCTTTGCTGGTTTAGGTGGCTCTTCCACCTTAGGAGCAAACATGGGCGTGAATGTAACAGTGGTGTCTTTGAGAGATTGATCAGCCGCTGCTGACACTGAACCAATGGCTGTTGGCTGGGACTGTACAGGCTTTGATTCTGCGTCAGGAATGGATTTCGAAAAGTCTAAGCTGCGTGAACCCAGCCGCTTCCCGGGAGGTATCCCAGCTTTGCTGCGATCCAAGTCAATGGATAATCCCATGCTGATTGGAACATATCGAGCTGATCTAGCTTGCTCTTGCCTTTGTTCGCGCGCCTTCTCAAATCTAACGGATGCAGATTTTGCTTGCACTGGAAGCGCCAATGCTTGTGCTGCTTCTGGTACAGCACTCTGCTTCGTAGTTCTCCTCAACTGCCTCCATTCATTCTCGGGCTTCTCGCTGGCTTTGGCAAGATCTTTGGCAGAAGGAAGTGTGAGGTCGCTATCACCCATGACATGTCTCGCTCTAAACCCCGTCCCACCTCTGCTTTTCAGGTCTTCCTCGTCTTGCTTTTGTCTATTCCAGTTGTGAAAAGCTAACCTCCGGGCCTTTGCTTTCTCTGCTTCTGCTCTTCGTTCTGCCTCTGTCGAACTCTTGGGCTCTGGTCTGCCGGCCCGAGTTGCTTCAGGACCAATGCCATGAAATCTAAGGACGGGTCTTCTTCTGGCTTGCTCTTCTTCCTCTATCCTCACAGCTTCTAACTTTCTAGCCTTCTCTAACTCTTGCAGCATGTCTCGGGCACGCCGCTCCGCCGGTGTAAGATCATCCATATTAGACGCCCCATCTATCCTCGGGCTTACCGCTCCTACACGCTGCGGTATTCGTCCTGGTGGTATCCCATTGCCTCCAGTTCTCTGCCGTGATGGACCTGGCGGAACGCTCCCTAAGCCCGAAGAGCTGCCCCATGTAGCGGATGGTCCTGGTCCCAATCCTGGTGGTCGTGTAGGACCCAGTCGACCCCAGGACGGTTGAGAAGATGGAGCATCATCGACTTGTCGGAGTGCGGCGGCTTCTGCAGGTGGTTTGGCTATCGACTGTGAGGATTGTAGATATCGGCGTTGTACATGTGAAGGTCTTCGAGCTTGTCCAAGTCTAAGAGCGCAGAATGCGCACAAAGATGGACAGGACTGATCCTGTATTCAATTAGTAAATTAAATATCAGTAATTGATTACCATACCTTCAACAAACTGCGACCTCTCATTGTCCAGGCCTCAGATGGCGTGCAGAGAATTCAGAGTTCAACATCTGTCGATGCTAAATCTTGAAGATTCATTACGGGTGACGAAAAGTACCATTGACGACGGAGTCTCTCGGAGGCCGGAGAAAGCGGCCGCTTGCCTATAAGGTAGGGCTAAAGAAGTGCTCACCGCCCTTCGCTCAGTTGTATGAGGCAGAACGATCGAGTGGTGGCAATTAAAGGCGGTGAGCACTTCTTTAGCCCCGGCACAATTGTAGACGTAGACTTCTTGATTCCTTTGTCCGCGATCTTCACAACTTTTTCCACTCAAGGCAGCAGGATGCCTCCCAAAGCAAAGAACAAGGCGCGTGCCTTCAAGTCGACGTCTGTGACAACGAAATCATCCTCATCTCCTTCTCTTGACCCTCCAGCTCCTTTCAAACGAGCTCCTATTGCGTACGAACCATTCCTCTCGAACCTCCAGAAACACCATGTCTACATTGCGCATATTGATTCCAAGCCTCGAGACTTCAAGCAAAAGATCTTTCTCGTCCCACTTGTTCTGAATGTTGCTGTTATTGCGTTGGTATTATGGCGGATAAAAGTTATCGGGCCATGGTATATGAAAATTTGTTTCTCTTTGATGGGTAAATTCAACGACATGACGATCGATACCGCGCGGACACCTGTGGACACCATGGCTTGGGAGATCATAAAGAGAACTGCCGTCTTTATGATTGATCTTCTTATATATGTCTTTGTTTGGTTGCCATTTCCATGGGATTTCTTCGTGGGCCGAAAAAGCGGAAGCCCTGTTGCGTGGAGACTTGCAGTGGGATATCAGAACAAAGAGATTATTGTGAGAAGAAGTCGAAAATGGTATTCCACAGTTGGACACCCAGTTGAAAAAGGAGAAGATCAGGAGAAACTGTTCGCGGTAGTCAAGAAGGCTACGGATCCAATGTGGATGAGCGAGAAGACAGGGTACGCCATGCTGAATACTGAGTGGGATCTGGACTGGAAACTGATGGTCGTTGCTACCAAGTTGGTTGATAACAAGCAACTAACCATGGACGACTTCAGGACAATGACATTCGTTCACTGTGAGGAATTCGGTTGGATGGTCATTGAAAGCGCGCAAGCTGGAGGAAGTGCAAAAGAGGAAGAAGGGAGAAGAAAGATAGTGGCTTTCAAGGATGAGCTCACTGCTATGGGCAAAGAGAACCTCTTCTTTCGTTGGATAGAGCTTGTGCAGTACGAGTCTTCCAGGCCTGGCGGATTTGGACCTGAACAACAACGAAAAACAATGGAGAAGGCAAGAGACCTGTTCGAGGCTCAAGGAGTAGACTTTGACAGATTCTGGGCAAAGATAGGCGGTATGCAAGGCATGCCAGGCATGGATGAAATGTAATTGTATGATGAAGTTGCCTTTAAAGCGCTTGCATGTTTTATGTATGTTCGTCGATACGCGAAGATCCTTACGTTCTATCGAGGAACATGGCTTCTCACTCGACAAGCGTTTGTTTGGGCATCTTTCCTTTGCGAGATATTATCGGAGGTCGGCACTTGTGGCCTAAGGATTTTTTTTTCGTAGAGGTGAATTCAAAGTAGCTACTTCGCTAAGTACCTGCAATACCTCAAAATCCTCGCTTTGGTCTTTACATTTCACATCGGAAACGCTCCACGTTCGCTATCAACTTCCACATCAACACCATTCGACCAACATGGCGAACAACCCAGGTAATACGGGCACCAACCCTCCAAGCAATGGCAATGGCGCAGCTCTTGATGATTCCAATGGTATCCAGCTAGAAAATGATATTCTGTATCTGGTCTTCGCGCATGTAAGTTCTCCGCTTCAACTAGGTCGGCGCGAGCGCAGCAGCAACCTCTTCCTTCTGCAGCTACGCGAAACTAATAGTCCCTTTTAGTTGCCAAGATCCACACAACAGAAGGTTGCTCTCGTCTGCAAGCGATGGAATGATATCTGTTCGCCGCATATCAACCGCGTTGTGGACATCGCTCTTAGTGCGGGATCGCGTCAGCGCAATGCAGGTTTGCTCCTTCGACTTGGCACTGACTGTGCTCTGTCTTCTCAGGTCTGTGTGCTTAGGATGGAAGAATGTACGTCAATTTGAGCCTAGTTTATATACGTTGTAGGAGCCGAGATCTTTGGGGCTCTCTCCGGAAGTTGCACATCAAAGGAGTTGTCGTTTCAACTCCTCGGATGAGCTCCTTGGCTCCCAGATCTATATCAAATGTGTATACTGATTCGTCTGATAGGGTTACCTCCAAGCAGTGTTGAGGTTTGGAAGAGAGGACAATCAGTGGGGACGACTTGACAGACTTCTGGCAACTCTCCCTCGACTCTACCGATCATGAAGACCAGAGCCCTCGAGGACAATTACAGCAATTGATCAAATTGATCCCTGGTTTGGCATTGAAGACTGTGATGTAAGTGACTCGAAGCTCTTCTATTTCTTTAACTAACATACAAAAGTTGGGTAGGCAGACCAACAGTACCAGAAGCACTTATCACCACAATGTCGGAACTCACCCTCGTTGATTTCGAGATTACTTCCCGAGATATGGGCGAATCGTTGGCACCTGCCCCTTGTCGATTGCCACGAACCCGTCTTAATGTCTGTCGTACACTTCTTAGCACAGGAGTCATAAATATCACGACACTCAAATTCTGCATTCCCGTCGGCCCCGAAAACGGAAAGCTACTATGCCTCTTCGGCCAAGCCATTCGTGCCTGCCAAAGACTGAAGACTCTCTCAGTGCGTGCACTCATGCCTTCTCGACGAAGTAATGCAGTTATGAAGTGCCCATGGGCCAATGCTAGCGATGGAATTGTGCCGTTTCCTCCTGTACGCTATCTTCGTCTCTATGATTTCCACCTGGATCCGGCTTCTGAGAAAGACAAGAATGCATGGAAGCAGGTTGTCCAATGGTCCGAGGTTGTGGAATTTACGACGACTTGCAGCGCTCTGTTCTACTCCTATCCAATGCCGAAGTTGCGGTGCTTAAAGTTGCTAAGTGATAGATGCGAGCTCATGACTGCTCCAGGAGTCACTGAGCCCGAGAGTAACCCAACGCGCGATGCTCTGCTTGCCTTGCCGCCACTGCTCAACTTGGAACTGACCAACGCAAATGTTCTCCTCAACAACGATGTTTGGAATCATCACAAGAACACCTTGACTTCTCTCACAGCATGGTCACGCACCCACCAAACCATCCCTCTCGATTCTGACTTCATCGCCGAGATGCAACAGCTACGATCTATCACACGCCTATCCATCGGTGTAGCTCATCCACGTCCTCGTCGTTTCCAAATGGGTGGTCCACAAACAAACACCGGTACCGACGCCGTAGCCAGATTCTCTGCCGTCGAGCCGTTCAGAACCATTCATCATTCTGTCCAGCACCTACTTTGGATCGAGCATCTCGAGATCGGCATGCTCCCAATGCAAGTCGATACCGCAGTCCGCAGCTGCCGCGAGCTTTGGAATTTCCTCTGGGGAACGCTGATGGTGTACGGCGGCGCAGAGCATGGTCCGAACTGGCACCCGCAGTTGCGAATATTGCACATCAACGCTAAGATTGCTGACTTCGGCCTCGTTCATCTCGTTGTCTATGCGCGAGCAACCCTCGATGGCTCGTGCGTTGTTCGCTGCATGCAGCTGGAGCAACTACGTCGGTATGAGCGAGAGTATGGTGAAGATCCTGATGTTCGCGGCCTTCATGAGTTGGTGACGAAGTGGGAGGCTTTTGGTCCTGACAATTGAACTGGTGCTAGCGATGATGAGGATGACGTTGAGTGCGATTATGACTTCTCTAGATTGGCGTTGACCTGGTCCGCATCTGGGTAGAAGAGTCTGGAGATACGTGATATGCAAATTAGGGGAGCTTGGCCTGAACTTCTTGTAGATTACCCAGACTAACTGACAAGCTGTGCTCCCCTGAAATAAAATAAAAATCCTTAGTAATCATGCGTTTTGGAGACGTGCTCTACAGTGAAGGTTTGAGATAAATCTCCTAGAACCCAACATTTGGAAAGACAAACAGACTGTTGTTGAAGAAATGCCTTCACGTAAGTCATTATCTCATTAGCTATATCAATATCAAGATCGATCTGACACATCCTTGACTAAACAATCCCTTTCAGGTAGCTACACATTTCGAACTTCCAGCCCATACCCCTCACAAGACCACATTATTACGAAGACTCATTTCTCCCCCCTACTACATCCCAAAATCTTCTCACTCACCACCCCCCAACCCTCGGCCCAAAATAATCCCCTCCCACCCCGGTAACCGTCCTCCTCACCGCGGTATAACTAGCATCCAACGTCTCATAAACCGCCACATTCCCCCACCACTGCGGGATCGTCACACTCGGCAGCGTAATCGCAAAAAAGATGATGATAGTACTCAGTACCAGGCCTGAATCGAGAGCCGCTGCTGTCACGTAGTTGTAGTTGTGCCACCAGCCCGGGAAGCGGGTGCGGATGTAGGCGTTGAAGAGGAGGCCGAAGGCTACCCAGGTGGAGAAGGAGAGGGGTGTTGCGCTGTGGGGAGTTAGAAGATTGTGAGGAGAGGGGATTTGGGGGGGAGGGAAGGAAGGGGGAGGAAGAGGACGTACGGAGGGAGCCAGGCCATGGCGCCGAGCATTACGGGGGCGTTGAGGAGGCGGAGGGGAGAGCGGGGGAAGTAGCGCATGAGGATGTAGAAAGCGACTGGGAGGAGGGCGCCGAGGAGCCAGAACCAGTTGATCGATGAATAGATGGAACCTGGCCCGAACATACGTTCTGGGCCGATGACACCTGTTTAAAAGTTAAAAAGTAAGTATGCAGCTAACCTGAAGGACCTAGTGATAGAAAGACATACCCCAAACTATACTTGAGGAGAAGAACGTCCTTCCATTTGGACAGGTGAAGTGAGATGATTGTTCTTGTGTACATACACCGTCGATTGTACCAAGAGTCCAGTTCATGACTGCTATCTGAACGAAGCAAGCCCAAATTGAAGCGACGACCTGGCACCAAAAGACGATTTTTGGTGGGACTTTCATGTAGTGAGCTAATTTCAGATCACCACAGTATGTTTGACTAGAGATCGGTTAGCTAGGTACGTTTAGGTTTTGATGTTGAGACTAGTGCTTACGCTTGGCCCAGCGTGATGGTGCTGAAGACTTTGAAGATCATAACACCGATCTAACCGTCGCCGGTCAGAAATTACTATCGTTCTCCACGGAATAATTATACGTACAGGCTTTCCAGGAATCATGAATCCAGCTAAGAAAGGTGAGATGACATTTAGAGAGAGCATAATGTTCGTCGTCGCCAGAATCATACAAGTTGGTATCTACCCATGTTAGGCGAAACTTCACTTTCGAACCAAGAACTTACAATGAAAATCAAGCCGATGATATTGGAGACGAAGAAACCCCACCCTAGCAGTTTGATTAGTTAGCAGCACACCAAGATTTAGAAAACTTACAAGGTAACTGAGAATCAAATCCCAACGTAGTTGCCAAGCCGAGAGCAATCGAGCCGACAAAAAGCACAACATACCACCAATCCGGAGCCTCGGGATATCTTTTCATCAACTTCATATGAATGTCCGGCTCCTGATTCCTGGCTGCCTTGAATCTATACCAGATCTCGCTCCCATTGAAAAGCACTGTCTGAACGATAGCTGCTGTCAGAGCTGCGAATGAGAGGCCATAATTCAAGATGAACGTTGGAGCAAGGAACATTGGGCTGTAGGATTTGTATGCTGCAAGGTCGAATGTGTATTCTGGAGTCAAGATTCTCGAGACATTGTAAGCTGATTGCGTGTTGTCATAAGTGGTGGAAGTGCTCATTGGAAGATAGTCTGAGTAGCTGTCGAGAGTTAGTGGGGTCAAATGTTGGGACGGCGGTACGGACAATGTGTTGGTGTACGAAATACCAATCGACGAAATGATGACGAAGATTACAAGACCTGCGAGGGTGTTGTACATTGCGTGTACGGGTGCAAGCAAGGGGTCATTCAGATAACCAGAGACATAGGTCCAGTCGAAAGTAATTGGTATCAACGACAATCCAGTGTACCCTCCAAACAACTGGTTGAGTACTACATTGTTCGGTTTAATCCCTAGAGATCAAATGTCAGTCAGTGATCCAGTCAACTTAGGATATTGATGCCACTTACAAGTAATGAATGCGAATACTGAAAGTCCCTGCCACAAAACCCCAGGCACCCAGTACCACACAAAAGCTCCTAGTGTCAAATATAAAAAGTATCTGTACCTCGAGATAACCCACCCATTGGTCATCGAGGCATCCGATCTCTTCTTATCATGAAGAGCATAGAACAAAGAAGTGCTCGAGAATTGACCTGGCCACATCATTGCCGACGGCCTGAAAGGGGGTGTTAACGAGACACATGCAGGCAGATCAAGTACCTACCAGATCAAGAACCTGCGAAACATCCCAGCAAGAGCGATACCAATCAATTGACTACTAAGAGTAAACAGCAACTGGAACCCCCATCCCAAATCAATATCATAAAGCGGCTTTGCCTTCAAAGCCAGCAATGCATCGGTACTGTACGCATATCCAATACTAACACTCGACATCAACGTGATAACCACATGCTCCTTAATCGTAAATGGCCCCGTATTAAACGTCCACTTCAAACCAAAAGTATTGAACACCTTCATAGGCACAACGCGGGCCCAGAAGCACCCAATTGGGTAAACAACCAATTGTACGACAATAGCCGGAAAATTGATAGCGGGGCTTCGCATGCTGAGGAACATGTTTAATCCAGACCCGACTGTGACGAAGATCATTCCCAGAATCCATGCTCGGACCGTGTTGGCGACAGAGCCATCATCGGTGGTGCGAACAGCGGCGCGGACTTCTTCGTATGGTGAGTCCTCTGCGAAGGTATGTTCCACCTCATTGATCTTCTCGATGTCACCGGTTTTGGATGCTTCGTTTAGTGCGTCAATTTGCTCCTGTGGAAGATTTGGATCCCATTTGTGGGATTTCTGGAACTTAGGGACATCTTCGATGGCGGCTGCGGAGAGGTCACGGGTGGAGAGCTCGGTATGTTTCTCGTCAAGGGTTTGAGAACCACCATTTTGAGAGCCGGATGGGGAGACTTCTATCTCATCTTGAGCAGTAGAAGTATTTTGCCGATGAAACGGCATTCGAAATCGGCTCGGCATATCGAAAGGAATGCAAAAGATTTCTCAACAAGCAGTGACGAGGGAAAAGCAACGCAAACGAAGAACCAAGAAGCATCATCGAAGGAAAAACTTCTATCATCCTCACCTCCCTGTTGATCGGCCCATCTATGGATGAGTGGGTATTCCCAAGGTAACGTGGCACCGCCATCTTGAAAGATAAGTAGTCTAACGGCCACGATATCTATCACTGAAAGAAGATGGAAAGAGGAAAACCCTATGCCGAAACGATAAGCCAAGGCCGCGTCTCCCCACCAAAACCCTAACCAGCCCATAAAGCCACCCGTTTGATACACAACAGCGGCTCCCCGCATTTGCTGCAGCCGAGAACCTGCCTAATAGGGTAAGGTTATGGTGTTCTACATCCCACTCTTTGATACAGTACGCTGAACTCGGTAAACGATCATCCCTGAAACCTTCTGGAATATATCACGAGAATTGCATCTCAAGGTTGTCACGATCTCGCCTCAGCAAACAAATCTTGAGGCAGAGGGGGAGAACCATGCGACAGAAGATTGATCGAGTCCGGAAGGACATCGATGCCATGAGCATCTCAACTGAGAGCCCTTCATCAAGCGCCACCAGAGAGCCATTCTCCCAAGACGAAGACAACGAAACAATGCCCGACAGAATTACACGAATCACAGCAGATCTTCAAGACCTCGGGAATTTCTACAACATATCCATATCTCCCCTCCGTCGAACACGACTACACAGATATCTCTCCTCAGAACTCAAATCTCTCCAAGCAACAGACTTTGAATCATATGATCAAGAATCCAAGATCGACTTCCTGCTGTTGCAAAATTATCTGAGAAGAAATTTAAGGCAATTGGAGCTAGATGAGGAGAAGGATGGGAAGATGGAGGTCTTGCTCCCATTTGCGGGGACGATTGTGGGTTTGTGCGAGGATAGACAGCAGATGAAAGAAGTGAATGGGGAGAAAGCAGCGAGAGAGTTGACAAGTATCAGCACACAGATTTTGGAAGTGAAGAAGCAAGTGAAGAGCATCAAAATCAAAGTTGAAAAGTCAAGCGCTTATCGAGCTGCTAATACCATTGATCAGCTAAGAGATCATTTGAAAGAATGGTATGGATTCTTCAAAGGATATGACCCTATGTTCACCTGGTGGGTCTCGAAACCATATGAGAAGATTGATGAAGAAATGAAGTCCTTTGCAGCATTCGTCAGAGAAGAGCTTGTCGGTATCAAGCCCGGAGATTCGGATGCAATTGTCGGGGAACCGATAGGAAGAGAAGGTCTGCTGGCAGACCTCGAAGCGGAAATGATACCCTATTCACCAGAAGAGATCATCAGAATTGGAGAGCAAGAGTATATATGGTGTGAAGCAGAGATGAAGAAAGCATCTCACGACCTAGGATACGATGATTGGAGAGAAGCCTTGCAATACGTGAAGAATCTCTACGTCCCTCCAGGACAACAAACGCTACTCGCTCGACACTTGGCCAACGAGGCCGTTGACTACGTCAAGAAACACGACCTCATAACCGTCCCAAAGATAGCAGAAGAAACATGGAGGATGTTCATGATGACTCCCGAACGCCAGAAAGTGAACCCATTCTTCCTCGGCGGCCGCTCAATCATCGTCTCCTATCCCACGGACACGATGGACCACGAAGACAAGCTGATGTCTATGCGTGGGAACAACATCCATTTCTCACGCTCAACAGTCTTTCACGAGATGATCCCTGGACATCATCTCCAGTTCCATTATATGGCTCGGTCACGACCTTATCGAAAGATGTTCGAGACGCCATTTTGGATTGAAGGCTGGTCGTTATATTGGGAGATGATCTTGTGGGACAAGAACTTTCCCGCGACGCCTGAGAACAAGATCGGGATGCTGTTCTGGCGTATGCATCGCTGTGCACGTATCATTTTCTCTGTGAAGTTCCATTTGGGGTTGATGACACCGCAGGAGTGTATTGATATGCTAGTTGATATGGTGGGACATGAGCGAGCCACAGCAGAGGGAGAAGTGAGGAGGTCGTTCAATGGGGATTATTCGCCATTGTATCAAGCGGGGTATATGCTTGGTGCTCTTCAGCTGTACTCTTTGAGGAAGGACTTGGTGGATGGTGGAAAGATGGGCGAGAAGGAATACCATGATAGGGTCATGAGAGCAAACATCATGCCGATTGAGATGCTGAGAGCTTTGATTAAGAACGAGAAGGTGAGGGAGGATTTCAAGACTTCTTGGAGATTCTATGGGAACCTTGATGACTCGAAGAGTATGTAAAAATACAAAAAACTTAGTAAAGAAACAGTACATCCCGGCCTGAAAGCAAGCGAGAACCAAAATACTAGATACCGACGTAGCTATTCAATCACAACATAACGCTAAGCACCTCGGCCAATCACAACCCTCAACCTCTTTAGCATTGTATAATGTTAAATAAGCAGAATGCTGCCATGATCCTCTGAGACAGCGGCTTCTAGGGTATAGATGCTTGCGGTAAACCGTGCCTCTCTTATACTCTCGTGAACGCCTGAAATTCGAATGACTCAAGAGACAGCAGCCTCCAGGGTATAGACGCTTGCGGTATCACCGTGCCTCTCTAATATTCTCGTGTGTGCTTGAAATACGAATGTCTCAAGATTATCCCCTTTAAACCCCATACTAGCTATGGTGTTGGACACTCCTTCGGGAGTGAAGTTTTTGCTTCTCATTCCTAAGAAATTTTTGGTTTTTTTGACTCTTTTTTTGCCAATTGTGGAGAAGTCTTGTTTAAGCGAGAGCGGCAGCCGACTCTTTTTTGAAGTTGAATTTTGATGCTGGACAGAGGACCTGCTTTATCATGTCACTCTAGTGACATTCTATGATACAACGGTGTTCTAGCTTTATAGTCTGCTATCTAATGTCTACCGGCTGAAACTCTTAGGTCTCCCAATTTCAAGTCATACGCCAAAGATTCTCGCTTCCACGCTCCATTCTTACAAACTCTTCCCCCACCTCCTCGGTAGCGATGATCAATCCATCCACAGTGCCAGATCTCGTATCCCTATTCACAACTACTCTGAAGAAACTTCCTTTCTCTCCAGGAGCGTAATCAACCATAAAACCCATTGGTATCAGCTTTTGCACAATCTCACTTGTCGTTTTGGTATTCTCTTCCTTGCTTCCCAGCTTTCCTTCCTTGGCATAATAAAAGCAGACTTGCAGACATGGTGGAGGATTCTCGCTGACGAGAAAAAAATCTTTTCGTTGCGAGACCTGGTCCGCAAAGTAGGAGGCGATGGAGAACGCATGGTCGATTTGTTGCTCGAATCCGGATGAACCGTGGTAAATCCAAGCGAGAGCGAGCTTAAGGCTATCTCCTCGACGACCACATTGGAGTGTCAAATCCGCAAGATCCCAGACTTCTCCTCCTTCGTTCTCTTGGTGAAAGAGATACCCAGCAGGTAATGTGTTTGCTTTGTGGAATTTTGTGAGATCTGGTCCGAGGAGGAATGAGCACGTGATCGGAACTCCCATCATCTTGTGCGGGTTGACGGCTAGGGAATCTGCTCGCTCAACACCTGCAAGCTTGTGCCCTTGTTTTGAAGAGAAGATTACTGATCCGCCCCAGCTGCCATCAACGTGCATCCATAGGTTGTGCTCCTTGCAGACCTCGGAGATTTCCTTGAACGGGTCGTATGAGCCAAGAACTGTAGTTCCAGCTGTAGCGTTGACATAGAAAGGAGTTTTGCCTTCGTCTTTCGCTTTTTGAACCAAGTTCAAGAGCTCGGAAGGAATCATTCGGCCCTGAGCATCGATTGGTACAGACCAGACATTGTCCGTTCCGAGCCCACACATCTGAGCTGCCTTCTCCAAGGAGTAGTGTCCATGTGCTGAAGTGAACAAGACAAAATTATGTGATCCATTTCCAGCTGTTTTACTCTCTGGATATAAAATGTTTCGAGCAATGATTATGGAGGTGGTGTTCGAAGCACTTCCCCCTTGTGTTGAAATGCCCCCTGCATGAGGACCATCGAAGCCGAAGAGATTAGCAAAAGCCTTTGCTGTTTTCTTCTCTATTACCGAGAGAGCAGGCGAGACTTGAAAGACATGTACCTATTACTGTCAGAAGGATTATGAAAATGCGGGGTGGATTTACATTGGTATTCAGAACTGCCAACAAAAGTTCTGAAATGACTCCAACCTTGGGCAATTAGTATATGCAGAGTAATGAGAGGTTAAAACATACCGCATTTGTGCTAGAATATAATTTGTCCAAGAATCCTTGATCCCAAGTATTGACACTGTACTTGAGCACTTGCTCAACCGTTGCCAATAAACCTTCTTTTCCAGTTCCATTTCCAGGTAAATCAAAGTTCATCAAGCTGGACAGTTTCTCTGGTTTATGATGCTCAACAAGGGCAGTTCGAGGACCGCCACCTGGAATAGCAAGTCCATGACCAGTGGGTTTGGTAGAAGCATCCTCATCCGCGGCTTTTATGAATGGAACAATTAATGACTGGACGGCGTTGAGTAACTATAGGAGTATTAGCTCGAGACTACAATTTATTTTGAATATAACAGTCGATTACTCACATCATCAACCTCTTCTGCACGATTCAGAGGCTTGTTCTGTTCTCCTGACTTGGTTCTAATTGGTAAATGGGTGCTATTTGAGGTCATATTGAAAGGAAAATCAAAGAAAAGCTTATATAGCAAAGGAAAGTGAGATACTTCGGACCTTAAAGAATATAGAATTTGTTCCCTTCAGATCATTTGGCTTACATATGAAAAATGTAACAGCGGCATGACGTGCTCCATCATGTGTGGGGGTTGAATTGTCCAAAGCGGGCAAGCGCAAGCCTCACCGCCCGGCATTTTGCCCAAAAAAAAGTCTAGCAGCAAAACCATCATTGAACTTCTCAAGCAGCGCAACCGCTTCAGAAATTATTCTCGCACAACCAAAATGCCGAAGGAAAACAAACACAGTCGAGGTCGACGAGAAGAGAAGAAGCTAAAGAGGAAGAGGGACAATGGAGAAGAAGAGCCGGTCTCCAAAAGACAGAAATCCGAAGACCCCGCAGACGACCCCGAAGTCCAGATTCTAGGTACAGACGATGCGATCCAACCAGATGGAGAAGAAGGCGGAACTGCAGAACGACCATTCTATGGCATGCTCGAGGATGAAGAGCAGGAGTACTTTCGGCGAGCAGACGAGATGCTGGACCTGAACGACTTTCCCTCGCCAGAAGACCGTTCACTCTTCCTTGCGAACGTATATCGAGAAGCAGAAGGCAAGGAGTTGAAGATTGCATGTAGTCAATCATGTTCAAGACTGATGGAGAGGCTGATATTACTGAGTACGGTGGAGCAAAAGAAGAAGCTCTTTGAAAAGTTCGCTGGAAACTTTCCTCATCTGATACAGCACCGATTTTCGAGCCACTGCTGCGAGACGCTGTTCATTCAGTCTGCTCCTGTCGTCACAGAAGAACTCACAGCAGATTACAAGAAGGAAGATACGGAGGAAGAGGAGACAAAAGAGGTTGCTACCATGGAAAGTCTCTTCCTACAAACTCTAGACGAGCTTGAGGGACAAATGACCTTTCTCCTCACCGACCGCTTTGCCTCTCATACTCTTCGAGTCCTCCTCGTCATCTTGTCTGGTCGACCTCTCGAAAAGAGCTCTACCCGCACTCTGCTGCAAAGCAAGAAGAAAGAGAAGATCACAGTCACAGGCTATGATTCTACACCTACGGAGCTCTCGCTCAACAAACGTGCTGTTCCTTCTTCCTTCCAATTCGCTGTCGACAAGATCATCTCCGACACAATCGCTACAATGGATCAATCATTCATTCGAATCTTAGCCACACATCCCACAGGCAATCCTACACTACAACTGCTCTTAGAATTGGAACTTATAAATCCGAACTCGAAGAAGGATGTAAATGCTGATCAGAAAACTATCATCTCTGCTCTTCTACCAGACGACATTACAACCGAGAACAGCGAATCGGCAACCTTTGTCAATGGCATCTTATACGACGCCATAGGTTCTCGGCTCTTGGAGACAATATGCGCCTTCGCTCCTGGAAAGCTCTTCAAGCAGATATACAGAACCGTCTTCAAGGACCGAATAGCTGCCATTGCAAGAAACGAAATTTCCTCATACGTTGCAATGAGAGTACTGAACCGTATCAGCAAAGAAGACCTCGAAGAAGCAGTCACAGCCATCAACCCTCAGATTCTGGGCTTGGTACAAAGAAATCGGACAATGATCATCAAGACACTCATAGAGCGATGCCAAGCACGAGGCGTCGAGACGGTTTCTCTAACTGCCTCCATAGCAGCAGCCTACGACTCGGATCCATCTACTCTCGTCCTGAAAATGGCATGCATAGACGACATCTCCTCTCTCAACCCAGCACCCGTATCAATCACCACCGACGGCAGCGATCCAAGTCCGACCCCAACCACACAACCAAAATCCACGCCCTCCCAACTGCATGGCTCCCTTCTCGCCCAATCCATGCTCTCGATCCCCGGGCCCCCCGCAACTCTCATCCAAAAGTCCCTCCTCGCCCTCCCCCACGAAACACTCCTCACCCTAGCCACATACACAACGACCTCCCACATCCTGCAAACGGCGCTCCTCCCCACGCTGTCAAACACCATCCCATTCCGCCGAAAAATAATCAACACCCTCCTCTTCCCCTCCTCTCCCTCCACGACAAACCCAATCCTCCACCTCGCGCTCTCTCCAACCGGATCCCACGTCCTCGACGCCCTCCTAACATCCACCTGCGCCCCGACCGCAACCCACACCTCCGCCCCGCTCTTCATCCTCGCCGAACGGATCGCTTCCTCGCTACTAACCCACGAGCACGAGCTGCGCGACTCCTTCACAGGCCGGATCGTGGTCCGAAACTGGAGTCTCGATCTATTTAAGCGCCGGCGCGGGGACTGGGTTAAGAAGGTGAAGGCGGCTGGAGCTGAAGCTGTTGCTTCGTTACCTTCTTCTGCTCCTACCGAGGAACTTCCCGAGAAGAAGGATAAGAAGAAGAAGAAGAACACATGGGGAACAGATGTGGTAGATCCAACAAAATCAGCGATCCAGCTCGCGAGAGAGAAGTTCGCTGTTGAGAAAGCGATGAAGGGTGCTAATCAGGGTGGTAGGGGTAATAGGGGCAGTGGTGCTAATGCTGGGGTGGTGGTTGCTAGCAAATGATGGGCATGCCATAGCTGAGATGGAAGTATGTAGATTGAAATAGATACCCAAAAGCTCTTCTGTTAGAAGGAATGAAGAAAACCTTCGATGATCTCAACAATGGTCCTCTTATTTCAGGCTTCAAATCAACGTAGCTTAGCGATTGTGGTCTCCTATAACTTGTAGTAGAGAATCTGCCCGAGACTCTCACGAACACAATTAGATTGTCATTCCTGGATGTATGACCAGGATCTGTCAGGAAATCAGAAGTTAAACTCAGTAGAGACAAAAAGTGAGAAGACCTTTGATTCTGGGCCAGGGAATTGAAGGCGCTCTACGGCTCAAAAATCTCACCTCGAGCCCCAACAGTCAAGCAACTTCATTATAGTGGAGAAGCAGATCTTGGTCACTATCTCCCATTCCGATCATGTCAGTTAAGCTTAAATCACGTAAAGTCTTCGGGAAAGCATATGATTTAAAGTCATTGAATTCGCTATCTAGTAATCGCTCGCGTGATGTCGGCAAAGGCACAAACCTGGTTGCAAGCCCAAACATGCCATCAATCTATTATTATTCCCTTTTTGTCTGCCTCCACCAAGTCCATGCGACTTCCATAAACCCTTCGTGATAGAATCAAAATACAAGTCCGCCAGCCGCACCTCAAAAGATTGCGCTATTCGTACTAAAACGAGAGTCGAATCGATAAAATGTGCAATTGCTGACAGCCAGGAAAAGTGTAGTGTTAAGACAACGCAAGAAGTGAAAGTGAGCAAAGCAAGGGACAGAGCTCAAAGAAGCAGGAGAGAATCTAGATGTACCACATGCCAGTACGAATCTTGGCAATGTTACCACTCTCAGGATTACCCAGAGGCACAAGAGGAAGAACCTCGACAGCTGCGGAAGATCCAGTCTGAGAGGTACCTTGTTGAGTACGGCGCTCACGATTGGCAGCGACAGCAGCATCTTGACGAGCCTCATCGAACTTCTGTCCACCTCCAGGACCAGCAGAAGCCGGCTTCGACTCGTGGGCACGAGCACGGTTGGATGCCAAGTGGGCGTAGTAGATGGCCGGGACTGTAAAGAGTTAGAATGCATTAAGACATGATTGGGTTGAAGTCACTTACAGATGGAGACGGGGGTGGTAGAGCGCATGTACTGGTAAGAGAAGGTATAGATCATCTTCTGGAAGTCGTTGACGTTGACCTTGGCCTCATCCAGAAGCACTTGGTAGTGAACTGGTCGAGCAGTACCTTGAATAGCGGAGTGAGCACTGAGGTAGAAGTCATACTCAAATGGATGAGTAACATCTCGCTCAACGAGGGTACCGGGAAGAGGATTGCCGTTGCGATCTGCGGCTTGAGAATCGCCATCCTTAGGGAAGAAGCGGATATGATGACGCTTGGTACAGACTGCGACAGTCCACTTCACGTTGGCGGCCTCGGCACCGAATGTCTCAATCATGCACTCCTTCATGTGCTTGACCTCCTGGTTCAAGACTTGAGCGTACTGACCCTCAGAAACACCATCACGGAAGTAATAGATGTGCTGAGGGATTCTGCCACCACCAATCTTAGCATTGTTTTGCCATTGCTTGATTAGAGGCATGAGCATGGTGCTGATGTTGTTCTTGGTGATCATCTCAACACGGTGTCCGTTGGTCTGAACAGCAGCAGCGAAGCGGCAGCAGATCTGGTCCATGGAGACGGTGATAGCGGCCATGGAGGCTTGGACACTGCCTGGCGAAGCGTGAGATACATCTGCACCGATGATCATAGTGGGGACCTTGAAAGGATTTCCAGTCGCAGCGACCTTGCAAGAAGTGCCACCGAGCTTGGCGTTGACCTTCATGCAGACGTTAGAGCAGTACTGTGGTTGAGCCTTCTGGACATGTGCAATGTTGACACCTTCTAGAGATTAGCAATGCCCATGATAGAAAATGGAGGATGACTTACATTGTGAGACCATGGCAAAACGACACTCATTGTTACGCTTGAGGCGCTCATACATCCAAGAGTCTCTACCAGGCATAACATAGAATAGAATCTGAGGCATAGCCTTGACCTGGTTGCCAGTGGCGGTACGGAAGTTGGGAACCATGGCACTCAAGTCCTCGGTCTTGGCGTGACGATAGATGAAGGGGGTCTTGTTCTGGACCTTTCCACCATGGCCAATGTATGTCTGAATGAATACATTCATGAAGTTGCGGACGGCGGCTTCTGGCAGACAGTCATTGACGATGCAGATTCCCCAAGAGTTGAGTGGCTCTTCGTTGGCAAGCAAGAACCTCTTGCCTCGAAGGTCCCAGCGACCTGAAGTTCCAGGATTAGCCTTGGATCCTTGGTACTGAACCTCGGGAGGTTGCAAAAGGCGGGCATTGGTCTGGATCAGGTCAGAAGGGTTACAAACGCAATTGGAGGTTTCAACTTACCAAGGTCATGTTCGAATCAATCTTAACACCGTAGTGTCTGAGATACTTATCCTCATTCCAACGAAGCATGCCGATGCCATGTTGAATAGAAGCGATGCGCTCCTTTGGTCTGGTCACAGCGAACTTGATCATGGCAGCGGTTTGGTCAGGGCTCAACTTGAAGTTGTAGCGTTGGTTGGGAACCAAAGTGCATAGCTCCATGGGAAACAAGCCGGCCTTGTCAGTCTCAATCAATGGGATATCCCACATATTGATGGTGATGTTATAGGTCTTGCGGAAGTAGTCAAAGACGCTGATTTCTTCCTCAGAACCAGTCTGGCGGTTCTTGAGCTTGAAATAAGTGTTCTTGCTGTGACCACCATCTTGTCTAGGCAAGAATGTGAATCTCTTGATGCTGTATTGCTTCAAGTCTGCATCAAGGTCAGTCAAATTTCAGCGGTAAGGAACTAGGAACATACCATCTTGCTTGCCACGGTGCTTGACAGTGAACTTTAGCTTGGCCATCTTGCGAAGCAACTTAAGGTCCTCTGACCAGGTCCATCCGCCCTTACCATCCTTGATGGGACGAAGGTTCTGTCGGAAAACATCCCAGTTGGAAGCACGGTTGCGCTCCTTGAGGAAATTGCGAGCAGCCTGGTGAACGTCCTGGGCAGCCCAGAAAGTGCCGTTGGCAACATCGACGTTGACAGCCAGACCAGCAGTTGGATTGCCACCAGCAGACTTGGGCTACTCAAAATTCAGCTTTTGTGTCAAGTGTGATGATAGTAGGATACTCACATTGCAGAGGCGAATTGACGAGTAGACACCCTTCATGGCAACAACGCAGTTATCAAGAGAGACAGTGTTACCACCGCGAGCGAAGAAGCTGCGCTTGATCTGGGTATACAGCTCAGAAGGACCTTGACGCATCAAGTGATCAAGGAAGTCTGACACAGTTAGTGGTGTTGCAATGGAGATGGAGGTGGAAGTACATACTGATAGCCTCAAGAATGGAAGAATCAAAGGGAATCTTCTCAGCAAGATAGGCTTCAATGACGGCCATGCGAATGGTCTTGGAAGGCTTGATGACACACAGGCAGGTATCAGGATTATTAGGGTCTCGAGGTGCTCGGCCCTTCTCCTCATCGAAGTTGACCATAATACGTTGCTCAGGCATACGAGCAGATGTCCTTCAATTCATTAGCATCATCTCACAGAAATGAAATTTGTCATCTTACCAAGCAATCTTCATGCCATCCCAGAGCCACATGGTGTTGTTACGGGTAATCACGCTCTGGACAGCCCGCGACTTCCAGACAGCCATGATCTTTCCGCGCTTCTCAGCACCAGTACCAATGTTGATCTGAAGACATATGAGTTCAGGTGTTCAATTCAATAGTGAATTAGGGTGACTTACATCATACTGCTGAACATCCTTGTCGGGCCAAGCGACGACCTTGTACTGGTTCACTCGGATGGAGATGGCCTTACCCTTGTCATTCCAGCCAGGACGAGCGGGCAACTCAGTTGGGTAGTTATCCTTCCAGTTATTAGTCTCTCTGTCGAAGATACGCAGGCTTTCACGCTCCATGATAGCGAAGTTGAATGGAATGCAAGAGGAAGATGGTTGTGAAGTAGAAAATTGAATGGGGTGATGAAGAAGATATGGTGTGTAATATGTTTGAGGTTGAAGTCAAACTTGAAAGCTGACGAATCAACTTGCAAGGGAGACTGATGGACTGGAGTAGATTGATATTGATTGTGTTTGAAGGTAAGGTAAGGTATGTTGAAGAAGTATTGAAGATAGAAGTTGTTGTTTGTGGATGGAGGAAGAAGGTTGGAAGTGGGAGAGGAGGGGTTCTTTTATACCCGATGGGGGCCAGAGGATCAGAAATTAGGCTGTAGCCTTACTGTTGATTTCTTTCCAGATTTGGAAGTAACTGGGCGTGAATAGTAGCTCTGGGACAGAAAGGCAAGAGGGGAGCGTTGGGTGAATCGGTTTAAGGACTAAGCAACTACAGTTGTCTTCTGACTTACTGCCCAGCTCAGGCGTAGGCAAGAAGAATCTAATTCACCACAACAGCTATGTGGTATCAAGACTTCCCACCCAGTACAACAGCAAGCAATCGGAGTAACTCCTTGTGAATTATAACCAACATACTGTTGAGGACAAGATCAACACAAGACAATCCTACTACCAAGCAACAAGCAAGCTCATCATGCTTCAATACAACTACATCCGACCGAAAGACCTTGCTGCCAACAACATCAAAGCAAAACACCTCAACGCAAAAGCAAAAGCCATCATGGAGCTGCAAAACAAATGACATCAAACCAAACGTACCTCGAGGCGATAAGCATCGGGAGGAAGCTCCACACGAGTGTTGGTAATGACCTTGGCCTTAACAATTGGTCTAGCCGGGTCATATCCCAGACCTTGACCAAAAGGGTTTTGGCGTGGTTCCGAAGGGCCATCGTAGCCTTCAGAGCCGGGACGACGACCTGACTGTGGGCCTTGTGCAGCATATGTTGCTTCGGGAATTTGTGGGTATTGGACACCAGGCCCGTGACCGAAATCACCACCGGGGGCGCCGCGGAAACGGGCAGCCATGGCGGATTAGAGGGCGCTGTTCCTGTGAACGTGTTGTGGTTAGCTCGTGTTCGGATTCAGCACGATAGTGATTCGAGTGCGGTCAATTGGGGAACGCGACATGATCCACGATACCTCTGATCAGAGATACCTTGTGTAGATATGTATGAAAGTGATTGAGAAGTGAGGTGAAGCAAAGGAGGGAAGTGGGCGGACCTGATGTGTTGTGACTCAAGCTCGAAAGAATTACAATGTCTACACCGATCTGTTCAACAATCAGCAAGAGGATCTTCGATCTCTGACAATGGCGATGGCAAGTATCGAAGGCTTCCCCTGATACAATCGCGTTGTGTTGTTGAGCTCTTTGTCCTCTCGTTGTGCCCAAGGCAAACGAGTAAACAAACAGAGCCGCAACGCAATCGCAGCGGTGCAAAACGAGAGGGACGAAGAGGACAAAGACCAATTACTTACTGAGGTAGTACAATGAAGGTTGATTCCAGTCCAGGGACCTGAAATACAAAAGTTTGAGGATTGCAAAGTTGTGTGTTCGACCGGTGAGGAGTTCGAAGGAGAGGGGAAAGAGCGAGATCTTTTGTGGTCGGAAAACAAGGCTAGCGAATCGGACCACCACTTGCCGATTAATTCCCGGCGCTCTTGCCTCAGCTGTGAGAGTGCAAGCATACGTCAGCTAACCAAGTGAGCTTGATATGTGAGGAAGGAAGATCTTCGAGGCAGATGGCAAGTGCAAGGGGTAATGTGCACACAGCTCTGTTGTATTTGGTTGAGTAGGGTCATTTATGGCTAGCAACAGAGCCATTACATAACAACTTCAATGAACTTTTACATATTGCATGACTTCATTGTGATTACAGTGTGCTGCGTTCAGTCAGAGCAGAAGTTGTGTGCAAGGCAAGTAATTATCATTTGTTACGAGGGCAAGGAAGGTATGTCATTGCAGGGAATGGCATAGCTGGTATACAAGACCCGACTAAGGCTGCATTGAAGGAAGAATTGCCCAGCTCTGTGCTCTGCTGTTGTGATTCGAATTGATAGGGAGGCCTACGTTACATGCGAACTCGTTTGCTGAAGCGAATATTTGGGCTTGCAATCGTCTCAGCACTAGCTTTTTGAGCAGACAGCAGTAGCTACAAAGCTACGAGAGGAACAATACTGAAGTAGTCAAAGGGCACTTAGATGGCAGGTAGGCTACCCTTCACCAAGCCTGTATGTGTTGATCTGGAATTGAGCCCGAACTTCATGGAAGCCCTATGACTAAGCATAATTTCACGAGCAAAAGCACAAACTAGGCAGAAACTAAAGTAATTGAGAAGGTCTGGTGCATTGTTTTCATCTATGATACATCCTAGAGCAGCGTTGCTGTTTGCAAAAGACCACCGTTAACGCCATGCTGCATGCATTCGAGGATATATCCGCCTACCCTTGGCAGAACGAGCCATCCCCACTTGTTCCATTTTCCGTGCTAAAGTGCTAAAGAAAAGACGTGCCGACCGAGGCATACCAGAATATAGTGACCAATGTTTTCCTCGTTCAGCGTCCACGCTGAACTTCCGACTTATTTTCCCCATTAAGACCCATAATTAGTCGAAAAAGCTTCATCCAGGAAGAGGAATCCAGCAGCCAGAGAAACTCCAACCGTAGTGTCGAGTCTCATCGGCAAAGAAGAATCACCTATCGACCATAATAGCCTACCACACGCAAGTTAGCTAAGGATACCAACTAGCAGCAGTCCACAGCTGAGGAGGGATGTCAGGCTTCGTACCACCACGAGAAGCGTCATCCACCGGGTAATATCCAGACCTACTTGGTTCTGGAACGGATGGTTGGAATATTGGACGAGGCGGAAGGCCAGACGCCGCCGGATACGGATCACGCTCGTGAGTCACGACAGGAGAAGCAGCATAGGGAGCAGGAAATCCAGCTGCGCCTTGTGCAGGCCAGCTACCATTTTGGCCACCATACTGAAGAGGCTGGTAATTCTGTGTAGGACTGGGACCGGGAGCTTGATTTTGGGAGCGCCTACCATCGTATCGTTGCGGTGGAGGCTCTGATTGGTCGCGGGCAAGCTTCCAAGTCTTGAAGTCGGGGACAATCGTCTCTCGCAAGAGCCGCACTATAGCGTCCGGCTTGAACTTTGTTGAATTATATGTGGAAGCTGGCGGGATAATATTGAGGAGGAAGGTTATGTCGCGAGGCACGACAAAAGGTGGAGCATGGCCTGGAGTGCCCTGTAATCGCTTCTGTTGATCCAGTCGGCGTCCAGCAGCACCTTTCAAGGGAGAGGCTCCACGTGCAAGCTTTCGAGGAGGATTAAGCTCGTTTTCCAGCTCTTCAACGGGGAAAGGTCTCTTAGGTGAATTGGTAGCATGCAATGGCATAGGTACGGGCCTAGGACTACGGCTGGCCTCTGGCATGTAAACTGGGCTGTGCGGCATTGATGGCTGTCCTTCGATTGATTGCATGAGGGTCTTGGGACGCATTTGTGTAGAGGGTGAGATGATGAGACGAACAGCAGTAGGATCAAATCCTTCTGAGTTATATCGTGATGCAAAACGAAGAAGTTTTGGGTCCTCTGGAAACACCTCTGCCATTCGTTGCTCCAACTTGCTTATCTGAGAAAGCTCGCCATATTGTGATTCGTACTTATGAAAGTAGGCGTAGAGAGGTTTTGCCTTGGGCAACAACTCTGGTTTTTGGGTTAAGCGGTTGACAACTTGCTCGAACGTAACACGAGCATCTATCCCTGCGTTAGCTAACATTTACAATCAACTCTCACGGAAGACTTACTTGTGGTGTCACCAATCGATAGCAAATGCTTAAGATATTCCAGAGTGAAATTCGGATCTTCCGGGAACAACTTGGCACCACGCTCGAATATCTTCGTACCGGCTGGGTCCTTATAGACATGGTGTTCGATCAAAGCAGCGGCCACGTACACGTCGCTTGTGACTCTCCCTTTCTTTCTGGCATCGGTGAAAATCTGTCGTGATCCTCCTACGTCGCCTTTAGGATTCCCCTTGCCTTGTACACGGCGGATGGCACGCATGAGAGCAATCCATACAAATGAGATCGTTCGAGATAGAAGCTCAGTTTGCATAGCATAACCATCTTGAATGGCTTTGGTTTGGGTGGCCTTTTGTGCTGCCTTGGCGTCCTTCGCTGCAGCATCCTCTTCGTCATCATCAGCCTCTGCCCTGCTGATGATCGCACTGATAGTTGCATCAATAGCATCCGACTCATCAAGCTTAGCAAGATCCTTGACTTTGCGATCCTTCAGTTTGTCGATCAGCTCATATAATGTCGAAAGTAATTGGTCGAAAGGAGCGCGAACAATGTCGCCTCGCTCAGCAAGGCTTTTGTCTGCCTCAGTCACTGACAAGGTAGACTCAAGTCGATCGGCTCTTTTGAAAGCCACAAGACAGCTCTCTGGGTTTGCAGCAACTCCGTCTACCAGAAAAGAATCGCCATCCTTGTCCAGGCCATTGCTATAGCACCACTCAGCAGCATCAACCCACGTTTCAGGCCAGAATCTCAGTGCCATGACAGCTTGCTTATAAACATATAGCATTCTTTGTTTGTATGACTGGACGTCGTCGTCTTTCAGAACTAGAGGATCGTCTTGCTCCCAAGCAAGCCATTTCTTCCATAGTTCAACTTGCTGCAAATAATCCTGGTCGCCTTCGAATCCAAGCATAGGCGGGAGTCGAGGGAGGGTTGTTCTGACCAGTCCCCGAGTCAAATTTTCCAATAAGTTGTTCGCACTTCGAGCAGTCATGTATCCAGGGGATTTCTCTTGGAGGAATTTTCGGCCCTAAACAGTCAGTTGTGAATTATTGCGGAAAGAACGTAACTTACAGTCGTCTTGTTCAGTTGCATCTCAAACTGATCATAGTCCTTCCACAATGCATTCAAAGCAGACATTGGGACCATGATTGCACGCTGATACGCCTTTCGTAGTTGATCCATCTTTTGCTGATCTTGCCAACTACCACCTCCAATTTGACCAGGAGCGCTGCGGATGAACTGGATATACTCGTGCCAAATCTTACCAGAGTCTTTGTCGATGCCAATATTTGCAAGAACGAAATCGTATGCCTGAGAAATTGTCGATCTGGCTGTACCGGTCACATCGTTCGTCAAGTCGTTCCTACGTCGAATGTAGTTGAGATACGTTGACCAAAGTTGGACATTGGGAACTGTCAATAGGGATCTACCGAAGATGTTCTCTGCGGCGCCGAAATTATCGAGCTCAAGTTCCATCTCTATGTATTGCACCCACATCTCGGCCTAAAGCATATTAGCAATCAGCTGGCTGTTGAGATCACCATAACCTACAGCTTGGGGGAAGACTTTGAAGAAGCGCTCATATACAGCTCGAGCATCGTCGTTCTTGTTGCGTCTACGATGTTCAGCGATGAGAGACATCCAAGCGTCCACATCACCGCGGGGATCCTCCTTGATTCGGTCTTCAAGAATGCCAGTTTTGTCATGAGGTAATCGTGCCTTTGCGACAGATGAGACTTGAATTGGAGGGACTGTAGAATTAGGCACCTGTGCAGTCGGAGTTGGCACAGAAGGGACTCCAACAGTACTTGAGTTCACAGGAAGAGCATATGAAGATTGTGCGGCCTCTGAATCACCTTGATTCGTTGGTTCGCTCTGCAGGTCTTGCTGAGAGACAGAAGTCTGGAGTGGGGAAGGGGACATTGCGCGGTTAGAAGTTTGACCTGTTGGAATTTGGAGACCAGCTTGTATTGGTGTTGATGCATCGTACTCTTCATCAGAGTCATCGGCGATGAAGCCTCCAACGGTCTTCGGCTTCCGAGCTGATGCTCTCGAACTCGACCTTGAATCTTCCTGCCCTGCAATTGTGATGGCTGGAAGTGAAGTAACAGAAGACGGATCATAATCGTCGCCACCACTGGAAACAGCACCAGCGCCCGAAGGAGATAAAGCACGAAGAACTTGATCATCTGCAACAATTTCTCTTTTGACTTCTTCTTGCTTGTTATTCTCAGTATTTGATGGTGACTCGCCCTCTGCGGCCCCAGTTGCATCATCATTCTTCCACGCGCCGCCATCTTGCCCAGCCTGCTGCATTTGGTGCAAGAGAGCTATCTCTGCTGCTTCCTCCGACATTTTGATATTGTGTTCCAGGAATAATCGATCGGGAACGAATGAGTTGCGATCGATGAAGGGATGAACTGTTCTGGTCAGAGTCAGCAAGGTTATCGTTGCAGAGTTGGGAATAATCAACCTGTTAATGACACATTCGAAGCACGATCGAGAGTCGCAAGTGGCTTGAAAGTCAAGAAAAGAATGTGTACAGTCTCAAAGTTCCAGTCGTAATGATGAACTTGTCGCGTGCAAGAAATGGAGGAGGATCAGAATTGAGCTCAATGATTATACGCTAGACCTAATATGTGCTAGCGCTCTGCTCTTATGTAATCCTTCAAAAATAAAGTGCAACGCGACTTCCTGCGAGGGTCACCGCCTACGCGACCACCTTCAAACGCGTCCTCCGTCCTCCTTCAAAGCATTCACAAATCCACCCTTCCAACCTCTTCCCTTTCCATAAACACCCCTCTCCCGCCCCGAAAGTTTTGGTTCTGCATCGCATTACACACTACACAAAATACAACTACTACAACTACGAGTTCAAGATGTCTGTGGTATCTCTCTTGGGCGTCAACGTCCTGAACAATCCAGCCAAGTTCGGAGACTCGTACCAATTCGAGATCACTTTCGAGTGCTTGGAGCCTCTGCAAAAGGGTATGTTGCACAGCATATGCTATAGACCATTCACTATACTGACAACCCTCTTTACAGACCTCGAATGGAAGTTGACTTACGTTGGCTCTGCTACCTCGTACGATGCTTCCTGCCCTCTGCCGCTCGAAGCCAGCTAACAATACCCAGCGATGAGCACGATCAAGAGCTCGACTCCCTACTCGTCGGTCCCATACCTGTTGGAGTCAATAAGTTCATCTTCGAAGCGGATCCACCTGATACCAAGCGTATCCCAGATGCCGAAATCCTAGGTGTCACTGTTATTCTTCTTACTTGTGCCTACGACAATCGAGAGTTCGTCCGAGTTGGCTATTATGTCAACAATGAATATGATTCCGATGAGCTTAACGCAGACCCACCTTCCAAGCCTATCCTCGAGAAGGTCAGACGTAATGTCCTTGCCGAAAAGCCCAGAGTCACTCGATTTGCCATCAAATGGTATGTTGTCCTGCCTGATTTCTATGAGTTACAAGCTAATAGCCCACAGGGATTCCGAGGCATCAGCTCCAGCAGAATTCCCTCCAGAGCAGCCTGAGGCAGATCTTGTAGCTGATGGAGATCAATACGGAGCCGAGGAGGCCGAGGAGGAAGAAGAAGAAGAGGTTGCCGAGGGTGCTGAAGGAGCTGTTGCTGACCCAGACGCTATGGTTGATGACTCTGAGATGGCTGGAGTTGAGGGCGAGAAGGCAGTTGAGGCTGGTGAGGAATCTGATGATGGCAGCGAAGATTTGGAAGCCGAAAGCTCTGGTAGTGACGAAGAAGAGCTCGAGGAAGAAGAAGTCGAAGGCGAGGCAGAGGATATGGAAATGGATGGTGTTGAGAAGCCCAATGGCACGAACGGTGCTGTTGATCACCACGTCGATGCGGTCATGGCACATTGATCTGACTATACCCCATGGCATGCATACTTGTCTAGATTTTACTGTATTACTTGCAAGGCGTTCCGATAGTACTTAGGTTGCACAGCAATCGCCTGAAATACATGATGATACATGCTTCCGAGAATTACATCCAGCTTCGTCGTGCAGTGTTGAACACACAATCTCGAATCTGAGCCTTTGCCGCCAGATACAAGCAGAATGACGAGGGTAGTTCCCACCATGAGACCAAACTCAAGGTCACATTTCAAATTGTCTTATATCTTCGCACTGACGATAGCAGGAATCTACAGTAGAAAGGTCTCGCATGTTCCCAGTAGAGAGAAAACATTCAAGTGGAGCCCGAAATCTCTATTGTCGTGTTCTCGAACACTATGATATCTGAATATGCCGAAGACACAGTATGATCAGTATAGTGCTGACAGTCACTGGAATCTTCTTTGCTGCGACTCAGGAGAGTTCTTTGGTGATGAAGTACTGTTATCAGACTGTTCTCGAGCCTCTGAATCATCGGGTCAATACGGAGAAGCATAAAATATCGTGGCAGTTCTTCCTAACAATACACACACACCTCCTTCAATACACTACAAAAGAAGAGAACATACTCCGTCAATAGAATACATCATGAGTCCTGTCAATGAACTCGGAGGTACTCACGAGGACATAGTATGGTGGGTTTGCTGCAAGGTAAACATTTCCGTCCGGATATGGAGCGAGAGCTGATTTATTCCTAGTGTTCAAAGCGCCAACAAAGCATGGTAATCTTGAAGTGCAAGGATTGTGGACACAGTGCCTGTAGCATTTGTTCTCCAAATAAGTGGTAGATGAGTTAAAATGGAAAGAAGAGTGGAGACAGCAGAGGAGAGACTTGTGTATATGGCTTTTTGAACATCACAGTAGATGAAGGCAAAATTTATTGATAAACTTCTATTTGAAGAACCCTTGTTAGATAAAGCATCCTGAAAAATACTCTCGCGTGTGAAGTCTACAGAATGTTCAGCCGTGGCTTTTCTGACCGCTACCAGATATGCAATGTCTCAAGCCAATCAGTAAACCCTTGCAATTCCGCCCGCATATCTCGTGCTTCAAGACACCTCACTCACCACGCGATCACCAAAAGCAAATAATCAAGCTCACCAAAAACCCTCTCAAAGTCACTGTCGTTTTCTCAACATCTTACACCATTTCCCCAAAAGAATACATCATAATGACCACCCTCCGTCAGGGTCCTTGGAAGTGTTGTCTGGTACGTTCTCGGCGGTTCTTTGGTATGGAGACGAAGGCTGGACTGATTTTGTCTATAGTGTGGAGTCAATAACACCGGATCGGATCGTCATTGTACTGCTTGTGAGCATCCGAGATGTGTGTATTGCAGGGATGTTGGGGAGGAACAGCCTGACCCTGAACGGAAACGAATGGAGACTCGAGATGACGAAGCATCCGACGTCAAATCGTGAACGACTTTATGGTTTGGATCTGAAAGTTGATCGGTGTTGTTTGAATGGCACTATTGCATCTCAAAAAGGATGGGAGCTTGGTGCCTCGAATGGAGTTCATGGAGGTTGATTTAATTGGCTTTTTTCGGACAGCACTCATTGGAAGATGGAGCGATTATGGTTACGACATATCAAGTGAAAGCACCAGGGGTTGAGTCTTGAATCAGAGCAGTGAGGGAGTTGCAAGTTTCTATGGGATCATGATCATTCTGTTTCGGAAGTTTGAATGTCTTCATATCCGAATGTAGTGGATCTGAATAATCATATGTCCTTCGTTTGGCTATATCTTGAACTCTCTTCGCCCTTTCAATCTTCTATTCCACCATCCTTCAAACCGTCTCCAAGATCCAAGTTTGGGAGCTGCTTATCACTTGAACTCAAAACTACTACCAAGCTATCAACCTCACACAACCTCACAATGACAGTTCTATACGAACGTTATTGGGGTCGTTGTTTTAATGTAAGAAACAAAATGACAAATACAGTGATATCATTACTGATATGTGTGATAGTGCGGGGCAATCAATAGAAAAACAAACGTCCAATGTGTACGCTGTAAAGGCGTACCACCATCCGATGGGCAAAGCGTCTATCCCGAGAGATCCCAACGCTCAGTCAGGCCTCCGGCACTTCTCGTACCAAATCTGCCCCCACCAATGTCAAACAGACAGCAGCCCTCGTACAGGGAGCCCTCATACGGGCCCTCTTACCACAGGCCATCACCGTACAGATCCCAACGTGCAGGACCATTTCCGAATTCTATGTTTCCACCATCCAGACCAGCTTCAGCGAGTGGACTCGGACCTACATACGTCAACTGCCCCCAAGTAAGAGAATGGCCCTTTTGTAGATATCACCACTAACTCGTCCTACAGTGCGGAATCAAAAACGCTGCAGTCAACCTTGAGTGTTTCAACTGCCATGCACTTCGTGCAGACACGAAAAAATATGTGTGTCACTGGGTACGGAAGAATAAATCTGCTTTTATGTTTACTGCTGACCTGCTATAGTGCAAGACCGAAACACTTTCGCGTGATGGACTCCAAGCTAGGTGCAAGAATCAATCGTGCCGACATCCGGTTGGTAAGTGTGATTCATGTGTGCCTTGGTTGTTGGCTGACTTTATGAATGCGCGCATTCGCCGAGCCCGTGGTGAGTGAGAGTCTCAGGACGGAAGTGAGGCCTGAGTTGCAAGTCGTAGGCATGGCTTTTGCGAGTACTGTAGTTAGATGAATGAAGTCTCCATCTCCCATCTTACACATAGAAAACGCTATTGACTCGGCGTGAGATGCCAGCTCTTGTCCATTTGAGCACTAACACTTGCGCACCTATGAATGAAACAACCACTTACCCAGGCAAATTCTTGCCAGTAATTATTTCCTAATTTTTCAATCCATTCAAAGGTCCCACCTACCATCTAGAACTCAATGAATCAGATATACCTCAAACTCACAATGACCTCACAAATAGTAAAGTGACGCTCTCCAAGCAAAGCATGACAGAACATCCTCTCACTCACATTCACATTCACAACAAGCAAACAACAGCAACATAAAATCCGTTCTTCTCCACCCTCCACCTCCTTTCCTCACAACCCACCAAAAGCTAACACCAGAGCACCACAAACAATATAACTAATCCCCAACTACCACTTCTGCAAAAATGCCTACCATCCACCTTCAACTAAACTTCATAATGTCCTACTGGATCTGCCACCAAGTGCGCGTCCCTCCCCTCCCTCCCTTCCTTCTTCAAGGTTTAGCTAACCCAACGCCGTAGTGCGGTAGAGAGATGAACCCCACCGAACCATGGTGCTTCGACTGCGGACGCGGAAGGTGTCCTCAATGTTACGAGTGGCCACCTGCCTAGATACAGATGAGAGATGAGGTCGAGCAATATGTAGAGACAGCCTGAGATATTCTATAGCACCAAAGAATGAAAAACGTTGAGTTCCCATACTGGTCCAATGTGTCTTTAGCTTGTTTAGTGATCTCCTACCCGAGCTATTCCTACCTATCCTTTATACCTCAACATCAAGAGCTAGAGCTTCACTTGGACTTTCTACGTTATTTCTACCATTAAAACATCTCTGCACAAAAATTCACAAAACTCGATACTTAGTATCTCGCTTAAGCCCCTTTCAGCCCTTACCTGCTTGACATCTATAACCAACTCCACTTCTCAACCCCAAATCTATCTTTGCCGGCCAGGCAAGAACCATAAATCGAAAGTTCGAATAAAATATAGATATAAACTCCCCATATAGAATAAACAGCTAATCACTGTACTTATCAAGTACATCTCTAATTACGCTTCCTCCCAAGTGCAATGCAACAATACAGTGAGCTGTGCAGTGCACATGAAAGGAGTTTAATCCTCAGAATTACAGTACTAAAAGCACGTTAAGGCTAAGGGGAATACACTAGGACTAGGGTTTTCGCTCCTACCTCCTCCCACTTGGAGAGGAAAGCTAGTCATCCAGTCATCAGCCCGTCACTTACCTACCAAACAACCTGAAAACCCCCTGCAACAAGCCCTCACAACCACCTAGCATCAAGTCCCAGAACAACACACAATCAATTCATCATTCATTCATTCAACAACTACCTCTCTCTCAATAAGATAGCCATCCTCTCCCCTGCCCCCCCCCTTTCCCTCCATCCCCTGTACCCCCCGCCCACCCACCAAGCACCCAGATATGTAATCTAACAACAACATCAAACAAAAATTCTGCAAATTGCCACCACCCCTGCCTTGCCTGTCGTCCATTAAGCGCCATGCGCCAGCCATTTGTTCGTTGTTCGTAGAACGTCATTATTAACAAAAAGCAAAAGGAGAAAAGGATGGGCGGGTTTTCCTTTCTTGAGTGCCCACTACGTTTGCACCTGATTCTGTTTGTATGTTGCGCTGCCCTATCGTGTCCTGCAAATCGTCATAGTTTGAAGTCCTCCTTCCTTGGATTTGATACCACATCCCTCTGAACTTGCAACACGATCTCACTCAAACATCATTCTCGTCCCTCTCATCGATATTTGTAATACCCCTCTGTCCACCCTCCCTGTATCCCAGACTCGGCATATGGACCGGGATACTCTCCGTCGTGGTCCTCCCTCCCAGACTGCCTGGAATAGCAGCACCGTCACCCTTTACATCGCCCGCTCCGCTCGGGGCCGCGTTCAGATTTGGTCGTTCGGATCTGGATTGCGAGACTTCTTGTTGGAGGGGCGAGGAATGGGCTGGGGAGGTGGATTGGGATTGTTTTGTGTTATCGCTGGAGTTACCGCCGCGGGTGGAAGGTCGGGGAGAAACGCGGCCGGTCTGTGGATGGTTGTGTTAGTTTGCTTCGGGATGGATTGTGAATACTAGTGCAGAGTGGCAAACAGAGTGTGGAATGCTGACTTTAACAAGGCAAGTAGGACAGAACAGAGCAAGCAAAGATATAAGGGTAATCTGGCAAGTATTGTTGTGTTGACATTTGAGCAGCGTAAGAACATGGTATGTGAAGCGGCACAATGGCGAAGTTGCGAAAAATCGAAGTAATACGGCATCTTGCCTCGTATCTTCATCCCTCGCTAGGATAGATTATCGCTAGCCGAGTACTGTGAGGCTGATTCGAAAGAGAACAGCGAAAGTAACAAATAGAGTATCAAAACAAACGGCGATGATGGTGAGGTAAAGGCGGGAGGGTATCGTCAACCTAGATCTAACTTCGAGATGTTGAAGAGTCTGACTGGGGCCAAGCCTTTGATTGTCCGATGGTGCCACTGTTCTCAGAATTACTACGACTCACCTGTTTAGCCCATCTCAGCCCGCAGCTATTACATAGATCTCTCTGTCCGCTTGGTCCCCGGCGCCATTCAGGTGTCACTCTGGTATGGCAATTTGCACAATCACGTGTCGGATTCCCCTTGCCCTTACGCCGCTTCCGCTTCTTCTTGCTTGAGAGCAGGACCGCTAACTCTTCAGCGAGAAGGCGATTACTCTTCTCCATTTGGCGAAGTTCGAACTGCCAACTCGTACATCGTGTAGTCTTCAGCTCATCAAAAATGTTGTCTTCAGAAGCGAGTGCAAGATCTTGCGAGCCGATTGGCAAGCCAGACCCACCAGCTTGACTGACAGGGCCTACCATAGCCATAGAACCAGGAGCGGACTTGGATAGGGACATGTCTTGATTAGCAGAAGACATATTGGTGATATTAGACGACTGTGTCATTGGAGTCGAATCTTCGGACATATGATCCATCCTAGCCATGGGACTTGCAGAAGTACTGCTAGTGTTGTTTGTGAGTGCCGGAGCGACGTTCCGAGATGATGACTTCAATAGTCTAGTTTGTGCTACCAGGAAGGTAGGCTTTTGACCTTCAGAAGCATCGCCAGGGTATAGAGTTGTCTGTGCTTGTAGAACAAGACCCTTCCGATTGAAGATGTCATGCTTGTGAGTCACCCGCTGCCCAGTTCGTCCTTTCTCCAGGGCTCGTCCAAACTCAACACCTGATTCCTTCCGCATCAATGCCTGAAAACTAGTGCCAACCAAGTCATCTGGGTTTCGGTCCAAGAGTGTCCGGAAATTAGTCGCAGCAAACAAAAACATCCCAGAAGTCGATAGCTTGGACCACAATTCATTCTCGCCAATACCACCGGCTGCCTCAAGATCACGTCGGTGAAGAGCATACACAGGTCGTTCTCTGCCGACCATGATTATGCATTTCCGTCCTTTTCCTTGCTCAACGCACAGAGATCCGTGGCTTTCAAACCAAGTGTATCCGCTCCTTTTTCTCCGGATTCGGAATACCACGTTCACCGAAGCTCCAGTCGAAGTATCCTTCAACTCTCGAGTAACTGGCACAATATCACTAGGATGGCAAACCGACGATAAAGCAGTACCAACTAGTTCAGAGGCGTCATACTCCAAGACATGTCGGCTCGATGGCGATAGGTATAGGAACAGGCCCTTTAATGACAAGACGTGAATGACATCGTCAGTGTTCTCCAGCAGAATCTTGTCCCACATTCGTTTCGTTAGTTCCGATTCCGTTTTCGTATTCACAGCGTTCAGCACGGTGGAAACATCATCCCGACTGATAGTCTGGCCTCCGTCCGATTGTATTCGCAACTTTTCGGGAGGTTGCCACACGTATGCTGGTAGTTGATTTTGCGAGTAATCGATGGTGTAATAGCCACCCGCGCCATTGGCTTCGATCGAGGCTGGCTTCATGACCAAATCAACTTGAAACCCGACGATATACTTTAATTCATCGCCCTCCTCTCCAGTGATCGGTATCATGGTCAACAGGTTCATAAAAGGCTGACCTCCCTTTCGATAATTGATCAAGCTCATCTGAGCCTCTTTCTTCTCTGCTATCCTGTTTCTCAGATAGTACACGGAGTTGTTATCCGTGAACGGTCGCGTTGCACCGGCCTGGACTTTTCCGTCAGGTGCTTGGAGAAATCGGCAATTCTGGCCCTTGACTTCATGCTTGTTATATCCTGTCAAGTTCTCAAAGTTCTCAGAGACATATATGATGGGACAGTCGTACGCTGTAAGGTCGCAAACCACAAATGCGCAGGACAGATCGACCTTGCCTAAGCTTACTTCGGGATCTTTTCTCGATGCAACTTTCATGAGAGCTCCCAGCATATCAAAGCCACTTTGAGAATAGATTCCTTCGTAGTTCGGCTTCTTGACTTCTGGGGGCTTCACTGGTCCCATCTCAGTTGATTGTGATACGAACTGAGATTGTTCTGGTGCCAGAGTAGCCGCGAAGGGCGAGTTTTGTGATGGTTGAGCTTGAGCGACAGTCGATGCCACCGGGGATGCATAGGAAACCATAGCCTGGCTCATATTCATATTTGTTGGCGAATTGACATTTGGTCCATTGGTGATTGAGGCATTGGTCATGTTTGGTAAACCATCGTTGCTCGGCATGCTGTTTCGACGTGGAGGTATGTTTTGCGCCATATTCGATTGAATTATAAAATCAGGTCCCATTCCCTCCATGCCAGATGTAGGTGCGTACTGCTGCGGAAATTGTGTTGGCGAGAACATGTTCATCGCATTGGCACTCATAACACTAGAATCTTCTTCATTGATGCCTTCTATACCCATTGGAGCATATCCCATCATGTTCCCCATCATATCGGTCGAAATTTGTGAGAACGGAGAGTTAGTATTGATCGCGAGTGAACCTTGTGCCTGCATCGGAGACGAAAATTCCATTGGTTGGCCCGCCATGTTCATGGCTCCTGACATACTCGACATGTCCGGAAAGCCAGCTCCCATATCTATCTCTCCCGCGGATTGGCGACGTATACTTCGGTCCGTGGTTGCTGTTGATGGGCCAAATTGGAATCCATTCAAAGTCCCATTGCCCGAACCGAACTCCATCATGGAGGCTCTGCGATCGATGTCCTGGCTCCCATATCCTTGTGGTAAACTCTGCCGCCTCATCTCATTATTATTCTGCAATATAATATCATCCAGCGAGTCCCCGCCTCCCATCATGCCCGTCATATCCATCGGGCCATCGTTCAATTGTGGTCCGGTCCCCTGGGGTACCATGGACATACTCGAGGTCCGGGAGGGCACATTTGCTCTTCGTTGTGCCACCCGCCGCTGCAGGTCCTCCTGTGAATACTGCGCGTCGAAGAAGTTATTTCGATTCATCGTCCCAGCATTAGCCCAGTCCTTCTTCCTCGACCGTCGATATTGGAAAGACACAGGGACGACTCATGAGAGTATCTGGTCTAAATGATCCGCGAGGATATCATGGAGGTGGAATTTGAGTCGGTTTGTGGTCGCCGTCGTCGTACGTCCCTGCCTTGCTACTAGGATGTCCCGACACACGCAGATGACCCTGAGCGGAGTAACGTTCGGCAGACAACCGTGGTAGACAGTCTGTTGGGAGTGTGTGTCCAAATTTGTCCTTCCCCGTCGCCACGATCAGGCTCTCGAAAAGTCTCAGGGTCTTGAAGCGGGATGCACGGCCTCGCAACACGACGCCCTCTTCTGGGAGATGGAGATGGAGCTGGGCGGACGGAGGAAAGTCCACGCTCACAGGAAAACGCGTGGGCGATAGAGATGAAGTTGGAGGAAGCTGCTGCAGGGCAGTGCGACAGCGGCAGAAGCGGGTTGAGTGCGTTTTTGACGAAGGCTTGTTCTGCGGGTTAAAGTTGTAGTTGTTGATTCGACAATCACTTGCCGAGCGTTGCACCGCAGCTCGGATCGCACTACTGTATAATCTTTTTTGCTGGGACGCGGAGCGCTGTCACGATGCGTCGTGCGAGTATAGAACCACGTTGGCGGAGCGGTGCAGTGAGTGAGTTATGTGATGCGTGGTGATGCGATGCGATGCGACGTGGTTAAGGTTGTCGTGAAGGGAAGTGATAATAGCTGATATGTAATCTACAACCTGTGAGGTAAAGTACTGTACGGTCCACCAGTACGGGACATGAGCTATTCGGAGCCCGAAAGATCTTCATATACTCCACTCTTCTCGACAACACAACACACGCAGACAAAAGAGCTGACCCGGATGCCCCGCCCCGCTTTTCAGACTATCAAATGGTGGTTTTGCTGGAGCCGACCAGGAGTGAAACAAGAACATCGAATTTATAGAATGCCATCACGTCTCCATCATTGCCATCCAGACATCAGCTTGCAGCAGACTCCACCAATGGCCCTTGGCCCCTTCCCCTCCGCCCTGGACTGGCGGCATAGAAACGCTATCACTCTCACGGGTCTAGGTGCTTCTATGGGAAATTAAATTTTTGGGAAGTGCTCTTCAGGCTAACCTGCTATGCCTCGCCCGTTATCAAACAAAACGCCACAAGATTCGCCACCAGCCCCCCACACACCTCTTGCTTGCTTCTCCCTTCATATCAGATTCGTCGCTATGCTAAAATGATGCCCAGCCAAACCTGGCATCCATCCACCTCCAGAAAACAAAGGAAAAAACGAAGGCCTGTGTGACTGTGGTATCAAATCGGATCATTCTATCATCAATCTTGTATTGTGCCGTCCCGCCCATTTCCCGAAAGTGCCACCCTGTCCCGCTCTCATCCTTCCTGCAATGCCCTCCTGGTTCACGCTCGTGTAGATCCAATCAACCGAAATAGGCACGAACGGTCTGCTGTGTCTCTGGGGAGAGTTGTTGCAGCAGCGCAGCTGGATCGAGACCCGCACCCTGGAGCAGCGCCTTACCAGCGGCCACGATTCGAGTTGCCGTCTGGCCTTGTAAAGTCTCGGCCTCCAGAGCTTGAGCAATGAAGATGAACACCTTGCCAGCTTGGGACACCACGGCTGGATTTTGTCTGTTGCTGTTAGTGAGGCTTTTGGAGAATGAGATATTAGGAACTTACTGATCGATGAGCTGCGCAAGATAGGCGTAGGCATATGGAGCCGCCTCCTCATCGTTCACAACCGGTAGAGTATCAAGCCATTGCACAATGACTTGTTGTTGATTAGGTACGCTCGCTGGATTGTAGTGCAACACCTTAGCAATTGCTGCACATGCATTCTCAGTTGCGTAGACATCGTCATCTCCTCGTGCATTTGGGAATTGTGTAACTTGGAAGAGGAGCTCTGTTGCTGGTCCAAGGAATTGCGACCATTGTGGTCCACCCTTGTGTGCAGCGACACCTATTCCGTACGCAGCTGCTTGACGATTCGCGGGAGCTGGGTCTCTACATCCGGCCACAAGAGGCTCGATGATATAGCTATTGTACTTCCAGCTCTCCTCGCCACAGAACTCGAGAACGTCGTCCATAATACATAAGCCCCATTGTCGCTGAGTCGGGTCTTGGCTCTTGAGGAATTGCTCGTAAGTGGCATGAAGGCGTTCCCAAGATGGGAGAAACGACACGCCGTGATTCTTGAAGATGCAGTGATAGGCCTTATTCATATCCGACAACAGGGTTTGGTCATCTTCAATGGCAAAGAGCATATCCTCAGACTCTTCCTCTCCTTCTTCTTGGCCACCCTCTTCTCTCTCTTCTGCTCTGGCGGCCACACGGTCCTTGTAGTCTTCGAGAGCGGAAGTTGCTGAGTCGATGAATGTCTCCATATGTTGTTGTGAGAGGCAGTTCTTGCCCATCACTTCCACGGATTCATAGAAGCATTGATACATCTCTGCGAGAGTGTCAATGGCTGGCTCGGCACTAAGAACCTCTAACAACTTCTCAATGGTGCCGTTCCAAAGACCTGCGAGCTGTTCCGAGGGGTTCCCAAAAGCCTTCTTGTATGAATTCAAGAGCTGGGGTACACACTTCGCCGACACCACACGCACAGGATCATGGAAGAAGAATGCGAGACCTGGCAATGCGATCTTTTCCATCACTTCCGCAACGTATGGTGCAAAGGCACCCTCGAGTACTTGAGCATAGACCACGAGAAGCTCGATAGCCATGTGCTTGTCATCGAGAGTGCTTGTCTTGATTCCGATAACTTTTCCTTTGAGAGGTACGAGTTCCCAGCCCTCCTCTTGCTGAACCTGTTCGACTTGTTCCTCGTCGTCCAAGAGTTGGATATCAGCTTTCGCGCTAGCCAATTCCATGAGAGGTGGCATAACGGCTGGAAGGAAGGGAAGGAAATCAGCACCAAGGACTCTGCACATACGGCCCCAGCAGTGCATGAGATATTGTGCTTGAGGATCATCAGGGTCTGTGATGCTCTGTTGAATGGTAGCCAGGAGTTGTACCAAGTTCATAGCATCGTTTCCGAGTCTCTCCTTTCCGACTGCTAGGGCAATCAGTGTCGCGCATTCCATTGCCTTAGCCCGGAGAAGTCGTAGCTCCTTGGTGTTCTCTTGTTGCAGGACTGAGAATAGTAGAGGCATTAAAGTGTCATAGTACTTCGAAAAGGCAGCTTCAGCAGAATCGGCAATAGTAGCGATTGTAGAAAGGGCTTGTTCTTGGACATAACGCTTCGGGCTTTGAAGTAATTGAAAGAGATGCGTGAGAAGATCGTCCAGATATGGTTCCAAGATGTTCTTTTCAGCTTCTTCGCAAAAGTTGACAAGAGCAGCAGCTGCATGTGCTTGAACTCGAGGTTCTGGTGAGTCGAGAACTGGAACAATTGCTGGGAGCACAACTGAGTGATACTTCTCTTGCATAGTGCCGGCGAAGTCAGTGCTCATTTGGCCAAGCGCGTTGCAGCCAGCCCATCTGACTCGTGGGTGAGGGTCGCGGAGTGCTGGAACAACGAGTTCTAAGACCTGATTGAGTTCACCAACCATCAAGTCTCTGCAACCTTCGGAGATTGCTGAGATAGCCATCAAAGCTGCATGACGATCTCGCCATTGCTCGGAATTCATCATCCTAGGAAGCCAGCTGAAGGTTGGTGCAAGAATAGTCGAGCCCCCAAGTTTGTTGGCCAATCTGTCCATGCATTGCTCGCCCGCAACGTGGTTAAGATCGCTCTCTTCAGGATCCATCTAATTCACAATTAGTACAAGATAAGATAGCAGATACACAAATCACATACATCATCAGAAGCATTCCACTCGGAAGCATCGTCATCGTCGACGCCAATGTCAGTCATCAGACTTAAACACTGGGTGATCATGTCGCTGGTATACGTGGCATCTTTCTTGACCATGGCTGGCGCGTAGTCCGCAAAGGTTGCCATCAATTCAAGAGCGTTCTGGCGTGCTTGGTCCGTGAGCTCTTTGTCTTGAATGACTGAAACGCTAAAGGCTACCAAGTTGTGGAAGAGTGGTCGGAACATCTTAGGCGCAACTTCAGCAAGGTCGATAAGAGAAACCAAAGCTCGAGTCAGCTCCTCTGATTCTTGCTTCTCCTTAAGAGGAGGTAGAATATTTAGGACTTCGGGGATCAGAGCATAGTATTTTTGCTGACTCTTCTTATTGATGCTTCTGAAAAACGACGCAAAGGCTTCCATAGCTGCGAGTCGGACCTATCTCTGGTTAGTAGAATACGAATCGTGATATTGCTTCACATACCGAGACATCCTCATCTTTGAATCCTTTGGTGAATGCTGAAAGTACAGTATCTTCGTGCTGCTTCTCTATAATCCCAGGAGTTGTCGAGAATATTCTATATGCAATTTCTCGTTGTCCAACTTCCTTGGATATACTTAAAGTGAAGAGAACACCCAAAATTTCGGGCCATTGTGATTCTGGTCGTTGTCAGTCGGATCTCCTGGTCCTGTTTCAATTCTTATGATCATCCACGAAAATACATACTGCTATCGGAATATTCTCTTGCAATCTCAGCAACGGCGTCTCCAATTTTGTTTCGTACAGCATTTGTAGATTCGGAACCTAATGCCTCCAACAGCTTCGATCGAATCGCGTAGCCTTGCTCTTGTGGTAGAGAGAGGAAAAGTTCGACAGTTTGATCATTTGGAAGTTTGCGAGATTTTGAGGCGATCCGTCGAAATATTACAGCAGCAAAGGAGCGTGTCTGCACAGAGAAGGATGTCAGCAAGTCCAGAAGGGGCATATATGAGGGGGAGTTTACTGTAGGGTCGTTCGAGCCTTGAATTTGTTCAACCAAGCCCATCAGAAGCATCTCAGGCTTTGTAGTTGTCCAGTTGTTCGCCAGATGCTCTTCAGCTTGAGATCTAACGCTATTGTCGGCTGATTGCAGAGCATCGAGCAGCTGCGTGAGCTCATTATGCACGTCGGCTGGGAGGACCGACATGTTGCCGGAGTGAAGGGAGGAGGAGGGTTTCGGAGGCGCAAAGGAGGGTAGGAGGTGAGCTAAAGCAAAATACGAAGTGGTTGTCCAAGAAGATCGGGCAGCTTTCGATTGCTATTCGTCTGTCAGCAGAGTGCAAAGTAATGGAAAACTCAAGAGGCAGAGGACGCAAGACTTCGTGCGAGGTAATGTTGTGAAATATCTGTGCGAACCATACCTTCGTCTTCGAATCGCGGCGCGGTGTGCGACTGGGCCACTGGATACTCTATGCTCCAAGTTCCAGATTTTTGATGACAGAACGTAATGATGGAAGTTACAGATCTTGCGCACGGAATCTATGATCGCGAAGATGCTGGTGGAGAATAGAAAGAGTCGTGTTGGTGTTGTCTTGGAGTCGAGACGCGTGCGTGGTGGGGTTTAACAAGTAACCAGATAAAAAATTTGGGTGGATGGCAGCGGAGAGCCGCCATTGGCCCGTTAGCGTGAACTACGGCATCCCAGGTATAAAACGTCAAAAATATACAACAACATTGACATCATTTCTTCTATTGTTGAAGGGAATTTCTACGAATTGGCAGTGGAAAAGATTCCTGTATTTAATGTTCTCTAAAACGATTCGATCAGATACTAATATGCTCTACTGCAGAGTATGTATTTCGGCAAAGAGCCTTGCACCACAAGGCGCCTCGGAGCAATCAACAGCCGGATGTCTGTCAAGGACAACATGCTGTACGCTGGCTGCTTTACCCACACTGCGAATTGTGCACTTGTATTATAGATTTCGAAGTAATTGATATCCAGCTAATCCATTGGATCTGCAAGGGATTGTTGTAATAAGCTATGGATGTTTCTCTAGGAGGTATATTTTTATCCGAGTAGTAGTAGTACCTGTACCGGTACTCTAAGACCCTTGATGTCCCACTTCCCGCCGTAGCTCAGTCCTGTCTTTTGGATCTCCCGCATCAAATACTATGGCTTTATCTCAAGCTTTTGCCACCCTGGTCTGACTCCAAGATCGACTGTAGCCAAAACTCAATGTGGAGAGATCATTGAATATCAGTCACGTGTCAACACCAACACCCCGCAACTGGGGAGAAACGCGAATCTCCAGCTTTCGTATCTCGTGTCTCTTCACTACTTCAACCTCGCAGATTGTACTTATGAACTTGATCACAGACAACGAACTTCACTTGCATTACCAAAGCTTTAAAATACCCAATACCAACGTTTCATATCGCGACCAAACTTGAGATGGCAGACCCCGCAGTCCCACACTTTGACCCTCCCGGCCGCAAGAGCACATCAAGCCCCTCGCCAGGTCCAAACAACGGCCAAACGATCAGTTTAAGCCATCGCTCGAGCTTTGCAGAGAACTTGAGGCACTCTCCACGTTCCCAACGTCATCCATCCTTCACACAAGCTGCTGTTCAAGAGCTTCTCAATCATCCGCCAGCTCCCAAAAGCAGCGATCCAAAATTTGTTGGACGAGATTGGAGACAAATACGCGTGGCAGAGCTTATCGACAATACTGAAGTGAGATGGGCTGAGCTTGATGTTGGAGTCGAACAGGCTACGAAGGTGAGGTCTCCTTTTTATACGATTGATCACAGTTTCTAAACATTTTCCAGCTGCTGGTCGACTTGGGACCCCCAAACGTTATTCTCCTACGCGAAAAGTCCTCTGATACCAGTGCCTGCGGAACCTTCGATTATAGCGACCTGAATGCATATCTCCTCGTTGTTGTTGGACTGGCGAACCCGGAAGAAGGTCAAGTAGATGTCTTCGATGCGTTGGCAAAGAAAGCTCGCGAAGGGGTTTCTATACCAGTACGAGACATTCAAACCTTAGCAAAGAAGAGTCCATTAGTTACTTTACCAGAGTCGGCGGACCTCTCTAAAGCTATCGAACATTTTGGAAGTGGTGTGCACAGAATATTGGTTTGCAAAGACGGCACTACGGAGGTTATTGGTATCTTGAGCCAGTTGAAGCTGGTCAGGTTTCTTTGGGATAATGGCACGAGCTTCGCAGCTATTGATGCATTGTATCCAATGATCTTGAAAGACTTGCAAATAGGAACTCCTCAAACCATTGCCATCAAGTATGTATTCGTTCTAGTTCTTGGACTTACACACTAATATGATAATAGTGGAGATAGAAGCCTATCAGATGCTCTCCAACTTATGAGCGATGAAGGTCTTACAAGCGTGGCTGTGGTGGACAATGCTTCCAATGTCGTTGGAAATATCTCGACTGCAGATGTGAAGCTGCTCACCAACAGCAGCAGCATTCCACTTCTAAAGTCTACGTGCATCCATTTCGTCTCTGTCATTCTCTCGGAGCGTGGCATTGGCGATGGCAAAGATTCCTTCCCTGGTACGGTTAAAATACATCAAAATATTTTCGTTCTTCACTGACCTTCACACAGTATTCCACGTCAATCCATATTCTACACTTGCTCATACAGTAGCCAAGCTTGTTGCCACCAGATCACACAGAATGTGGGTCGTTGAGTCAGCGTCCCCATCTCCCTCAGCACCAGCTACACCACTAGCCACGCCGTCCATCACTCACGCTCTCCATTCCTCGCCTTCCAACTCCACTCCAGCATCTCCATCTCTGTCCGGTGTCTTCCCAGCCGTCTCAGCCGCTTCTCTCCCTGGCGCTCGGATATCCGGCCGTTTGACTGGCGTCATCTCCCTTACCGACATTCTGAACCTCTTTGCCCGCCAATCGGGTCTTAATCCTCTTAGTCCCAATGACCAGAGATCCCGAAGACGCCGCAGCTCAAGCAGTTCAGTGCGACCAAGTTTCGACTCAGCACGAAATTCAAGCACTGAAATACGAAGATGAGTGAGCGATACCGGGAACTAGAGGAGAGATATCCATCAAAAAGCTATTGGCATAGACTTCGCTGTTTCGGCAGGCCGGTACACTACACGCAGTCCGTTTTTAAGAGCCACTCGGTGGGCTCACGAACGTTGAGAATCGTCACATGATTGATGAATGGTAATTCTACGGCAAGCATTCTAGGGCGCGAGCTTGAGAAGATATGAAGACATGAAGCGAAGAGATTCAGATAATATGCCAGCAAAGACTAGTTTCCTCAAGTAGCTAGCTAGCTAGGCAATACCATCCTTGCCCTCTGGCCTCCCATTCTTTTGTCCTCCATTGACACATAGGTAGGTAAGAAGAAAAGCAAGTCTAATGCCTGCGTCCAAGAATAGCGCGCTTCTTCCTCAACGGCTCTCCAATAGCATCACACTCTGTCGTCGCCCAAGTGAGCGTTGCTATTTCATATTAGCTTTCTTTCTTGTCTCTCCTCCCAGGCTAAATTCCCTCCAAACCTCCTCCCAACCTCCCAAAAAGGAAACAAAACTCACAATCAACATCCGCCGTATCACAAGCCCCCACAACACAAATCTCTACATCATCAAAGAACGTGGTATCGGCGCACAGACACGCGATATCAGTGTCAGCACAGCTCGTATTTGCAAAGTTATCTTCGAAGCAAGTTTGCTGTTGGGGCTTTTGTTCGTACTTCGGCAAGGGGGGACGGAGGAAAGGAGGAGGAAGGGAAGAGACGAACAGCGCAGGTAGGTAGACCTGTGAGGTCCTGTGCTAGGCATGGCACGCCTAAGCTGAGGATGGCGGTCGCGAGGATGAGGGAGAGGTGCATTTTCGAGACTGGGTTTGGTGTTTTGGTGTTTGGGGTTCAGGTTCTGAAGAAATGGTGGTTCTGTCCTTCAAGTTTCTCTGTTGGTGGAACGGACTTTTTATACTCCGGAGAAATCACAATCTCCCAAACTACCTAAATAAATGTCCAGCATGACCAGCAGAAAAAATCGGAATTCTGTCTCCAATTTCTCACCGCAGCGGAGAATCTTCTTACGTTGAGAGGACGTAAGAGCGTCCCCGGATCGGCATGTGATGTTTCCTCTTTCATGGCTGGGATGAGGCGGCTGGGTGCCGGTATCGAGATCTTGCTCCGGGGTAACAGGGGTCGGAGGGTTTTGGTATTGCGGGGAAAGGGGATGGGGAAAGGAGGGATTTTGTTTAGCCTGGCTAGGGTTTGGTTGGGTGGATTGGAGGACTTGGTGGAATGGTTGAGGGATTTCGAGATGGACTTTGTGAGGTTGTATGCCTATTAGAGTTGGTATGGTATGGTATCTCCAATTGAAGCTACCCTAGGCATCTTGTGCTGTTTGCAAAAAGTGAACATATCAAAGACAATCCAAAAGACAGAAAGAAGACGCAGGTCCCGTCCCCGTACCCCACATATTATCCTCATTATACCCCAGGATTGCCGTCTGTTGTTTTGCTTTATCCCGCCTCGCGTCTCCTGTCTTGCTCCACCTCGAAGCGAACCCTTTTCAGCCTTATCGCCGTTTCTGTCCCCGCAATCGTCAGAGAGATGATATGTTCGCCTCGACCTTCGTCGGCAAGAAAGCTTGTGATTGTTGCTTGGAGCATTTCCTTGGAGTAAAGCTTGTGAGATTTGTACTTGAGATATGTTGCAAAGAGGGGATGGCCATGTTAATGTATGATGTGGCTTGGGAGTTGATGGTTGAGATGTGTTTTTGGCATTGTAATGGGATTATGGTCTCTGACCCGGAGCTTGGAAAACTTTTAGCTGTTACTATTCGATATCTGTCTAAATACCTTTGATACAAGATCTATCCTAGATCTACCTCCTACACCAATAAATAATACACAATCTCCAAAGCCCGTCCAAACGCCGCGCAATGCCACCAAATACCAATCCCACTACCTCAACCCAGCTTTCCTCAACTCCCCCTTCTCCAAACGCTCCATCTCCCTCGTCATATTCCCAAACATCCCCTCCTTATACCGCATACACAGCCCCCTCTCCCTAAAGAACCCCAAATCCGCATCCGTCAAATAAGGACTCCTCTTCCCTACAATCTCAATGAAATCGCTCGTCGTATAGCACCCCACTTCGTGATACAATGGACTATCAAACCAGAAATTCCCAGTTTTCAGACAAGAGGAATATGTGGGGTTGTGCCGAGTTTGGCACGCGTTGGTGGTTGGAGATGTGCGAGCGAATGACCACTGGCGTTTGGTGATGAGGTCGTTGATTAGTGGGAAGGAGGGGTCGGTCGAGGGTGAAAGGGGCGTCGTGGTGTTGGTGGGAGATGGGGTCAGTGAGAGGTGCGCGGAGAGGAATTTGGGAAGGGAGATGAATGTTGCTGTTAAGTCGAAAGCTTCTGGAGTCGGTGATGAGGGTGTGCAGAAATTGAGAGCAGGCTGTAAAGAAAGTCAATGTTAGTATTCTTGATGAGAAAGGAGGAGAGGGAAGACTTACGTCTTCGAGTCTGGCGCATCGGTCGGCCCAAGTTGTGTTCTTTAGGTCGGGGTGATTCCACATGTTATTGCGTGATTCGTAGTTCAGTCCTACGAGGTCTGCTGTGGATGTGCTCAAGGAGTCGAATGCTGCTGATTCGTAGGTGTTGTGCCCATCGGTCACGAGGAAATACTTGGCTGATGCACATCCTTCGTTGATGTCTGTAAGGTTCTTCAGCACCCAATCTGTCGCTGTGAAGCCTTCAGTCCTGTCTTTCGGTAAGACGACATTGTTTGGGATCACAACGTGCTTTATCCGAGGATCAAGAGCTTGAAGAGCAATCTTTCCCAGACTTGGAAACTCCGATCTGTCTTTCTGGAAGACAACCGCTCGCCACTTCTGATTGCTTTGAGCTTGAAGAGAACGCAGCATGGAGGACAGAGTGAAGACCTCGGACTCAGCATTTGCTGGAGATGTGCGGACGAGGACGCAAACATCAACAGTTTGATTCATGACTGTTGCCAACTCTTCGTCGTGTGTCACGCTGGTTTTCATAGAAGAATCTGGCCAGATGTGCTCTTTGTCTGAAATCTCGATTGCATTCTTCATTGCTACACCATAACCATCACCAAACTGCACGCTTGGTTCGATGGAATTGCCTTCGCCCCATTCATTTAGCGCGTTAACGAAGAAGAAGTTTTCGGCTCCAATAGGGTTCGGGTCTGATTTGATCTTTCTGAACATCTCTACGAGATGATACTGCCAAGGCTTAGGATGGCATGCAGGGAGACAAACTGCTTGGCCATCTATTGGATGTCGGGGTGTGGTGTCCCAGCAGGCAAGGGTACCACGATGATAGACTCTCGAGAGTCTTTCCAAGGACGAAAATTTGGCAATGTCTCGACCACCAGCATGAGGCTGAAATTCGTTGATCGCATCTGGTGGATGTCCTCTCCACGAATCAGGCCCTTGAGTGCTACCTTCGCCCCAACGAGTCTCGATGATGTCCATTCCTCCAAGTCCTTCCTCCACTGCCCATTGTCGGAATGCAGCAAACATCTGTGGTGCAATGTGGCCCATGTGCGAGGGGTTGTAAACCATGAATTGAACTTTTCCTTCTGATTTGATGTACTTCGGGTGACGGAAAAATGGGAGGAGCCAGTCGAAATGCTTCCTCCATGCTTGCTGCAGCCCATAATCTTGAGCGATTAGAGTCTTGCCGCCGTGTCCACCATCCCACCTCGCTGTCCAAGGTTCGTTCGCCCAGCTGAGCATAAATGGTATATCGGGCTCTCCATCCTCCAGCATCGCTTGGATAACGTGGTCCATCACCGGTCGTCCAGCAAACCAATAGTGATGAAATGCTGCGCCATAGAACCCACTGTCTCTCAGAAACTTTCCTTGACGTTGTCGAGTTTGGAATTCCAGACCATTGTAGTACCCAATAGATTCATGAGGACGAATCGTCTCCAAATCGAATGCGTTATGTGTAGTCTTGTTAACGTTCACCCACTCAGTGAAGTTCTCGCCATGTAACCTATTGTTGTCTTCGAAAACATAATATTGTGGGAAAATGTATGCGACCGGCTTTATTGAATAATCCTTGGGTGATGTTTTTGGGGCGCTATAAGAAGGAATGAATTGAGGCAAAGGATGCTCGTGAAACGGAAAAGATGTTTGGTATGAAAGAAGGACTTTGATCAGAACAATTAAACCCAGAACAATCGCAACCTTGCGAAGGTTCACGTTAGAAAGGAAACCCATCATTGCATAATTTGGGGAATAGGTAAAAAGAGCGTGAAGTCTAAAAAGACGTGTGCAAATGCGACGAGGGGCAAAAAGTTCAAAAGCTGAAAAACACGAGAAGAGCATCTGATGAAAGGATGAGACTCAATATCACCTTATCGCTGACCCCCTGAAAGCCACCCGTTCTTGGCTGCTCGTGTTGAGTATTAGAGCATGGTCTTCAGACGGACTGGCCAATTGTGGATGCGGGTACCTTCGGAAACGAGGAAATGACATCCTGCGCCGCCCAATGCAAATATTGTGGCGCCGCCGCCGTCAGTGGCCCCCCGTTTCTCCTCTGTTGCCAAGCAATCCTTTGCGTGAGAGGAGTCACAGTGATTCTTGTCGTGGGATGCAAAGCGGTTGCAGATATCGTCGGCTTCACCCGATTATCTTGACCCAAAGTTTAACCTTAGGGCTGTAGTGTAGCCATGGACCCTGCGATAAATGGCGATGATCAGATTTGACACCGGGATGCTTAAGCTTATTGCAACGCATTTTAGGGGTTCTCACTGACCCAAAGAAGAGGCGTTCCCGCGTTTGCTGACATCCTAGAATTGTTAAATTGAGCAATCGGTTAACGGAACGAACCAAGAGAGCCAAGCCAGAGAGCAGTTCTTGGCCCGACTGCGCCGTAACCCAAAGGAAAGGTTTTAGAGGCTCATGCCCCTTTATCCGTGCCTAGCTCAAAAAATTCGCTTCGTTTTGACAGCTGTTGATTTCTAGGATCTTTTAGACCTGCCAATCTTGTGCCAGTAATCGCGATCCCTTTGATCACCTTGTTATCGGTAGGAGAACGAATAGCAAGAATGCTTATGGTATCTTCAACAGGATTGTGGTCAGAGGCCAGATTTCTTGATGAGCAATCTTTCAAAGAGATTTTGAAAGAGTGGGGAAAAGAAAGGGGTAGATCTAGATAAGGTTATATTTAGTGCTTCGCTTCCAAGGCCCACCATGTAATCATAAATCAACCTCGTCTCTTCTCTACTCGGGAGGTATACTTTGATACCTAGGTACTCATGGGCCTATATTGTAAAGTTGACAAAATCCGAGTATCAAAGTCTGACTAGTTGTTCTCGAGTTCTTGACCTCCATTGGGGTCAGCTTCCACGTTGTTAACCTCGAGTCACGTGCGATGCACTTGTCTCAGCCCATTTCATAGAGCATCGCGTTCGTCGGGGTATCTTCAGTACTTTCCCAGTCAGTTTGAGTTATTCTGCGCTGCTTCTTCTTGATGCTCAATATTCTGCATATTAGCCAAATTAGATGCTGTGTTACTTCGGAACATTGACGCTTGCACTTTCACACCCAGTTTAAGAGACGGAACCTTCTGGGTTTTGATTGGTTTAACTACCACGTTTATCTTCCATCTCCAAAGGCACGAGAGAGCTGAACTTTCTAGTTTGGGTTTTCTCGAATAATTAAAGCTGGCTCTCTTCTTGCATTGCTCCTGCCATAATGAGAAATGTCTCCCACTTTCTCTTCTTTTTAACAAGTTCATTTATTAGTAGCTTGGTCCTACATTATTTGCTTGCAAAGTATTGCGAGCTAGTCCTGCTCTTACTATAAGAAAGAATTTCTCGGTTTTCTTCTTCTTAATAAACTTAATTATTCATTTACATAAAATAATTTGTTCCTACATTATTCGCCTGCAAAGTATTGCAACTTAGTCGTACTTTTATTTTAATAAAAAATGTCTTTTTTTCTTTTTAATAATTCATTCGTTAATTAATATAGAATAACTTGTTCCTATATAATTCGCCTGCAAAGTAAAGCGAGCTCGTCATACTTTTATTATAATAAAGAATATTTCTTAATTTTTCAATAATTTATTTATTAGTCTACATAAAATAGCTTATTTTTACATTATTTGCTTACAGATTGCAGCGAGCTAGTCGTACTCTTATTATAATAAGAAATATCTCGCCTTTTTTTTTGATAAATTCACTTATTAATATTACATAAAATAGTTCCTATATTATGTACCCGCAAAGTTTCATAAGTTATTCTTGCATTATGTACCCGCAAACTTTCGCAGGCTAGTCGTGCTCTTGCTATGATGAAAAACTTTTCTTTTCTTTTTAATAAACTTATTTATTAATTTTATACAAAATAGCTTGTTTTTACATTATTCGCCCGCAAAGTGTGGCAAGGGAGTCGTACTCTAATTATAATATGAAACATCTCTCTTTTTTCTTTTTTTTCTTTTTTTTTGATAAATTCACTTATAAATTTTATATAGAATAAATTGTTCTTGCATTAGTTACCCGCAAAGTTTCGCGGGCTAATCGTGCTCTTGCCATAATAAGAAATATCTCTTATATTTTCCTATTCTTTATAAGTCCACTTACTAGTTCACTAAATGGTTTCGGCATTATTTGCCCGCAAAGCCCGCAAGGCTTGCGGGCTGGTCGTGCTCCTGCCATAATAAGAAATATCTCCCATGTTTTCCTTTTGTTTTTTATAAGTTCACTTATTAGTTCACCATAGAACAGCTCGTTCCTGCATCATTCACCCGCAAAGTTTTGCGGGCTAGTCGTGCTCTTGCAATATAAATAATGCTTCCTCTTTCTCTTCTTTTCTTTCTTTCTTTCCTCAACAACAAAACAATCTCCTCTATCAAGAGCCTCACATCTACCAACAAAGACGGTCACCATGTCCACACTTTCCGCTCTCAGACTGTCTGTCCGTATCTTCCTCGACTACTTAGACGAGATAGTAAGTTGCCCCTTTCCACCCTGCTATTCACTTTTTTCTACGCGAGATTAGCCGGAATTTCACTCCCCTTTTTTCAGAACTCATGCTAATTCTCGCTTAGGACCCCGCCACTAGATCTCATGATCGGACTCGGTTCGTCGGCGATGTGGTCCCCCGTGTTGTCGATGTATGGACATCTGGCCTCAACAACGTTACTGAGAACGCCTACTCGACCCGTGTTGGCATCATCGGCCTTCTCCTAGCCGTTCACACCGCTCGTCTCAACGAATCACGCTGGAAGGTGATGCTTGCTCTGGCATGGTTAGCCGCTGAGGCTGCCCAAGAATTGGAGGACTTCGGCGAAGACGATGACGATGACGATGACATTGCGTTGGAGAAGACACTCTTGTGCGATGTGATGTCCGACCTGTTCATGCGTTGGGCATAGATGGGGGAAACAGAGGTGCATCTCCGGGGATGAGAAGTTGCTCGGGAATCACACATAATCTAAAGGATTGATCGTTGGTCCTATGCGCATGGTTTACAAAAGTTATCCAAAAGTACTTTTCAAGAAAATGCAAGAACCATTCTATGGTGAACTAATAAGTGAACGTGTTAAAAAGGAAGGAGAAAGAAGTACGACTAGCTCGCCACACTTTGCAGGCGAATAATGTAGGAACAAGCTATTTTATGTGAATTAATAAATAACTTATTGAAAAATATCTATCAATGTCTCCTAAAGACAGAGGTTCGGATCCTCGATTCGGGTAGGGATTTCATAAGGTCGGGTTCCTTCCGTACAGATGCAAACAACCACTGAGTCATTGTTTAGAACCTCCTCGGAAGCTAGTCTTCTCAGTCCAGCAAGAGCAGCAGCCCCACAGGGACCTGCTTCCACATCATTCTCAGCGAGATCCAGGATAGCTTGATGACATTCCCAGTCGGAGATCGTGGCGCTGATATCGACGCCCTGTTTGAGTAAAGGCCAAGCAATACTTGACAGCGTACCACACTCCAAGCCAGCCATTATCGTTGGACTGGTTGTTATGGAGAGAGATTCGCCCGCTTTGAGACTTTTGTGCAACGTAGCTGCTGTGTCAGGCTCAACTGTCATGATCACCAGAGACGGAGATGTTTTGTTGGGAGATTTATAGTATTGGATGATAGCCTGCGTAAGCGAGCCTACGCCGACAGGGGCTATTATCATACTTGCTTCCTGCCCGAGGAGTTGTAACTGAGCGTCGATTTCATGGAGCATAGTTGTGTATCCCTCGACAGCCCACTTAATGCAAATTAGCATTTCACGGGACTTGAAATGGAAGTCATGCATACTCGGGGAATATCTTCATATCCTGTATAAGCGACGGCTTCAATGAGCATAAAGTCCTCATTCTGCTCTGCAAACCGATGAGCTGTCTGAACAGTCTCATCGTAATTTCCATCAGCAACAACGACGTTCGCTCCCTCATCGGCTATGGAAGCTATGATTCTTTCATCCAGACCCCTTGGGACGAAGACTTTCGTTTCGTTGACGCCGAGTAAGCGGCCCATGAATGCTACTGAGCGGCCATGGTTCCCGTCTGTGGCAGCACAGAATTTGATATCGTGTTTTTGGACGGCGCCTCTTAGGTCATCTAGAGAGGAAGATGAGGGAAGATTTGCGTGATGGATTATCGCTTGTCGTACAGCCCAGGAGGCTCCTAGAAGTTTGAAAGAGGGAAGTCCGAGCCGGGAGGTCTCGGCTTTGATGTAAATTCCTTTGATCCCGAGCTCGCTTGCAAGGTCTGAGAGAGGCACGAGGCGGGTTGGTGCGTAGTTTGGGAGAGATGCGTAGAAGGCTTTGATGGAGGTGGAGTTGTCTTTGGTTAGTGGTGCGGTGTAGGATTTTGCGAGAGGATTGTGGTATATGGAGCGGCGAGGGGCGGGTTTGGAGATTTCCATGACGTGAGGAAGTCGTGATAGACATTAGCAGGAGGCTGAAAGGTTGAAGTGAGGTTGTACATCTCGAGACCATAGTGTGGGGGTACGCTTACATACTCTGCATTCGAATGGAATGTCTTTGAGCCAATCAAACATTAGAGCGTTCCGTCTCTTCACCTGGAAGGTGTGAAAATCGTTCCGACGTAACACATCATTCCCTCTCCGCAGAGAAGATGTAACTTTGAGACAACGAAAGTGGAAATGATATTGATAGAGTCAAGTTCAACTAACACGTGCAGCACTGAAGCTTGAATATCACAGTCGGAAGAGTAACAAATCTGGTTGCAATTTAGTCCTATATATTCTTTACCAATGGCAGCTACCTCCGTCCTGGAACTGGAGAATTCCTCGATCTCAACACATTATGAACCTCCAAAGAAGCTACCAATGGCTTTCACTGCGAGGCAGAGCTTGCTTGGAGTGTTTGGGGGTATCCTTGCTAGGTCACTGCCACTTCAATTAGAATTTGTCAAAGATAGAGGAGTTGATTATCTCACCAAAACCTGACTTTGAGAACCTGTCCGTCACACCTTTTCCGCTTGAATAAGGTCTTCAGTCTACATCCCATGAATTCCTCAAGGGACCACTTCAAATCTCCTTCTTTTTCTTCATCTTCGCCAGCATAGCCGTCTATGCTTTCAAATGCCCTTTTGATACCGCCAAGTTTCCAATCTTGGGCTGATTCCTCGTTTTCTTCATTTCTCCATGTCATCTCGGCCTGTTTGTCAAGGATCTTGGTCTGACATTCCGGGAAATGTGCTTTCCATCTCGGATCCAAAACACTTTTACACATGCCCAAATCGCGCCAACAAGTCAGCACAAGCAAGATTCCCTTTATCTCACTTCTCTTCCTCTCCTCCCCTTCCTTCTTCTTCAAGACTCTGGAACTAGAATCCAACATTCCCTCCTCCTCCAACTCCTTCGCAAAAACATCACCAATATTAACCTCCCACTCCAAAGCGCACTCCTCACACCTTCTCACACCCGCATACTTCCCCGGATCATCAAAATTCCAAAACGCACCATCGACATGCTGACAAAGTTTACAAAGACTATTGCCACCCCCTCTAGTCCTAACCTCGGCCTCCAACGCCTTGATCGCACGCCAACAATTCCTTTTCGTCTCTTTCAAAAACCAAAAATGCTGCGTGCGATACATCAACCTCTCTCTACCCTTCAAACACCCCTCGGCCACGTAGAATTTGGTGGCAACACCAAAAGCGCCCCACCACGGCTGTTGGAAATTTTCCCCTTCGCCAAGTTCTTGCTCGTATTCTATCACTTTATCAGATCGAGAGAACTGCAGCCCGGCACGACGCACACAGGACGAGGTGTCGCCGGCGCGGTAGTATTTCATCGCTTTTTGCGCTCGGCGGAAGGTGATGGGGCGGAAGAAGAGCTTGGGGTAGATGCTGAGTTTGGTGTTTGAGGGGCAGGAGCGTGGGTGAGTTGTCATGGAGTGGAGGGTTTGGCAATGAGTGCAAAGGATGACGGCCGAGGAATGATGGTCCAGGACCTCGGCGAGGATTTGGTAGGTCTTTTGTTGGAGAGGAGACATAGGTTTAGGAGAAGTAGTGCGATGTGAGGATATGAGGGGAACGGAATCCATGTCTAGGTCGTCTTCCTCGTCTTCGTAGGTGGTGGGTATTCTGCCCATAAACGAGGGAAGGCAGGGAGGTTCTTTTTGGCGAGCGGCGGCGAATGCTTCGTCTAAGAGGATAGAGCTGTGTGATGTTGGTAACATTGATACTATTCCTTTGAGACTTGCTTGTCCGAGACATCCTAAGTCAGGAATTTGTTGGAGAGCGTTTCTCAGCTGGCTGTTTCTCGTTTCTTCGGAGCTTGTCGATTCAAAAAGACGCGTAGAGGTCAGTTGAGAGTCGGAGCGCCAGTGGACATTGGATCCCTTTTTGTTTGGGTTTGAGTCTGTTGCCTCGTCGTCTCTATTTCTTATCGGCTGTTCCAGCTCGAGTAGAAGTTGCTCGGTAGCCGAGTCTAAAGAAGAGGTAGAATCTGAGTCGTTGTGGAGATCAATGTCGCTTGCCTTGCTCCACCCACAAGCACGGCATTGGAAGCTGTCCAAATTCTCGTACTCATCGTCGGGATCCTGAACATGGAAGCAAAGGTCGAGAGTCACAGTTTGCGGTGTTGGCGCGGCGATTTCGACTTTTCCTTGCTTTTCGGCAGCCTCTTCGATTTGAGAATCTTCTTCCCATGAAGTAAGTTCCTCGCCTTCCTCGAAAACGGGTATCTGAAAGAAGGGGGTGCAGACTTCCCAACGCGTGGGAGCTTTTTTCGAAGATTGTACTGAGCCATCTTGAGAAGAGTGCACGAGATGACGTTTCTGAGGCGTGATACGCCCAGCTTCTAACATCTCCTGGCGTTCTGTTGCACTTGGAGTTACGAATGGAGTAAGTATGGAATCAGAGACTGCCATTTCGAGTTCTGATGTAAGCTCGAAACTTTGAGCGGGCAACAAGCTAGGAGGAGTCATGGCGACGAGCTTGAATCTTTTGACGTGCTCAACGACGTGAATAGAGAATGTTGTCGTCGAAAGCGTTTGCTTGTTGTCTGTTCTATTCGAAAAAAGATCTCAGAAATCTAAAGGGCTTGTTTTGACAGTAAATAGGATTTACTCATGGACGGATTGAAAGAAGTATACCAAAGTGCAGCGAAGTGTAAACTTTTCTGCGGAATCAGTGTTGCACTTTTTGATATCAAACAAAAATACTCGAAGTGAGAGTGCGACGCAAAGAAATGCTCCAATTCGAATTCAGACCACACAACAGTCCATTTCGAACAAAATAATGGTATCCTACCTCTATCCAGTTTAACTCACCGCCCCACATCTGGTTCGTTCCCGGCACTAACATTTCACTACACGATTTCAGTCCTATACTAGACCATTAAGGTAAATGACAATTGTTTTCATTGTCTTTCAAATGTGTGAGATTGGTTGAAGTGTGCTGCGAGATGAGCTAATCGACCAACATGAATGTGTTTGTTGCATGTCGCAGGCATGCCATTACTCAGCTAATGACCTTTTGTAGTTAGAAGCATAATTTCATTGTCTTCGAAACTTTGAGGTTGGAAGAGAGATGAACAAATGTTTGCGCTTGAGAGGATTTGAAGGTATGAAAGTGTGTTTATTGGGGGAGGGCGGGGCCCAGTGGCCAGCTCGTCCACTTTTCACCTTGCCCATAAAATCTGTGACAAGACTTCATGAACTTTAATGTTCAGAACGATTTTCATGATTTGGCAGTATAACAAAACCAAAACTCCATGTCTGGTCTATTAATAGAAATCTCGACACAAACCGATTTTCAAGGATTGATATCTTATCAAGATCTTGACGAGCAACAATCCAAGCTCAAACTCCGGTATCTTATCTCGATCTCGACATGCAACAAAATCCCACATTCAGCACGGAAATTTACATTCCAACAAATTCAACACTTGAAGATTTTCGAGTTAGCAGGGAGCAGGCTTCTGCACCTCTCACCGCCAAGCATCAAATCGAGCACAAAAAACAGGAGCAAAGTCATGTAGCAGTCGTTATAAGCCACCAAACCACGATCACGAGCCCTCCCTTGGGATAAACACGCTATCAGAGATTGGTGGTAATAAAAAACCGCCTCAAAGCGCCTCCACACGTTCTAGCCTTGGCATTGACGCAGGTACAGCAATTTGCCTCCTTCGAGGTTTAATGTCTCGCATGGAATACAGAGCTTCAAGGATTGATCTCGCCTTGTACTCCACCTGGCCGCGCGAATTATGTGCTAATGCATAAGAAAAGAAGGTATAAGGAAAGAAGAACCTAAGGCAAGTAAACACCTCCGCTTGTGATTGGGATTAGGTTGAAATTGGACAATGGCGCTAGCTGGTAGTCGCCTTTCATTTTTGGGTATCATTGTACATCGTAAGCAACACGTCGCATCCTATCATAATTAGAAGAGCTTCCTCCTCGATGCACTGTTCTCCATTCTCGTCAATGCTTGTTCAATGCCGATGACATCTAGCTCTCCACCATTGGTCGCCTTCTCTGCCAGGACCAGTCGAGTTTCTGGCTTAGGAACTGTACTTGGCTTCGATTGCTTGCCTGTCGTCAATATCGTGAAGCGATGTTCGGCCAGAACTAGGATATCTGTTGCAAGGCTAGAGGATGGAGCGTTTCTTGGTATCTGTTCAACGCCTGAGCAACGCTCGCCTTGTAGGTCGATGTTCTCAATCTTGATCATTCGAGCACCGGATGGTCCAGTGAAGAGATTGCCCGAACCACCATTCTTGTGTGCCGACCAGTACTTCGCCAGGCTAGGAATCACAGCGTATGTTTCTCCAAACCAAAACAGGATCGACTCTTCAGGAGGACTAGTTGGTGAAGAGACAGGCATATCCATGACTGAAATTTGACCACAAATTGATACATCTGAACTCCGCCCACTAAACGGTTCGGCTGTTTTGCGAGTACCAGGCGTCATGGGCGCAAATTTAGAGGTAGACATCTGGGGTGGCCCTGAAGAGCGTGACTTCATTGCACCATCGAGGTATCCTGTGAGACTGTATCCTGACTTGGACCCGCCCTTGACACCTTGTCGGCCAAGAATACCTTGCGATGCGTTCGGCCCTGATCCTTCCACATCCCAAATCGCCCATTCTCCATCCGCCATAAGAACAAGAATAGCCTTTCCACCAGAGACCCACTGTGCATCGACTATCGATTTACGACCAAAGCCTGCGTGTGCGCCAGTGTGTGATGTTTGTGAATCGCTTTTTGGGAAGCCAGTATAGAGTGATAAAAGCCAGGTACCCTGCTCGGCGAGTGGTATCTCGGATGCCTCTTCAGCTGTCTTTATAAGAAGCTTGTAGTCGTATATCCTACATGCTCCAACTGAATCTGCAACCAGCAATCGACTCGAATATTCACCTGAAAGCGCTGGATTGAACGAGATGGCTTTGGCTGGAGCCGAGAGGTATATTGACTGAAAAGGCTCTATATGGCTCTGTTGTGATTTTATGGGAATCTGATAAAGGCGCAGAAGTCCTGTCACTTCTCGAGAATGTGATGCGACAACCAGATGCGGTTCTGTAGAGGACTGTGGCGAGGCAGACTTCACCAAAGTGCCTGGTCCGCCAACAGGATCCGCCGTCATTGAGATTCCATCAGAGGGTTTCTGATGACCACTTAGAAATGTCACAGTCTCGCCCCATTTTCCTTTGCCAGCGCTGGCCGATGTGAAGTCGTTCCGGAGCTCAGAACGTGCTTTGCTTGCCGGCGACGGTGGTGTCAGTGGTAGGGTGACGAGACGAACAGTATTATCGGCACATGCTGCAGTGAAGACTAGTCTTTGCTTAAGTGATTCCAGTCCACGCCATGATGGCCCATCTGCTCGCAGGACCGAAGAGGGTAAGACCGCAAGGTGGAGGACATCGGTGTTAAAGCAAAGATCCAGCACCTGTAATGTGGATGGATATGGCCGTAAAGGATTCAGCTCTTCTTCTTCGTCCTCAAACTCGGGTTTATCGTCGAATGTTCTAGAGGAGTCGCCTTCATCATCAGAATCGAGGGATATGATAGCTCCTCCGCCGTTTGCTTTCTGCGAAGGTGCTGGGGTAGGTTGTTTAGACTTGAATGGTCTGCCACCTCTCCAAACAATTTTCACTCCATTTTCGTGTCCATAGAGGATGACAGTGGAGCCATTAGAAGATTGTAAAGGGTAGATCTTCGCAGTGTGTATTCGGTGCGGTAGTTCGAAACTTTCCAGGCATACATTAGCTATGACCACCACCAGAGGAATTGCTCACCTTAATTGAACGTTCTGGGGACTCTTTATTACTCTTGGAGTAAATATGTTCGACGCCATCTTGGCGGAGAAGTCGGCAAGCTGAACCCAACTGAGAATCAGAATGGTGTGTTGACTTGCTTTTGTTGTACACAGGCGCGTGAAGCAAGAAGGTCGCGATTTGTCGGTATCGGAAAAACCTTGGTCCACTAGCGGCTGAACAACCCAATGTCTTCTTCTCGCATCTTAGGTGGCGTGTTCGACTGGATAGAGGTGAGTCTCACTTCTCAAGTATTTGTTTCGGCAAATCAAGTGCATGCAGTGGCATTACTTTCTCAGTACCAAGTCATTCAAGCTTGGGCAATGGATCCAAGTACCTATGTGCCATCTCACGAAGCCTGCTATTGGGGAGTCTGCACTGGCTCTCTGATCTCATGCTGTGTGATCACTTTCGTTCTTCATACATGAAAATGTTCGTCTGCAAATCTTTTCAATCTTAGTTTCCGTGACAGATGTCTCGCAAAAGAGAAGACTGTTATCAGTCTCCGCATATCATCAAGTGAAGCATGTCAATGTACTGACATTGTTCATCGAGCAACATTGAGCAGAGTGAGCATTTGCCCGCCTCCGACTTATCTCTTATAAGTCCTGAGTATATCATGCCGAGGAGACTTTCAAACAAAAGCCAGTAGCTACATAATACATATTTTATAGTCCTTCGAAATGCCATGCGACAAAGAAACGAGAAAGCTCAGGCAACAAATGCTCTTTCTATATTAGCCAAACAGTGACTTGCAACCCAATTGATCACCACGTGTAGGCGTTGTGTGCGGTCAGATAGCCTCTAGCAAGGAAATCCGTACAGGGCAGTCGTCATTCCTCCCCAAGGTGTCGGCGTGAAAGGGTCCAGGTAGGTGACGACATTGTTACTTGGCCAGAGTTGGTGACCAGCATACCAACCCGTCGTCTCATCCCATCTTGCATAGCCGAGTGGTAGGTCCATTTCCACGGTCCATGGTAGCTCAGAATCGACGGAGATATGACCTTTGGTACACAGAATCAGCATGAGAACCAGAAATTAGCCAGAAAGGGTTATACATACTATTTTGGCCACCAACAGCAATTCCAAGATGGATGCAAACCGGGTCGAAGACATCGATCCAGACATCATAGTAGTTGTCAGGATACTTGTGGTTATTGTAGGGGTAGTCGGCATTAGAGTAATATGGCCAAGCTCCATTTTCGTAGTAAATGGTGACTCGTGCTTGGCAAATGTTTGGGTTGTTTGTCGGGATGCAGATGATTTCACCAGTTTTTGGGTCAGTGGCTAGGGCAAGTGTTGGCGTCAGGTAAGTGAGGAAGACAGCTATAAAGACCGTGAATGCGGACAAGATCCGAGAGTTGGCCATCTCGAAGCGGAGTTTGATGGGTTTGCTAGAGAGTCTTGCTGGTGTATAGTATCTTCGATGCGTCAGCATTGTTCGGACTTCTAGCTAGTATCTGACACTGAGAGCATGAGTGGAAGATACGACTTACTTCGGTCTTGGACCTTGCTGGAAGCACCAATAGTCTGACTGGAGGATGAATATGTGTAGGAGACTGTGACTTGATTCTACAACAAATGTCCAGACTTGTTGATGGATGATGCTGTTTGAATTGTGGAAGGTCAAAGTGAAGATACTAAGTGAGACTTCTACCCAATGTCTGCTAGTTTACTATTCGCTCAGACTAAAAAGGAATGACTTGAGCTGGGTGGACTAATACTGAAAGTCGTTGTTGCTGTGTCGAAGGGAAAGGGTCGACTCGTTCGAGTGGTACGATCGTTCTTTTTATGCAAACACAGTGGGAGTCAGAAGTCAGTCGCAGGATCAGTTTGCCTTTGTGAATCATTACATCCTAGTTCAGGTGAAAGATGGATGGAGTCACGAACTCTAATTGCCAGAAAACTGCACTTGTGAATGAATCATTGCTTCTTACCTCTTATGATCTGTCGAGTGACGAAGTCAAAGATACGTGCTACTACTCGGAAGCACTGATAAACTGACTAAAAGTGCACTGAACTCACATGAACAAACAGGACGTAGTGAAGTTTGAACATGATATACTTTGCATGCTCTACGGGTATTCTGCTGAGGTCATGCTGAACAAGCCCACACTTAAAAGCTTCGAAGTAGCCCATCTAAGCCATAACTTGATCATATCATGTACTTAACTGGCCTATGCTGTCGTCTTGGCCCAGGAAACAATGTGGGAGGCTCAGTATAGTTGGGTCACGTGAAGACACCCTGACGATCCTCAGGTCTTTTCTCCATCTGAACTCTCAAGGACCAATGAATGATTTATCGAATGAGATTGACTAGATTACATTTTGCGCAGAAAGTCTAAACCCACTTGGGCATTGCATTGGAGATCATGTATATCGGCAACGGAAAAACTTTATTCCTCTCGCAGAAAGATGACCCTTTTCTGTCGTATTCCCGAATTTCGGAACACGAGCTGACTTTATCCAGCAGGAACACGCATATGCTGTTATGATCCGTGTAACTCTGGATACATCTGGGACGACAATACTCACCAACATCCGCTAAAGAGGATTGTCTTTTCTGAGGCTTCCGTCGCCCACTTACGCTCACCAGGTGCTGTCAGGCTGTCTAGAAGGGTAGCCAGAGTCAGTCAAGCGCAATCGGAGAGTAGCTGGCCAAGACGGGAATCACGGCACCGGCTTGCACTCAAACATTGCCAACTTTACGCCTCAAACTATGAGGCCGCATTTTATGTCCCTCTTATGCAGCCCTAATCTTCTGCCACACCGCTTCACCCCGCAGTCCCTGGCTGTTTTTGCCTCCGGAACTTTTCAAGAATGGAGATCTTTTCGAAGTCTCAAGGGCGGTGAGAAAAGAGGGCAAGACTACCGAATGAAAGTCTATCTCTCGGAACGATGAAACATATCTGCACTACTTCTGTCAGTCTAAGATGGTGCGCTTTAGCTTGGCCGTCAAAACAATAACGGGATGGCGTCTGGATCTGGATGTCTCATCGGTTTCGTTCAGGCCGTATGCTCGCGGAATACCTCCCGCTGCTGCACTATCCATCCATGGGGGCAATCATGTCTTTGCAGGGGCAACAGAAGGGCTTGAAGTGGGTTTGTCATTTCGCGCTCCACTATCTCCGATACCGACTCACTCCTCTTCCCATTTTTCAATAATTCTTATTTTCATTCTTCCTGAGATCTAGATTTTGAGTATGGCAGCACATCTTTGAAGTCATTCTTGTACAACTTTGCCCTTCTCCATAGTGAGAGTTTTTTTATCCCCTTGTAATCAATACCCTCGAAATCACATCATCTTGAGTTGCCGAAAGCCTCGGCGTAGAGTTAAACCGAGTTGAAGGGAGAAACTTCCCCAATCCGACGCGATTTTCGGACAATTTGCAAGACAGACCCTAACAAAGATGGCACCGATGGGAGATTTTGAGAAAGAGAGTTATCCTCAAATAGATCCCAGCGCACATCCAGCTCACGACCATGACTCTCACCTGATCGATGATCCTGAGAAAGATGGACACACTACAACGACCTCGCCTTCTCATACTGCTCACTCAAACGGCTCAAGAGATACAATCGACACCGATCCACTATCACCCTTAGAACGAGCTTTGACGCCAGATCTAGAGACTGATGCTGAACATTTGGCTCGTCCAGAGATAACATATACTAAAACTGGGGCATCAGTAGCAACCACTGGATCGAGGATACCTTCCTTCGAAGTTGACTTCGCCCCAGATGATCCCGAGGACCCTCGAAACTGGCCTCTGTGGTATCGTGGTATGCTCATTGGAGCAGTCAGCTATGCAACATGGACCGTTGTTCTATACAGCACTTCTTACACATCGAGCATGCCCGGTATGATGAAGCAATTCAATGAGACCAGCGAGCCAATTACCACTCTCGGAGTCACAACGTACCTGCTCGGTCTCGCTGTTGGGAGTTTAATCTTAGCACCATTGAGTGAGATCTATGGACGGAGACCTATCTACATTGGCAGTCTTGCGCTGTACTGCTTACTAGTGCTGCCTTGCGCTCTTGCTACTTCCCTTCCCGAAGTTCTCATTGTTCGCTTCTTTGGGTAAGCTCCTTTTCTGTTATGATGAAGTGCAAACTTACATAAATACAGAGCTTTCTTTGGCTCTGCCATGATTTCGAATGCCCCAGGCACGGTCAGCGATATCGTAACGGAACAATACCGAGCACTCGCGTTCAGTGTATGGAGTATAGCGCCTATGAATGGACCGGTGACAGGTCCATTGATAGGAGGCTTCGCAGCGGAATATTTGGGTTGGCGTTGGACCAATTGGCTTGTGATGATCCTCTCTGGAGTCGGTTGGATCTATCTTTCTTGTTTCAAAGAGACATATGCCCCGAAAATACTACAGCAAAAGGCAGCAAAGATGAGAGCAGAAACTGGAGATGATAGATGGTGGTGTCGATATGACCAAAAACTGAGTCGTATGTTGACACTTCGTTGATGGAAGAACCGGACTGACGTTTGGACTGATATAGGTACCCAAATTCTCAAGGTCAATCTGTCTAGGCCATTTATACTTTCATTTACGGAACCAATCCTGTGGTTCTGGAATGCTTATATAGCTGTACGTCTCACCCCTTCGTTAAACCTTAACCGAGGTCTTGGCAGCTTGTGCTTCCTTGTAACAAGCAAGCTCCAAAGTACCTTTTAGAGGCGATAGCCGAGAGCTAATTTTGTCTTCCAGATCATTTATGGTATCCTTTACCTTTGCTTCGTTGCATATCCTTTAATCTATACCGGCCTACGCGGCTGGTCTCTCGGAGATACTGGTCTTGCTTTCGTCGGAATTGGAGTCGGCACGATGATTGCGATTGTGACGGAACCTCTCGCCAGACGAATCGTCAATAGGCACGATAAAGACCCCGAGACTGGTCGAGTACCACCAGAAGCGTCCATCAGCATTGTTTGCTTTGCCTCATTCTTGTGTCCGATCGGCCAGCTTTGGTTCAGTTGGACTTCTGTACCGATTACCATTCACTGGATCTGGCCTATCCTGGCAGGCGTTCCATTTGGAGCTGGCAACTGTTTGGTCTTCATCTACGCTTCCAATTACCTTGCTGGGTCCTATGGTATCTACGCAGCCTCGGCACTTGCTGGAAATGCTGTCGTTCGATCATTCATCGGTGGAACACTCCCTCTGGCTGGTCCAGCAATGTATTCTGCAATGAGTCCACAGTGGGCTGGGACTTTGCTAGGGCTTATACAAGTTGCATTGATTCCCATTCCATTTGTGTTCTACAAATGGGGCGCCAAGATCAGAGCCAAGAGTCCACTTATCAAGCGGTTGAGAGAGGATCAAGAAAGGAGGCAAAAGAAGCAAGATGATGCAGCTAGGAGAAGAGACCGAAGGATGGCTATTGAAAAAGGAGAAGAGTTGGCGGTGAATGGTGGGCAGAACGGTGATGTGGAGAAAGAAGCTGTGAATATCACACACGAGAAGGTTTGAAAGGAGAGTACGATGATCCTAAAAATAATAGATATATAATGCAAATATTGTGCCTCTGGCATTCTTGACAAGACTCGCCTATCGTGAGACAAAGGCCTAGGCCACTGAGCAGCAGTGCATTCTTTGAGCACTACCCCAGCTCTATTCGCGAAGTATCAGCTCTATACAAATTTGAGCATCGTATGACTTGAGAGATACGGTGTCTCAGACCACTATTATATCACTATGTCGAAGCTGTTCTCACAGAAATGAATATAATCCTCACTTGTCAGCCTAGTCAGCTCAGCCTTATCAACAAAACAAGGCTCGGTCTCAGCCGAAAGGTGGCTCAGCCAATGACAAATTTTCAAAGCACATTCAGCTGCATAAAGAAAAAGTGTAATTATAAGTTAGGGCTAAGTTCACACACAAACATGATCTGCCACATAAACAGAACCCACTTTGGTAACAAATAAGGACGACAAGGAGTAAATGTTCGCTGGCCAGGCACTTGCTCTGCCCGGCAGTCAAAACACACTAGCGCCCGCTGATCTCGCTAAGTGGGCTGTAACCTCAAATACGAAATTCTTGCGCTTCATCCTTCTTTTCCTGAAGCCCTCATACAGTAGCCCTGCCAATCCATATCTACGGTATTCAATTCCCACTTCATTCTTCTTCGTTCGTGTTGAATCTGCAAACCCTACCACGATCTGCTACCTGATCTCACGACATCATCGTGTGATCCACTGCCGCATTTCGACGACAACCACCAGACCAGACACCGCCCTGAACAAAGCACCTCGACAGCCTTTCCAGCACCACCACAAAGGATTTCGACCTGCACTCCGGCGACAACTCAACACGACAAGAAGACCATAACACACTCTGCATCAAGAACATCTGTGACTTTCATTAGCCATGGCTGTTCCCACGCAATTCGCATGCAGAACTTTGAAAACCATCTCGATTGTGGATGCTGCCCCGGTCTACGAGCCTTTGCCTGGTTTTCAGAGACCCGAAGGTACCTCTCGCTGCTGTGTCTACTCTCCCTGCGGACGATACTTCGCCTGGGCCTCCAACGAAGGGGTTTCGGTCATTGATGCCTCGGTCGGACACGTCATCACGACGCTCCCCACTCCCAACGTGTACGAACTCGGCTTCTCCCCTCGCGGTTCATACATTATCACATGGGAGCGTCCGTCCAAGGATGAGGCTGGCGATGCTGTCAAGAATCTCAAGGTCTGGCGTACCATTGAAGATGTCCCCGATGGCACGGAAAAGGAAGTTGTAGGCCGATTTGTGCAGAAATCTCAGACGGGCTGGAACCTGCAATATACCTTCGACGAGCGCTATTGTGCTCGCGTTGTCACCAATGAGGTCCAGTTCTACGAGAGTGGTGATTTGGGTGCCGTCTGGAACAAGCTTCGTGCTGAGGGTGTTGCCGACTTCTCAATTTCTCCTGGCAACAACCATTCTGTGGCTGTGTTCATTCCAGAGCGCAAGGTAAGACCCAGATTCATCATTCAAAATGAAACTATACTAATATCAGTGATAGGGTCAACCAGCGGCAGTCAAGATCTTCAACGTTCCTCAATTCAATACTCCGATTTCGCAAAAGACATTCTACAAAGGCGATAAGGTTCAGTTGAAATGGAACCAGCTTGGCACAACCTTGATTGTTTTGGCACAAACTGAAGTCGACAAGACCGGCAAGAGTTATTATGGCGAGACAACACTATATGTGCTGAGCGCAAATGGTGGCTTTGACTCGAGAATTACTCTTGATAAGGAGGGCCCAATTCATGATGTTTCATGGTCACCAAATTCGAAAGAGTTTGGTGTTGTTTATGGTTACATGCCAGCTAAGACCACAATCTTCAATCAACGAGCTGTTGCTACCCACACTTTCCCACTCAGCCCACGAAATACCATCTTGTTCTCACCTACGGGTCGATTCGTTCTGGTCGCTGGTTTCGGGAATCTTGCTGGTCAGATGGATATCTATGATCTTGAGAAAGATTACAAGAAGATCTGCACAATCGAAGTTGGAAACCCGAGTGTTTGCGAGTGGAGCCCTGACAGCAAGTATATCTTGACTGCTACAACCAGTCCTAGACTTCGTGTCGACAATGGCGTTCGTTTGTGGCATGTTGGAGGTGGAATCATGTACAATGAAGACATGGTGGAGTTGTACCACGTTACCTGGCGACCACAATCATTCGACTCATTCCCTGCTGGAGACCTGTTACACCCGATTCCTGCCCCACATGCATCGGCTTTGGCATACCTGGGTACTGTCAAGACCCCTTCCAAGCCAGCTGGTGCATATCGTCCGCCAGGAGCACGTGGTTTGGCAACCCCGTTGCACTTCAAGCGTGAAGATGAGGGAGGAGCTGCACATCAAGTCAGCAACGGAACTTCATTGGTTGGCTCGAATGGATTTGGTCGACCCAGGAGACAGGTTCCTGGTGCGGAGACTGTTGACAATCAAGTTCCTGGAGCTGTACCAGCCAATGCTGTTCCGGGAGCTGCTGAAGGAGATGAAAATCTATCAAAGGCAGCATTGAAGAACAAGAAGAAGAGAGAAGCTAAAAAGCTGAAGGATGCTGAGGCCAAGGCAGCTGGACTGGTTCCATCACCAGAAGGACCATCTGCTGGAACTGAGAACCGAAGCCCAGATCGACGAGACCGACGGGAGCATCAGCGTAGTCGCTCGAAGGGTCAGCAGGACATTCGAACTCCTTCTCAGCAACGCTATCGCAGCAATACTCAACGAGGCCCGAATCCGCATCACAACCAGCCTGGCCCGTACAACCAGCAAAATCAGCAGAACCAACATGCCCAATACAATCAACATAATGGTCCCAACGGCAACGCTCCCGCAAATCAGATAAACAATTTGACCATTAACCCTGCCGCATCTCGTGGCCCGGACGCACCAGAGCTTTCCATCACCTCGCCAGGTGGAGGAAGCCCGAATGCCAAGAAGCTCCGAGGTCTGCAGAAAAAGATTCGTGCCATTGAGGATCTTGAGATGCGTCTTGCAGGTGGTGAGAAGCTGGAGGACACTCAAATGAAGAAGATCGGTACCAAGCAAGCTGTTCAAGCAGAATTGTCTTCCTTGGAAGCCGAGAACTAGACAGCCATTCGAATCGATTTCAGCATGGAGAATTGGGTCTTTGACGATGCTTTAGACTGCATGGCATTGAACGGATGGGCGGTGTTGCGTATCGTTCGGACAAGGGGTTGGTTGGATTAATTCACAGTCTAGCATGGCATTCATGGGCGTTTTATCTTTCACCTGCACCTGGATCTCTAATGAGGAACGAACGACACTTTACACGACTCATGGGTGGGTCGGTGGGGTATGAAATTGGGTGGGAGGTCAAGCGCTGCATGCATAGACTTAGAACGGGAAAAGGGCCAAAAAGAAAACCAATAAACAAAAAATTCAAGACTTGAAAAACCATGCATCATCACCCCAAATTCATTTTCTTTCACTACCTACCTACACATGTAACATAACAAATCTCTCTCTCTCTCCTTCAAGCCCAAGCCCTAAAGCCCAAAACTCAACGAAAAGTGTGAAGAAGATTAATCAAAAAATTTAAGCCCCGATCCCCTCCCTCCCGAGGAGAAGAACCGACATTTGTTACTTAGTCAGATGGATGTAAACAACCCCATTCTTGAGCGGGGTTGTTTCGGCTTGAAAAAGTATGAGGAGCAGGAAATTATGAGGGGGGGAAGCAGGGGGTTTATATAGTTTTTGTGTGGATGGGAGGGGAGGGGGACGCTAGAGAGGGGATGGAGGGGGAGTTTGTCTTGGGTGTGCAAATTTTTTGAAAGAGGTGGGTGGTGTGGTTGTTGCCTGGAGGTGAGGTGAGGATGGCTGGTGCCTAGAGGAGAGGTGGGGTGGGGAAAAAGGGGTGATTCGCTTAAGATAGGGGTCGAAACTGAGGCGAGAGGCGAGATCATGGATCAGCATAACTGAAAATTGATGGAAATCTCATCAATTCATTACTATGCTAATCTTCTCTTTGGAGTATCGCATCACACCACCTCCATCGAATAATAATCCACCGGAAAAAAGAAAATCATCCTCAACAATCCTGCCTCCCCCTCTTTCCCACACCCCCCTCAACCTCCCTCTCCACCACCCTTGACACAATCCCCACCTCCGTCTCCCCTCTAACATCCATCGTCTCCCCCTCCCAAAAATGAACATAAATCGGACCCACCCACGCGCCCACAAACCCTGCCATCGGTGTATCTCGTCATTCGAAGACATGGGACGACCATCCAAGAAAGAATCTGGAAAATGTTGTTGATATGAAACAGTTACCAACATGTCTTGCTTAGCTCGGCTCTCCTGCGCCCCTCTCACGAGACAATGTCTTGTGCTTCAACACCCTGGCGTTTTGCTCCCCATTTTTTCAATCCATCTTCAAGGCTTGCAACCAAGCTCCTACTGACAGCCATCTCTTCAAAGCTTACCCTGTCAGTCCACCAGTCGAGCCAACCCTCGACTCGTGCTCCTTCCTCTAGATCCAGCAAACCAACACTCACATCTATCAGTTCTGGCCTTTCCTCACAATGCCAGAAGACTGTGGCACCACATTTACCACAGAATTCTCGAAATACTCCTTCTGAGCTTGGGTAGGTCTTCATCGTCCCCAAGTGAAAGTCTAGCGGACTCCCATCCTCTTTGAAGATGTTGCATTTTGGAACGAACGCCCATGTTTGGATTTCCATCCCTAAGTTCTGTCGACATGAAGTACATGTGCATGTCCCAGCCAAGTACTTGGTATCATTGTCTCGTAACCACCAAGTCTTGTTCTCTGGATTGGCATTCGAATGAGAATGATACGGAACTTGCAGGTCGGGAAACGGCGACTGGACCTTCTTCGAAGCTTCGTTTGGTCGGGTAATGTAGAACTTGACACCTCCACAATGACATTGTGCTTTCAGCTTATCGCCAGATGATATCTTCTCCAGAGTCTGCAGACTGTTCTCTGGCACAAATTCTGCCTTCTCACCTCGATCATTGAGCATCCACCTCTTCAGTGGTCTCTTCGTTCCATCTGCGTCCACAATCTCGTGGAACCACACGCTCACACCGCCATCCAACGTATCCGGCACCCACTTGCATCCATTCCACTTTATGATGCCCTCAGTTCTGTCCCATAATCCAGTCGCCAGAGCGGTTCGTGGAGGTGTGCCAGGATCGGTCATATAGACAAAAGCATGCGCACCACATGTAGAGCAGAAAAATCTTGAACATCTTTCGGAGCTATTGTAGCCTGTGACATGAAATTTCGATGGGTCGATGGCTTGCTCCGCTGGTACTTTGATGTACGATACGCCGCAGGAGCCTGAAACTTGTCGACAGGTAGTGCAGAGGCAAAGAGCGCGATCGAGTGGGAGCCAGGAATTTGGATAGTCAACTGTGTAGGTGAAATTGCGACATGCACAGGTTGCGGTGATTGCGGTGGTCATGGTGATGAAGCTATGGTGAGTGTTCGAGAATTGAGCAAGAGAGAAAGTGATGCTTGGGAAGAGCAAGAAAACCTAGTGTATTGACTTACATCCTGTCTGTCCTCACGCCCTTTGCATTGCACGACAGAGCCTTCGCGGACCGTATCCCCGGAGCCAATTGAAACTGGTCTGGTATCTCAACATGAAGTAAGAAAGGCACCACGATAGGAAAATTCAAGCAATGAAGTGTTGAAGAGAAGTACTTAGATAATAGATAAACTTCAGCCAATTCTCTCTTAGGTAAGCTTTGGCCACTCTGTTCGGCTATGGGAAACTCGGGGAAAGCACGACCTCCGATGGTCGGCAGCATTTCAGCCTTCGGCTCGCTATAAGAATCTCTGCCCGAGGTAACCCTTTCTTTCAACTTCCACTTCTCCTTGCTCAAATCAAATTCTGCAAAAGACCCACTGCGATCAGTTACTCCTATCTTCAGCAATGCACGGGAAAGTTCCGCCGTTAATGCTCCGGGATTTCATTTGATTTGAACCTGTTTTGCTTGTCTCGAATTTAATCAGCATCAAAATCGACAATGACGTGGTGGTGGTCGAGTGCCGTGACATGCATCTGCAGAGAAGCAGAGTGCTTACCACATGTTCCAAACCCCGCAACAACTCAGTGATAGCGGAATGAACTTTTTTATCTGCATTTGGATAATAGCCAGGCGTATCATTAGTGTTGCTTCGGCTGATGTGCGTATCGCGAACTTGCATCAAGCATCTCTCTTACTACGAGTCATTCCACCCTCCAAGTGTCAGCCACCAAACGAAACAGATTGCAGCCGCATACCAAAAACGTCTGTGCGTCCCGTGTAAACTCGTGGGATGAGACATGATCGTACGCTCCATCTCTTCTCTTTGGTGGCTTCTGGCCCAACATAGCGAAATATCGCCGCATCTGCCAAGACTTCCTCACTTCTGTTTGGTTCGGTGCGGAATGCAAGGGTGATTGTGATAGGTCTGAACAAGGTCCCATGAAGCTTTTGATATCTTTCATCGTCTTTGATGGAAGCAGGGTACGGGTCAAGTTGCCGGAGGCAATATATATAGGCGTCCCAAGCCCACGATGGTGGAATTCTCTGTATCACACATTCGAACGGTTCTCTTTAAATACTCTCAATCTCCTCTCTCAAATCTTACTTACTTCTACTTGTTTGTAATAATACTTGAGATACTTTATATATTATGGCGGAACCATCAGAACCACCGAGGATGCCTGCTACTCCCCTAGAAACATCAATAAGTCCAGATCGACAATACCAAGCCATTGGTGGAAACGCATCACCAACCCTCACACGCACAGGCACAAATAGATCTCGAGCCCGTCGAGCAAGCACCCAATCCGGCCTCCATCGAACCGACACTCACCTCTCACATAAAGAAACTCATCGAGACCCCAATCTCGACGTCAACCTCCCCTACCGTACCTTCACAGAAGATGCCGATCTCGCAGAATACACAGTTGAGAAACCCGAAGGAGAAATTGACGGCGGTCTCTCAGCAGATGGTCACTCCCGTTACAAGCTCGTTACTTTTGTCCCCAACGATCCAGAAAACCCCAAGAATTGGTCAAAAGCGTATAAATGGTACTGCACAATGGTCGTTGCTATCACTTGTTTCGTGGTAGCGTTCTGTTCCAGTGTTGTTACAGCTGATATATTGGGCGTGGAGAAAGAGTTCCATGTTTCTGAAGAAGTTGGACTTTTGACCATCACTCTATTCGTTGTTGGTTTCGGCGTTGGTATGTCATTTCAGTCCTCTCGTCCAATTATGCCTACTAACTTAACTCAGGCCCCATGGTCTTCGCACCTCTCTCCGAAGTCCTCGGTCGACGTCTCATCTACGGTAGTACTCTCCTACTCGCCGTCATATTCATTATTCCTTGCGCGGTCTCCAAAAACATCGGCACCCTCCTCGTCTGCCGAGCCATCGATGGAATCGCCTTCTCAGCCCCAATGACACTCGTTGGCGGTACGCTCGCCGATCTCTGGCGCACAGAAGAGCGCGGTGTCCCCATGGCCGCCTTTTCCGCCGCACCCTTCATCGGTCCCGCCATCGGTCCTCTCGTCGGTGGCTTCCTCTCTGATGCCGCTGGCTGGAGATGGCTATACTGGATCCAACTCATCCTCGCCGGCATCGTCTGGTTCCTCATAACTTTCACGGTTCCCGAAACCTACGCACCGACCATCCTCGCTGCGCGAGCCAAGAAACTCCGCAAAACAACAAACGACCAAATGCACGTCACGGAACAAGACCTCGACGAAAGACCCTTCACAGAACGTCTCTGGATCTTCCTCGTTCGTCCCGTTCAACTCCTCTTCCTGGAACCAATCGTCTTCCTCGTCTCGGTCTATATGTCTGTCTTGTACGGGCTCCTCTATATGTTCTTCGTTGCCTACCCCATTATCTTCCAAGAAGGAAAAGGCTACACAGCTGGCATCACGGGCCTAATGTTCATCCCGCTCGCCATCGGCGTCCTGCTATCCGCATGCTGCGCTCCATTCGTCAACAAACACTACCTCTACATGTGCAAGAAACACAACGGCAGCCCGCCCGCCGAAGTTAGATTGATCCCGATGATGATCTCCTGCTGGCTGATCCCCGTCGGACTCTTCATCTTCGCCTGGTCCTCGTACCCGCACCTCTCGTACTGGGGCCCCATGATGGGCGGCTTCCCTGTTGGTTTCGGGTTCATCTTCCTCTACAACAGTGCCAACAACTACCTGGTAGACAGCTATCAACATCAAGCCGCCTCCGCGCTCGCAGCTAAGACATTCCTCCGATCCTTCTGGGGCGCGGGTGTCGTGTTGTTTACTACCCAAATGTATGCCCGATTGGGATATCAATGGGCAAGCAGTCTACTGGCGTTTATAGCGCTAGGTTGTTGTGCGATACCGTACGTGTTTTACTTCTTCGGGGCGCAGATTCGGAAGAGGAGTAAGTTTGCGTACTCCGGGGATGATGAGGAGAATTTGGGGAAGAGCGGTGGGGGGAATGAGGCGAGTGATACGGAGTTGGAGAGGCAGAGGAGTTATGCTAGTGTGCCTTGAAGAGGGGAAAGAGAGCATTGGAGGTGGTGGGACTTTCCGCTCTTGGGAATAAAAATTATTGGGAGCGTTGTCTCTACTATGTCAAGAAGGAGGGTGAAGGCTCTCCTGGGGATGGGAGAACAGGTGATGTAGTAATGGTAGACGAGATTCGGACAAGATAGAAGGAGTAGAATATACATAGATATAGACTTGGGCTTGGGCGGTGGTATAGATAGTAGCGGGCGCAATAGCGGGCTTGTTTTCTGGTGGTTTGATATCTAATGTACCACATTAATGAATACTTTTGATCAATATGCAAAGTCCCTCATATATTCCAACATTTCGCAGTGGAAAGTCGTTGCATGCCAACCCAACACTGTTGTCAACCCAAGTGCAATACACTAATTCCCGTTCGATAAAAAGACAAGTCAGACGACTCAAAGATGTTTTTAGTCGACATAAGGAAGGCCTGCACCACAATCCAACCCAATGGATTGATGAAATCCGGAAATGCATATACTGTATCACCAACTCTGATATCTCATCTTGCAGATTGACTTTCGAGAATTCTATAGGCCGTGCACTTCCGTACCAACAATTAGACAACTCGCATCATTTTGACGTAGTTCGAAGACAGACCTCAAATCTTTTCGACCCGTTCTGTACTAAACTTACATAAGGAACGTTGCACTTGCAATATCGGTTATACATTAAGCCCAGAGAACGACCAATTCAGGAGACGAGTGAGTGAGGCTGAGTGAGACATTGACATGCCGGTCCAAGCCGAGATTTGAAGCCGATCCTCCAGCACCCAATCACCCTCTATCCATCCATCTCTCTCCATCATCAGCAAAACCTCTCTTCAACCACTCCATATCCACATCCATATTCCAATCACAATATAGTCATACAAACAGATCCCAAAACAAGCTTAAAACATAGGAAATCCACACTCGCCACGAAGATTAAAAAATAGATTAGTGTAGTTCACGTGATTTGATTAAGGCTATAGATCCCCACATCGGCTCATCCTCGGGTACCTGAAAAGAAAACTCCACTTGGTGATGCCAAGAAATCCCATCTCGACATCAAATCAAGCAATGCCAACGCGCATCGCCAAGCTGTCAGTCACTTCAGCCCTTTCTTTCCGCATGCATCCAGAAGATATCTTGAACCTCATCAATTCCATTTTCTAGACAACGAGAATGAGCATGTATGGTAAGTAGAGGAAAACAGCACATTCGAGATGTCAACGATGACGTCTGAGCTGCGTAAGCCCCTTGCTCCAATTTTCCTCGTACGCGTAACGGATAATTTTTTCTGGGTCTCTTTTCCTCTCCTTTCCACCTTTCACCACCACGCCGCCTGCCCTGACTACTACGTACCGAACCTATGTTGCTATTTGCGTATCAGGACTCGCTCGTTTTGGTCCTGGCCCACTGGTGCCGGGTCCCGTAAGTAAGTAGCTGCGCAATGCATGTAGAGAGGTAAGTGGAGTTTTTTCGTTACAGTTAGTCGGTAGGGGATGGACGTGCTTCATCGTTTGTTGTTGATGGGTTTGGTTCTTGTTTGTCTTTTGGTCTTGTAGATAGAAAGCTGAGAGAGAGGGTCTTGGTTGTTTCTATCCATACTATACGTTTTCGTTGTTGATACTGTCGCTCTTTTACCTGTTCCTTTACTCCCGATTTCGATTCTTGCTATAGGTTTGCGCACCGGAGGACTCGGCTGTGATTGAGTTGTGTACTGTGGCTTGCGTGGTATATCGAATCGTGTTTGGATGGGAGGATGAGGGGAAGAACATTGGCTCGCGGAGCCGCAATCTGTGCAACATGGACACAACTCACGGGCGCCATATCCCTCGACATCACATCAGAAAGTACGTCCATCTTCTCCTTCCATGCTCCTCGCTGACAATCCAAGCATCCATCAAAAGCGCAGCCGCCACAGTCGCCTACGGCATGATGAAATACTACACCGGCAACAACACCGGCGACAACCCAGGCAACCTCCCTTCGCCCTACTACTGGTGGGAAGCCGGCGCCTGCTTCGGCACCATGGTCGAGTACTGGTACTACACGAACGACACGTCCTACAACCCGACCGTCACGGCCGCCCTGCTCTCCCAGGTCGGAACCAACGATGATTTCATGCCCGAGAACCAGACGAAGACGGAGGGGAACGACGACCAGGGGTTCTGGGGCATGGCAGCCATGTCTGCGGCCGAGATGAACTATCCTAACCCGCCAAGCGACGAGCCGCAGTGGTTGGCGCTGGCTCAGGCGGTGTTCAATGAGATGGTTACGAGGTGGGATGATAGTACTTGTGGTGGAGGCCTGAGATGGCAGATCTTTACTTGGAATAACGGATATACGTATAAGAACTCTATTGCAAATGGATGTTTCTTCAACATCGCGGCGAGACTGGCGAGGTATACGGGGAATGCGACGTATGCGGATTGGGCGGAGAAGACGTGGACGTGGATGGAAGATGTCGGGTTGATGAGTTCAGACTATGCTGTCTACGACGGGACGAGTGATACGACGAATTGCTCGACTATCGACCATTTGCAGTTTACGTATAACCAGGGCATCTATCTCTTTGGCGCGGCAGTAATGTATAACTACGTACGTCTCCTCTCCCCATATATCAGGTCGCAGGAATACTCCACTAACACCCATCCCAGACCAACGCCTCCTCAACCTGGAACACGCGCCTCTCGGGCGTCATGAACGGCACCGACATCTTCTTCAAAGACGACATCATGTACGAGCAAGCCTGCGAAGACGTCAACACAGTCGGGACCTGCGACACGGACCAGCAATCCTTCAAAGCCTACCTCTCGCGCTGGATGGCCGCGACCGCGAAACTCGTGCCGTGGACCACGTCCTACATCACGCCGAAACTACAGGCGAGCGCCAAAGCGGCGGCCGCGCAGTGTGATGGCGGCACCGATGGGACGACGTGTGGCGAGCATTGGACGGCCAATTCGACGTATGATGGGATTTATGGGTTGGGGCAGGAGATGAGTGCGCTGAGTGTTATACAGGTTTGTTTCTCTCCTCTCTTCTTTCCAACCTTACCATCAGTTGCGAGCGCAGAGATCTAACATTCATAAAGGCAATGCTCATAGACCAAGCCCCCGAACTAGTAACCAACACGACGGGCGGAACCTCAGTCGGCAACTCAGATGCCGGCACAGGCTCAACGACCAGCAGCTCGACGGGAACGGTCGATACGCCCGTCACGGGCGCCGATAAAGCGGGCGCGGGGATCTTGACTGCGTTAGTGTTATGTGGTGTGCTTGGTGGGACTGGGTTTATGATTATGGGAGCTTGATTTTTTGGAGCGTGTTTGTTTCTCTCTCTCATAGCAGATGGAGTTTGGGGTGGGGGTTCTTTTGTATTTATTTTGGTGGGGATTTCGTGTATATTTTGAGATTTGTTTCATGGTCTGGCATAGGCTAGGGAGAATGTTGTATATCCAGTACTCGTTCTTGCTTGTCATCGAATCTCTCATATATCTTCCTCGACATGTGAGGATAGCGGACGTTTACAGCCAGTACTCGTTCTTGCTTGTCATCGAATCTCTCATATATCTTCCTCGACATGTGAAGATAGCGGACGTTTACAGCCAGCATACGTTTATGAAGAAAGTCAACAAATTTATGGGTCTCGCGGTGTTCTCAGTTCCAAAGCAATGAAACATCTGATATGAACTCACATGTACTTGTATATCGAGAATAATGAGCGCTCAACGCGCTGTTGGCGCATTTCGCGCGGTCAGCGGATTCAGCGCATTGAGCGGATTCAGCGGATTCAGCGGATTCAGCGCTATTTGCGCAATCAGCGCAGCCAACACTGAGGCGACACCCTCTAAGAAAACGGCAACTTTCCAAGCAGCTACAAGCATACACTTTTTCAAATAAGCATTAGAGCAGCGTAAATTCTGCATCCCGAGATCAAATTCTATGATCGAGGCTGAATAGGGCTTTAGAGGTAATAAACCACCTTGCCGGAGAGCTTGTGAATGTTTAGAGACAAGAGGATAGGGGCGAGCACAAAGTTTCACTAGGTACTCACGCCATGAGTTAGTCAGACTATGGTGAAAGGGGAGGAAATAAGTCAAGAGTCAAGACGCGTTTTCGAGAATCACTCATCATGAATGAACCTCATGATTATCTTAAACGCCATGCCATTTTATATCTCAAGCTACCTAGCTAACCTTCCAAACCAACGCCTCCCACCCACAACCCCAATTCAACCAAACAACCCCTTTGTAATCCCACTAAACATCAACCCCCTCCCCTGCTTCTTCGCCAACCTCGTCGCATCATCCGCCCACGCCTGACTACTCTCCAACATCCGATCCGTCGTATCCCCCATGATATTCAGCTTCTCCGTCCTCTCATTCAGCTGCCTCGTCATGTAGTCCCCCCACCCCTCCGTCGACACCGTGCCCGGGGCGCCGCGACTCGAGCCTCCTGCGCGCGCGAGCCGCTCTTCGGCGGCGGCTGCCGCGAGCATGCGTTTACTGGGCGGTCTGTCGGGTCCGCCGATAAGGAGATCGAGGTCTGTTGGGCTGACGTATTGAGTTCCGGAGATCCATTGCAGGTTGGAGATTGTTGGTCGAGGTGGGACTATGGCTTCGGGGTTGTATAGCTTGTCTGTTGATTTAGGGAGTGGTTGTCCTGTCCCCCAGACTCCTAGCATGGCTATCTCTGATGGACCCGTCCAGCCGAAAATGTCGCCGGATGAAGTCACTAGGGAGTTTGTAGATCTGGTTTTGTCGAGCATGCTGACTTTCGCAATGCCTATTTCTTTCAGTGCTGGAAGTGAGTATGCTCGGGTTGTACCGTCGCCGAATAAGCAGACGAGAGCTCGACCGCGATCTTCGAAGTCTGTTACGTTGGCGGCGTCGCATAGGACGTCGTCCCAGGTTTTATGAGCACCTTTTGCGGTTGCAGGCTTGAAGATACGGACTTCTGTTTGTGTTACTAGGAGATGTTAGCTACGAATGTCCCTAATTCGGAGTTGTGGCAGGATTTTCTGCTCCAATTTCATATGTACTTACCAACAACGAGTGTGCCATTAGTCTGCTGGCCAGTTCTCAAAGCGCCGACAGTTGGTCCCGTAGCAGGTGCAAGCTTCCCTGTTTCAGCGTTGATTGGGGATATTGAAACAACTCGGTCAGCCAATGATGTAACACCTGCGAATTGACCAGAGTAGCCTCCATTTGGTTGTGGTAGGATCTTGAACGTGGCAACTTTGCCAAGGTTCGTACCAACAAAGCAAGCAATGCTCGAGTAGCTATCACCTTCCAATGTCATAACGCCAAATTCAATGACAACAGGCCAATCTGGTTTGGTAGAAGTGGAAGAATTTCCTTTCTTCATGAAACTGCTTCGCTTGTCGGTCTTAACAAAGTCGCTAAGTGACGCGGTGAATATGACAGCTGGACCACGAAGATCAATGATCGAGAACACGCCTGCCTCTGAGCCAACGCCAACAAAGCCAACGTCTGACATTTTGACTGCGGTTATCGGCCCCTTAGCCATGTCGTATAGAACGAAAGGTTGGAGGCCTTCCTTCAAGGTAGGCTCTGCACGACTGGCGATATCGGTGAGACCTCCAGCAACGGTTTCTGTGGTTTGTGGTGCTTCCCGCCCGAAGAGCTTGTTGCCTCCCCACCGATAGACAGCGACTTCTCCAGTCGCTGTACCAACGACGACCTCTCCTGTGCTGCTACCCATACTTAATGAGGTGATATTCACATCATCATATCTGTCAAGCGATCTTGCAATGTCAATCTGAAGAACAGTACTATTCTCGAGTTCGTCGTCGTGACCAGCATCCCAGATCCGTACGGTTCCGTCTCCATGTGCCATTTGGACAATGTTTCGTGCCTCGTATCTCTTGAGAGTTTTGGTACTCTCTGCACCTCCCCTTACAACTTGAGGACCTTGTTGCCGATTCTCTGTCATACCGAGCCATCTAACTCGTTCCACAGGTGCTACAGCCATTGTTGTCACGAATGGATGGACGAAGGAAATTGAAGGATGTAATTGGTTTGTAGGTGAAATTGGGTATCCGCTGGGAAAGCTCAATGTCATAAGCTCTCCATTGGTGAGAAGTGCAATGATAGCAATAGGATCTTGAGCGCCAGCAAAATGTGGTGAAGCACGCGGAATAAGACAGAAATCGGCAATTTCTGCTCCTGGAGGAACAGGTAGTAAATGTTGACGTTTTGCCTCAAAGTGATTTGTGAGAATTTGCCACGTCGAAGTAGCATATACGGGAGTAGGGCCCAACTCAAGAAATGTCAATCCTTTCTGAGGAAGGGTGGTTGGTACACCTCCAGCAAGAAGAATTCCGGTGTCTTCAGGATTTTCCTTGCAACACCAAGCGATCTTAGAGAATGGCTCTTTCAACGCGAATGTACCTGGGGTATTGCCAAAACTGCTAGATTGGGTTCCGGGTTTGTCGACATGTGAGTCTGTTATGGTCCTTGCCATGACCACTCGACCATCTTTGGGATCCCAGAATACCAATGAAGAATCGTCATGTGCAGTTCCCACGAAAGTGCCACTGGGATGCCAGAAGACTTGTGTCAAATGAGGCTTCCGCACTTTCTCAGCTCCTATTGGATCTGCTGTTCCTCCTGGCGCTCCAATGGGTACCTCATATTCGAAGAATTTGATGGCCCTGTTCTGTTTGAATGAGTAAATGACGGCGCCTTCGGGATATCCTATAAGCAACTGGCCAATATCCCGTGGATGCAGTTGCATAGAGACGATTGACACTAATCTGGCTCTTGGATTTCGTTCCCGCCAGAAGTTGGGTAGCCGCAGGGGTGCGAGCTTCTCTCTGTCCAGATCAAACGCAATCACCTCGCCATTTTGTAATCCAATCAAAGCCCAATCCAGCATAGGATCTGTCACTAAAGCAGTGACAATCCCAGGTGGAGCATAGCTGGCCACCTTCTTCTGCAGTGCCAGGTCCCATATTATCAACTCGTTCTTCGAATCGAGACTTATGAGTCGGTCGGCACAAAATTGGAGGGTCTTGACAGAGGCTCGGCGGGGTAAAGTGAGTGTAGCCTGCACTCGCTGTTGCCCAAAGATATAGATTTGTCCGCTGCCAAATGTCGTCTCGTTTGTTCCTATCGCAAGGAGGGATTGAACGGGGTCGTATGCTAAGGATCTGTGCAGAGGTCAACGGCACGTAGCTTGGGCTGTCGGGAGCTTAGGTACCCAATTTGAGAGTTGATTCCATAGCGAGCTTGATCGTCAGGAGCGAACAACTCTGAAAGAATGCCCGCAGAGAGGTCATTCTGAATACCAGCTTGCTTTCCGCGTAGAAAGCTCGCCATTCTGTACTGTGGAGGACAAACGAGAGTGAAGTAAAGGAGTGTGATTGCTTGTCTTGTCCTGCAATCCGGAGCATAGCCTCGCGATGACGCAGCCAAGCATCACGTGTGCTTAAAAGGGGTCAGCGAATACATTTTTACTTTTCTTGTTGATTTGGATTCCTAATTATTCTTTAGAGTATTTTAACTTTAAGTTTACTCTGAGCATTCTTACAATCATACCCAATAGCTACAAATGAATCACTGCCCTTCCTGACTCGGTATCACACGTTTATCTTCACTCACCTAGAATGCTCTAACATACTATACATACTATAAGTAAGTGCTGTGAGATGTTTCAATTTCTCGTCAAATTTATGACCCATCTCATTGATTCTCCCGATCCCTGTTAGGCATGATTCCTGTTCGAGGGATTGTCCTTTCGAATATACCGTGAATCTAAGATTGTATGATTTTCAACAATACTTGCCCCTAGCTTCTCTTTCAAGGCACAACATCGTTGTTGCATACCATGTTGAGACATGGCAGAGGACACCAGACACACTATTTGGCAAACAATAACATGTATTCCCAAGGGTCTATGGATTGTCTTTCATATCCACACTTCATCTTATCTGCCATAATAGAACAAAAACGTAGAAACCATTCACTTATTTCAAATTCTATGAGACTACCTCTCCGGGGTAAAGAAGTATCATATCTATCAGGACATAGACTTCGAGATCCTTAAAACACCACTTATACATGAAAAGATGCGAAGGTACTTGCCATTAGCCTTCTCACGTCCAAGCAAGAAAGCTGCTATATGCACCGAAAGTCCTTCAACCTCATCAGATTGTACTGCGAAAAGTTCTCAAGCCCCCCAATCAATAACATCTTCACCATCATCGAAAAGTGAGTCGAGAAGAAGTTCTGGACCATCTCCTGGTCCCCAAATCTCCCAATAGGGCAACCAAGCCTCGTCAATCCTGAGGTTCGTGAACATGATCGCATTTTCTAGTTCCTTCCTCAGCCCACCCAAATCTTCCTCTTCTTGTTTAGTTGCAATCCCGGCGGCGATCATCTCCTCGATCAAGTCGATATCACGCTCGAGGCCCTCCACCATGTTGATACCTGGTGGTGGATTCTCGGCGATGGTTGCGCGGTCTTGTGCGGCGATCAAGTCGCAGAGTTTGCACCGAGAGACGAATCTGTTGAGGGCCTGGTTCGGAATTATATAGGGAAAGTTGTGGCTGAGGAATCTCAGCGAGGGTGGTGTTTTCGAGTAGGTCTTTTCGTGATTACAGGCCGCCATTGCTGGGGATCAGTGGCTGGGATCTGTTTGTGGATGATCAAGTAAATGAGAAAAAATGGAAGATTGAACATTGATCCTAGGACAAGAAATATTCATTTATGTCCGGCTGTATTAAGATTCATTGCAGAAGAGAGAAGAGTACATTCACAAACAAAGAAAATGTGTTAATACAGCCGCAATCGGACAGCGCAAAAACCTCCCTTTGACAATAAAGCGTGCTCTGAAAGGACAACCAAGAGCATGGCGTAAGAAGTTGCGAACCGATACCTGGTACAGCATTGTGCTTTTGACGCCTTGAATTTAGATGAAATTGCTCATCTTCGTAGATGTCCGCCAGAGATGTTGCTCAGAACCCCAATGCATTTACATGCTGAAAGGTCAGAAAATGAGTCTCAGCGAAAGTCTTCACTCTTTCCTCCAATTTCCCCTCCAAGACCTGCCACTGAAGAGACGTAAGCCAGAGTGAATATGAAGGATTATTTCAGTTTGTTTTATGAAGAAAGAAGAAGAATTGGGTCGCGAAATTTTCTTTAAGATTTCAGGGCTGTCGCAGTCTAACCGAATTACGGTTAGCGTTAGCGGGGGCTGCCCCTCCAAGCCCACCCGCTCGACTCACAAATACATCGTCGCTGACTGGACTCGAACATTGCGATCTCAACTGAACACCACACACGGTTTTGACAACTGGGATTCCGCTCCGCAGTCTCAACATTCATTTGCACAGATTTGAGAAGAACTTATCTCCAACCTATCTACAATCATGGCTCCAGGAGGACCCCCAGGTGCAGGACGTGGCAGAGGCGGCAAGTTTAAGAAGTTTACCAGAGGAGGTATTCACGAACAATCCATTCCAATCTGGCGCAATACTGACACCATCTCTAGGTGGCAAGCACTTCTCCAAGAACCTTCGACCCCTTGACGCAGACGGAAACGAAGTCGCTGAACGAGACCCAAATGCCGACTCGTCTGAAGAGGAGGAAGATAGCTCTGAGGAAGAGTCTTCTTCCGAGGATGAGGACCCCAATAAGCCCACAATGACTCGTGAGCAACGTCGTGCTGCAGCAAAGGCCAAGAAGGAAGCCGCTATCGCAAAGAAGAAGGGTGTCCCACAACCTGGTGATCTGCCATCCAGCTCGGAGGAGGAGAGCGAGGATGAGGATATGCCTGCCAATCCAAACCATTCCAAGGCTGCGAGAAACCAAGCAAAGGCTGCACCAGTCACTGTGGATGAGGCCGCTGAGGGTGTCAAGGACTTGAGTGTGAACAAGGGAAAGAAGCCAGTTGCAGAGCTGAGCCGAAGAGAGCGTGAGGCGTTGCAAGCACAACAAGCCAAGGAAAGATATCAGAAGCTTCATGAGGCTGGAAAGACCGATGAGGCAAAGGCAGATCTGGCTAGACTTAAGTTGATCAGAGAGAAGAGAGAGGCGGAAGCTGCCAGGAAGCAGGTATGTCAAACAAATAGAATCTCTATGAGGTGTTGCTAACTTCTGTAATCAGGCTGAGAAGGAAGAGCGAGAGGAAGCTGAGAAGTCAAAGAAGGTTGAGATTGATGCTCGTGAAGCAAAGCGAAGAGAGGCTGCTTTGGGGACGGCGGGCAAGGCATCGAAGGGCAAAGGGAAGAAGTAAAGCTGTCATTTCTGATTCGCAAGATCACGGACGCACTCTACGTTTCATGGAGCCTTTGACTTTTGTGGTATGGCGAGCCAGTTGAGCATCTTTGGCATACATGCATTTTGATTTTCATCACCTGTCTTTGGTACAATCTCTCAGGCAGAAGGATACCCGACACTGCGTACGATTCCAGCAGCCTGTATCTTCCTAAATTCATTGATCTTCTGCGTATGCTATTGGTCTTCTGATTCTGCTTGTGGGTGAGAAATACTTGACCTTCCATCTTCGGTCCATACCAAACGCTACCGACCAGTATGATGTCGCGTCTAATCATGTTGGGAGCTGTAAATCGACACTCTAAAAGATCAAGTGAGCAGCATCACTCTGGTAGACTTAGTAGAAGTCGATGGTCGTTTTATTTTCTCTTGATCTGATATGATCTAACATGGCTCGCTTCTCCGTTTGCCCTTCCGTTCGTAGCAACAATCCCTCGCTTGCTTCTTCGGCACCCGAGGATATCAAGGGCAAAAAAACAGAAGACATATTGAATTCAAGTTCTATTAAATCTATCCTCGATCCAAAAACAAAAAAGAAGAATTTGAAGACTATCGGATCTAGGAGATATAATCAGTATTGGTACCTATAGTCATGGAAATATACACTTACTTGAACCGATGACCATCTGGAATCCCGCAAGAGCTGGAATCAGACATGCTACCACTACACCAAGCCTTCTGATTGGATAACACTGGAATGCTTAATCAAATCTACTAAGCAGTTCTGGGCTGGGTGTGGTTTCGTGGTGAATGAAAGTGCCGCTTCGGGAAGGTGGGGCGGCAAACGGCTACCAGCGTTCTTTCCTGTTTCTTCATCTGCACAGTCTCATGCCTTTTCTATGTTTCATGTTCTGCAATCCTTTTGGTTTGTGCTTGAGGATTTGAAGGTTTATTCATTGTATTTGGCCCTTGCAGTCAGGCCGTCATTTCCAATAGTGATCGCGTCGTTGGCTAGGTGCCTCGATCAATCATTACACGACATCCAATTCAGCTTGTCTATTGTTAAATGCCAGTACTCGTGTCATATTTCTCCTGTGCAATTCCACTCTCAAATCAATTCTGCCATGCGGATCTCACAAGCCTCATGAAACCAGTCAAGGCTGAAAGAGACGTTGAGCTGTTTTCGAGTGCGAGGATTGCTTTTCCAATGTGAATTAGTGTCTTTCAATTAGCACTAGAGATGCTAGTAATCACAGAGCCAGACAAGCAATTCAGAAAACAGGTTACCTGGGTATCATCATCGTTACTATACAAATTGCAGCGCTGAAGTATATACAAACACAAACTCGTCATCTGAAATTCGAACCATCATATACCTCAGGAGCTCCTCTAGGCGAGTTGCCATCTAACTCGGATGGAGGTGTGAAGACCTCATGGACAGCCGAAGAGACCTTATGGACCTTCGGCTGTCCATCCCAGCCTTGCTTTCCAATGCCATCTGCTTCATGGACAGTATAGTCTGGCAACGCCCTCCTTCTCTTCTTCATGATGAAAAATCCTAGTGCGACCAAGGCTAGGAGTCCCACTGCTGCTATCCCGATGCCGATACCCGCTTTTGCACCTGTTGATAGGCCGGATGAAGCTGTTGTGGATGGTGATGCTGGAGGAGAGGTTGTAGCGGAGCTGGCACTATTACTGGTGCTTGAGCCTGAGCTAGATGATGTGGTGGGAGCACTACTACTACTGCTGCTAGTAGCAAAATCGTTCGCGTTATATCGAATAGAAACTCCATATCCATTCACAGCCTCAGTCTTCGTATGCAACGTAGCAAGCAACACCGTCAACGCCGACCCATCCGTGACCGTCGTCGTGATCTGGCTCGTAAATACCGAAGCGCACGCCTGTCCCACGAAATTGAATATCGTCGGTGTATAACACACATATCCACTATCGGCCCATCAGCTTCCCTTTCTTTCCCTTCCCGTTTTTGAGATAAAACAAACCTCGGACAACAAGTAGCAAAAGTCTCAGAAGCAGAAATGGAAGCACATGCTTGCGTATATCCCTCAGGACACACCCCCGGACTGAAATACTGCGATGTAGAAGCCCAACCGGACGGGAAACACGTGCTTGCTAGCGGACCGCCGATGCTGTAGTATGTAGGCGCGGTGTAGAAATCGTTTGTGCAGGCTGGGGAGGGCGTGAATGTTGTGGTTAGAGGGCCAGCAGCGGCTAGGGTTCCTGTTGACATTTTTAGAGAAGAGAATCAAATGGAGAGGAAAGGAAAGGGAGGAAATTATCTTGGGAGTTTTTGGAGTCGTCGGGCACGGTACGTAGCGTGGAATTGAGACAAGCTTCCAAGGAGGCACAGCAAGCAGGGGCTATGATAGCTGAAGAACTTGAGATCTTTTGGGATGAATGTCCGACGCGGATAAACTTATCTTTTGCCATGTTAGTGCAGATTGCTGCATCGGAGATCAACACAGAAATGAGTGGTGTGAACTGCGCATGCTGAACGATGGGACGAAAGATGTCAATTGAAGCTTTTGCGAATGTAACGATGAACAAATCACCCCTGAGAAAGAGCCGTAGCCTTACCCGCCGAGGCGTTGGGCGAAACGTTGAGGGCTTCATGCGGCTCGTTGGAAAATCGGTTTTCTTTTCCTCGCTGTCCTACCTGTTTTTGAACAATGCTGATGCTTCGTTGTGTGGTTTTTGTACCTCGGTAAGTACCAAAGAATGATTTACAAAAAGATCTCATGATACAACGGTGATACTGAAGTACCATAGTTTTCTTTCAGGAATACGAAGTCTCCTGTTTGTACTTGCTCGCAAGAAAAAATGGTAGCCGGGCAGTGATGCCAATGACATGTAACGTGACAGATAGTATTTTGCTCGTACAGAAATATGCCATTCAGGGAAATAGTCAAAACTCTTTCCCCGATGAATCTACCGTATTTATGAAAGCCAACACCTAAGTCAAAACAACGCAGTGAAATATGGAGAGAAGTGTGGGTCACGTGAAACTTTTTGTTTTGTTGCATGTCGCAAAAATAATCTTCGTGGAAACTCCCACGAGGAACCTCCTAGAGAATCCAAAATTTAAGGCAGTCAGGAAAATTTGACGCTGACAGGCCGTCAGCCAATCAGAGGACGAGGATAATTTTGTATGTGTTCTTCGTTGAGGTCTGGAGATTGCTTGAGGTCAAAGATCGTAAGGCAGAAATTCAGGCACCAACATCCCATATCTTTCATTCGACCTCGGTGGGTGAGATCAGGCACAGAGGCCTGTGCTCTAAGGCATCCACTCTCAGTGCCAATCAAAACAGCGGGAGTTTTTTTGTTGCATGTCGCAGCAAAGTGGCCGTTTTTCGCCCTTTTCTGGTGGCCACTTTCATAACTACTTGATTTTGCATTCTGTCCAACGCAACGCTGATTTCCATCCGTTTTCGGTGGGAGAATCCAATACCGCTACTTCTCTTCTGTGTTCAATTGAGTCTTAAACTCCTGGAATTTCAAAATGAATTGAAGTCCTGGTCCCAAGAAGCCGAAAGTGGCCATTTTGAGCCCTCTCAATGGCAAGCATACTGCAAGCGCCTAAGATGCTTCTAAGTTCTCTACATGTTGTTCACAGCTACAACCTAGGCTCCTTGCTGCTTCAGACGTACCTTTAACATAGTTGTTCAGGTCCTAAGGCTAGTAGGTCCATTGCTGGACATGGAGAAATATGGCAATTGGTCGCGTTCCATTACACCAGGCATAGCCTCAGCCTCAGAGGCGAAATCGTCCACGCAAGTAGAGACGTAACTTGAAGCAATACTGTATGGTACTCTTTTGATACTTTACTTTGAAATCTCCTGACTTTGATCAATTTAACCCAGAGCGGCTCCTCGATGCGAGATCCCATCGATTCCGAGATACGACCAAAGCAAACATCGAGCCTTACGCCGTTCTCTCACACACATGGGGACACGATGAAGTCACCTTCCAAGATATGATGCTTCCTAATGTACTCTCAAAGGAAGGGTATTCGAAGATAACAGAGACTTGTCGTTTGGCTCTTGCGGAGGACTTGAACTACGTTTGGATTGACACCTGCTGCATCGACAAAACAAGCAGCGCGGAACTTACGGAGACTATCAACTCAATGTTTGAGTTGTACAAGAAAGTAGCTGTCTGTTACGTGTATCTTCAAGATCTGGATCCGCAAACATACCTAAAGAATGGTCTCAAATCTTGCCGGTGGATTACTCGTGGTAAGCTGACACTTTCCCCTGGCAAGAAATAGAGATTCCGTCCAGAAGGATTGACTTGTTATCGCACGATTATCTGACTGGGAGAGACTAATTGGGTTACAGGCTGGACTCTTCAGGAATTACTGGCCTCTGAGAAAGTGCATTTTTATGATCGAACTTGGAGGTGCAGAGGATCAAAAGTGGACTGGGCGCACGACATCAGCATAGCTACAGGCATCCACCATGATGCTCTCCTCGGTCGGCCCCTTCAAGCATTTTCTATTGCGCAACGCATGAGCTGGGCATCCGACCGAGAAACCACGCGGGCCAAAGATCTAGCATACTACTTGCTCGGTATTTTCGAAGTCCACATGCCATTGATCTACGGTGAAGGCAAACACGCCTTTCGTCGTCTACAGGAAGAAATTGTGAAGCGAACCAACGAACTGACTATTTTTGCCTGGAATCAGAGCAAGGACTGCATGAACTGCACGGACCCGGAGCCAGACCATGATGGTCTTTTCGCGCCATCACCTTCCAACTTCTACACAAGCCATGACATAATACGTTCAAGTCACTTCGAGTCGGAGTTCACACTCACAAATAGAGGCCTGAAGTTGAAACATCATATTTTTGGGTTTTCAGATACAGAAGTCTCTTCTCTGGCCAGATATGGGAGGTATCAGACGTTCGACTATTTCCTCTGGTTGGGCCAGATTGAGTCGCCAGACTCAGAGACATGTTGTGTAGGTGTCTACCTTAACAAGGTGGGACCAGATACATTTATTCGGCGCCTTGGAACCAGTTGTATCAATCTTCCAGCCATTATCTTCAAGTTTCCGGAATATGGATCGTCTTCAACTCGGCCCACGATTTATATCATTGTCGACCCCGAACGAAGTAAGCCGGACTCTAGAATCGAATCGTTGCAGTTTATTGCTCGTACCAATCGTGACGTGATTCTTTCGTTATATGATAGGTTCTGGGACCGGAATGAGAACCTTTTCTTTGAGCCACCTACTTGTTCTTATGTATTTGCTGTGTCTTTGAAGTATAGGGTCCATCATACATGGATCAACATTACGGCCCTTTGTGACTACGAGCCGGAAGTCCCAACCTTAAGGATCTTCGACACAGATTCTTTCCCGGATCTATACAACTGGCTCTTGCAGCGATTTCATAAGAAAGACTGTCCTCGATGGTGGGAAGTCCTGGCAGGAGAGCCAGAAGCCGAAAGGTTCACAAATAAGCTCGAAATAATCGTTAGTGGAAGGCGACTTCAGGTACATGCCGCCGTCACCTCAGGACCTCTAGCCGATTCGTCGCCAGGCATTATGTATAGGGCCAGTCTATCTTTCCGACATCTACCATTGGGAACAGGGACTGGTCATGACGACTCACACGGCACATCTGACAGCTATTCCAAAACCTCCGACTACAGCTCTTGCGCTTCATCTGATTCTGATTCGGATACTAATTCGGAATCTAATTTGGATTCGGATTCTGATGGCGGGTGCTTGCTCACTCAGTGAAAATGACCTCTCAAACAGTCAAAGGGGCTACAAAGCTTCATGGCTACCTTTCCGGCACGAGCTACTACCCCAGATCATTGAGCATCACAGTGGGGCGGTCACACTTAAATAGCTTGCTCTCATAATATACTCCGAGACTAATGGGAGAATCTGTTCTTGAGGTTTGACTTTCCAATGATTTGAAGTCCAATGAGATATTGTTTTGTTGCTTTTATAAATTAGCTCGAGGCACATGCTGGCTTATGGCAAGCAGATATTTCAAAGCATCATTTCACTGATATAAGTATTTGAAGAAGACAGATATCCGAATCCCGAAAGACTTAAAATGATTTTGACCAGTTAGAACTAAGATTCTCTCGATTTACTACGTATTAAGCACTGTTTATTCAGTACTCTGGAGATTATCGCGAGGGTCCACGTCTAGCGACTGTATCCAATCGCATGCTACCCTTTCCGTCATTGTCCTCGACAAAGTCCATTTTTACTACTACATATCCCGATTCGAGGAAAATTACAAAAGATAAAGAACTACTCCAGACCCTGCACAGAAGTGCAAAGTTGCCTAGGTAAGTACCAAATTATGACGCTCACTAAAATGCGGGGTTCGCTCGGCAAAATGAATAGGGGCTTCGCTAGAGTACTCTCAGAGAGACTTTGTTGGTGGAATGTCATTAAACTCGAGATTTGTGAATGTGATAGACCGAGGCTCTCGGAGTATTTTTGTTTCTTGTTGCATTGTGAATCGAAACGATCTTCGGATGCCTTGGCTCGCATCGATGAAACGCTCTATGAACCCCACGACCAGACAGAATTATGCTACTAGCTTACGGCCGCATCATGCAATGGACATCATTAGCACAACGAAAGGAATCCCCTAATCAGGTTACAACTATTAAAACTTTATAAGAGTCTACCGATTATCTCAATTACGAAAGAAGAAGCAGACACATTTTACGATTTACATCTCGAGAATTGCAAGAGAAACTCAAATCACATTCCACTTCCCAATTCAAGATGGAGGCCATTACCCAAGCTATCGTCAATTATTCAACTCTTGATGTATCCTACATCAAAATCACAAACGCCACCAAAGAGTAATTCAACAAGCATATTTATCCGTACCGAGCCTCACTAACAAAACTACAGTACATTCCTAATGTCCATCCAATCCCGCGTTAACAAAACCGGCCCCATCGGCGCCACTATGTCCGAAATGACTGTCGAAATGGCAGGACCAGCCGGCACCTTCGGCCACCTCGACCTCCCCGTCGTCAAAACCAGTTCTTCGGGAGCAGACGTCACTATCACAGACCAACTCATCAAAATCACCGACATGGCAGCCTTCAGAGCATTCGTGAAATCTCTCATGAATGACGAGAAGCTGACCATGAAGTTGAAGAATGGGAATGGAACGATTAAGTCGCTAGGCATGACGTCGAAGATTTTCTATCAGAAAGATGTCCATCTGAAAGGGATGAATGGGCCGAAGACCGTTATGGTGAAAACGGAGGTTGAAGGGTCCGGATTTAAGAATGAGATGTTGACTATTAATCCGTCTGCTTTTGAGATCGATATGGGGGTTGTAAAATATGAGATTCGGAATGCGGAGAACGTGAAGATTGCAGAGCAGAAGGGTAAGACTCATATCACTAGAGGCGAGTCAACATCTATCATGACGGGTACTATGACGGGTGAGAAACTTGAGGGGGACGCGAGGCTCGTGGGAGTTGGTGTTGAAGAGGAGAGTTGGCATGATGAGACGATCAGGGACCTCAACACTTCAGTAAAATTGTCGGAAGAGTTTGTGGGGTTGTGTGGTAGTTGATTTCAGAAATCACAGTACATTTTCCGTCGTCTTACGTACAGTACCTTTTTGTGCTCTCCCTTTGACTTCGAAGCGGCTTCTGATGATTATTTGGTGGCATTTGGCTACCGAAAGTGAGTTTTTGGAATTTCAAAGAATTTTAAGATTCAACAATTAAAAAGTTTTTTTCCCCCAAAAGTTCTAGAGATCAGCTTTTCTTGAAATATTTGGTCTTAATTCTTGAGAATTGGCGGCCAAAAGTTCTCACTCTTGGCTAGACAATCGAATTTCACTTTCACAAGGTACGTTTCATTTTCGATTGTTCCATTCATGCAAAAACGATATCTACTAGTCTAAGCACTCAGCTTGTCCACGGTGTGCCATCCTCATTGTCCCTCACCTTGTAAGGGTGATTCGGCGGACAAGTCTCCGGCAACAGAACAGCACTCATCATATCCTCATTATCCATCCATTCCGCCGGCAAGTTATCCGGATCCAAGATTGTCTGCGGAGTAGGCGGGAGTCTGAACGCTGCTCCTTGTCTGATCAGTTCCGAGGGAACACCTCCATCACAGCAGCCGCAGCCCTCTGGGTGCCAGGATTCCCGAATCTGCGATGGGTGAGTGGCGGGGTGGGGCGGCTGTGGAGAACGCGGTGGTGGTGGAGGGGGAGGGGGAGGAGAAGGGAGACGGGGAGGAGCAACAGGGAGGCCGGCGTATAGAGACTGACTCGCATACCGTGACCGGTATGGAGGCGTTGGCGAGAAGGGATTGTACGGAGCAAAGCCAGAGGTTGATGCAGGCGCTGAAGTCTGTTGTTGTGGCAGAGGCGCCGGTTCCTGATATTGTCTCCGTGCTGCTGGAGGATTGCGTGGTGCCCTGGGCTTTTGTGCAGGCTTTGGTGGTAGAGGTTGATTGACCTGAGTATGGTTGAATGACCGGAACCAACCAGATGCTGCGGTTTCCATTGCTTGAGCGATTGCCGATTGTCCTTCTTCGAACGCCGTCTGGTCATACTTTCGCTTGTTGTCCGCAATTGCTTCGACTGGGCTGGGAGAGGAGATTGTGGGGAGAGGTGTCGGAGAACCTTGCTGCTGAACAGGAGCCGAAGCCATTCTCTGTCCTTGAGTATGCCCAGATTCAGAAGGCATATTGTCTGGACTGGGATGAACTGTATTTGGCGCCACCATTTGTTGTGGGTGGAAACCTTGTCTCGCCAGACTTTCTAGCTGGGACCGAGTATTTTCGTGAGGACGTACTTGCTCCGCAATATGAGGGTATAGCTGAGATGTTTGGCTCCCAGGATCGGGATATTGGTATGCGTTTACAGGAGCTTGTTGAGAGTACGGATATCTTGGTTGCACATGACCATGTCCGTAGGCCAAATTCTGGTTTTTTACACCTGGATACCAGTTCGCCTGAGATTGAGGGAAGGACTGCCGATGTTCTGTCTGATGTCTCTCTTCTCTTGATGCTGTGGTTTGAGAGTACATCATTCCTGGTTGTGTATGACCATGTCCGTAGCCGAAATTCTGCTGATCTTGTACTAGTTGAGGCCAATTCGACTGAGGTTGAACGAAGCCTTGTTGATATGTTGTTTGAGTTGTGTCTCTTGGGGCCGAGGGAGTTTGATAGTTCATAGATCCTGTTTGGGCATGACTATATCCGTATGTTGAACTCTGCTCATTTTGTACTCGGACAGCTGGGTTCGACTGTATTTGATGGAACTGTTGTCGACTTTGTATCTGATTTCTGCCTTGGATCGAGATCTCGCTCGGGGTTTGTGCTTGCGGGTATCCTATGTTGGGAGTTGCGTTCGCGCTTGAAGGGGTGGGAGGGTTGCCAGTTGTGTGGCTATTGTATTGGCCGTCATACTGATTATTTGCGGGCTTGGCAGGGACTCCTTGTCCTGGATATCTCTGTGCCATGGTTCTTGTATCGATTGGCTTTGTGTATCTCGAAATATTTTGAAGTGTTTGAAGACCAGGTTGGGCTCAAGAGCGAAGGTCGCAAAATATGCTGAGAAAGTGGAAGTTTCTTGCCGAAGGTTCGAGAGATCAGGACTCGATATTGGGAGACAATAAGCAGTCAGCGAGTTGTGCAGATGGAATTGTTTGTGTGAGAGTTGAAATGTTGGTGGTTTCGATCTGGACCAAGCGGATATGTGCCGCTTGAGGAGGTCACTTGTTGCAAGTGGGCTTTTGTTGTATGCGACACACTAGTTAAGTTGAGAATCTAACGATTGCAGCGTGAATGACTTTTAGAAGAGCAGTAAGAAAGAAGTGTCGAATAGTTGGTGGTTTTGATTTGTTTCTGGAGGATATCGCTCCGTATGCGGCAATAAAGGGGTCACGTGCTGTGCGCGAGACACTAGTCCAGATGGCAATCGAAAGATCTCAGAGCGTGAATAGCTTTAAGAGTGGTGCTAGTCCAATTAAGAATCGAACGATGTCTGAGCGTGAATGACCTACTAAACTAGCAGTGCTCATAGCTTCATGACTTTTTTGTTTTTGCAAGACATCATGTGCGACAATAAAGGCTTATGCTATAATGCGAGTCACTCCCTACCTACCGTAAAGCAAGCACTAGTTTGGTTGAGAATCGAATGATCTCAAGGCGCGAATGACTTCCAGAACAGTGCTTAAGACACGAATGCTGAGGATTTCATAACTTGTACCGTGTGGCGACGACGGAAGTTTTTTTTTTGCAAAGAGTGAGGTACTGGATTGGTAGAGGCATGGACGTTCCAAGACGGGAACGACCTCTGCTCCAAAAGATATCATGCCTCTGTATTGTTGGCTAATATCTTAAAGGAGGTTGACAGACCATACTGTACTGGGGACTCTTTTGTTTCTGAAAACCCAAAATTGTCCCCTCTCGTCTTGAGGACTGCAAGTGTACTGGCACACCAGAAGACCATGGTACCCGAGACAAGAGAATAATGCGTGAAAGCTTCGTGCCTCTTAATGTGCGAGTTTGGAATTTTATAATATGGCAAAAGGCTCGAGTTCTGTCTGGCTTGTGGTCAATAAAATGATGAATTCCACGGGAACGGGAACACACATGGCACGGGGGATGCATACTGGCAGTTAAAATAGGAGTAGATGAAAGTAACACAAACATCAACTCTCCCCACGACCGCACCAGTGTCTCGCCTGAGGGACCGCGAGGTGGTTGAAAGAGAGAAAAAGCAAGAGAGAAGAATCAGATGATAGGGATTTATACCAAGATGGCGCTGGTGACAAACCTTTAGGTGTACTTTCCCAAGATTGAGGCTGCCATTTTGAGAGTTGCATTGCAAACTGCTCACAGTGAGCCTGCCATTGGTGTCTGCTTGTCTCACAAGCCATCTAACATTGAAATACTACATTCAAGATAAAGTTAGCTCTGTGTTAATATACTGTTTGTAACACCGTAACAACGTAAAACTGTATTTTCTTTACTTTTATGTTTACTCATCCTGCTTGGCTACAGCAAGCAAACTCTCAAACTAGGGCTTTTGCTTCCACAAACAGACATTCTTACCTACCGCTTCTTGACAAGATCAATTAAGGAAAAACTTCACATAGATGTAGTATTCAGGTAAGTGCTCGACTGCTCTAAGACAGAAGAACCCACTAGTAGAACATGCCGGTCGGTCTTGGAATTATTCTTGGGTGTCCCATCTGGAGCTCCAGTGAACCGTGCACCAGATAACCACCCCAACACGTGAGAATTGTTCAAGCATATTACAGTTAAGTTATTGCGAGTAACCGAGTTTTCTGAAACAATATTCAAAATATATTAAATATGCATTCATATGCTTCTCGGAAAAGTAAAAATTCTATGATGGTCAAGTGGTATCTGTCCTATGCACCCTCGCTCTGGATTGGTAATACTCTGAACATTCGAATACCACTTGAATTTAGCTCATTGTTCACCTCCATCCCCTTGGTTTAACCATCTCTTCATCCTCCAGCAGTTTCAGCTCTCAAGTGTCAGCTCCTAGGGAGCGAACCGCTGTGCAATAGCTACATACCAGACCAGTCAGCATTTCAACACACTATTTTAGCACCAGTCTGACTTACAATCGTGTCAGCTTTTTCTCTTAGATAGACATGGAAATTGCAGACCGTCAAGCTATTTGGTATCATCTGAAGAATTCTATCAAGATGAATTTCACAACAACCCCCGGGTCGATCACAGCGTTGCGTTATCTCTTGGCTCTACTACCCATAGAAGATATGACAACAAATGATGACAACCTAATTTTCAACGACACCTTTCTCAAGGCAACAAAGATCCAGGATCCAGTATTCATATGCCTTGACACCGAAGGAGATTCAGCCCGAGAATTTGGTATCTCCATCCTGGACACTCGCAAGCTCGAACACATTCTTTCCACGTCTGAAGCCCGCTCCACCTCTCTGATTTCCACATTCAACTATCATCTCCAAAGGCATGAGAGCTGAGTTTGAGCGGCCTTTCCAGTTTGGGATTTCTCGAATGATTGGAGCTGGCTCTGTTTTCCCTCTGCTCCAAAACATTTTCCGCACCGGCCATCCAGACTCCTCGCATCAGGAATCTCGAAACACCATCTTGGTAGGACACAGCGTCGATGGAGACATTGCAAGCTTGGAAAAAGTGATTGGGCGAGCATGGTCCATCCAAGACTTCCCATATTCTCTTGTATTCGACACCCAAGTTACTCGAAGAGGTTTGTTCGGTGGTCCAGCTCACAAGAGACTCGAAACACAGTTGATCAAGCTCCAGATCTCCTACAAGTATCTTCATAACGGCGGCAATGATTCGAATTTCACTTTGAAAGCCCTCTTAGCTCTGGCTCTCTTGGACTGTCCCGTAAACAAAGATTGCTCTTTAGAGCTGCGGAAAAGGAAGAAAATCATACGGGCAATCGCGCAGATGCCGATGCCCCCAAGAATCGCTGATCATCTCGAGCCTATTCCTCTTGACTCGGTGGATGAGTTGTAGGTACTTACAACGTCGCTCGAGATGAATTTAACTTATCGGAGCTTGATGACGACGAAAAAGTGTCCAGCTTAAGAACATCTGTGTAGATGACGATCGACGATATGGTAAATTGCCCCTTCTTAATTGCTGTCACTTTGTCGACGCGATATTAGGAGAAAAGTTGCTCTTGCCTTTTGACTGCTATCACCTTTGTTAAACCGTCTTTCTCAAGCTCAATTCACTTATATCTATCGTCCAGCATTCCCACCTCAGTCGGCAGAGTTTCTCCGACAATAAACATCCAAGTATAAAGAGAAAGACTGGAAAGACAGTAAAACAACAGTAATTCGATCTATCTCCAAGGTCTGAGACGCTCTAACCCAAGGATCCACACAACAATATCCATCCTCATCATCCGCATTCCAGAGAACGAAAGTCCTCACAGCCTGACCGACATTCCAGTACCCTAAAGTCATGACCCTCTCTTCCTATTTGGCACCTTTCTATCTCTCTTCAACCATCCGCATAGTCTACAATCCCGACACCTCAACCTCCAACGCTTCAAATGCATCATCAGCACACTGAACTATCTGAAAATTTCAAAATAGGGAATCATACTACTCGGAGTTCTCCAATTTGACAAGCCATTTCCATACAAAAGGCCCAAATTCATTCTCTACCCTTTCCCGTTCTACCCAGTTTGAGCCTGTCCCTGCCGTTTCTGTTCATCTCTCTGCTTCTTCTTGAAGAGCTTGTATATCCACTTGATGATCGTGAATTGGTAGAGGAATCTCATTTTGCACGAATCGGCGGATAAGCAAAGAATAATCGAATCAGATCTAGAATAAAGTAAGGGAGGAAGGAAAAGAACAACTTCTCTTGTGTAGAGATGTTGATGAATAAGAGAACACAGATGACGTTGTGATGAGATTACTAAAGCCGCTAACATCGTAGCGAGACCTTAGCTCCTTCCCCCTTTTACTTCAGAGAGCACGTGCAAAGGAAATGGCTAAGCGATCGTATATCATTTTCTCATTGACCCATCATCTCCTAGACATTGAATTTCGGCATCAAAGCTCCCAGAATGCACCTTCCCACCTTCGCTCAAAATGCATGCACGAGCCAAACCAAACTCCAATCGATGCTGCCCAAGTCTTTTACTCAGAAGCCATCATCCACACTTTAGCCTTCAGCTTCTCTAGCACCTCCCTCCTAATCCATTGCACATCTCTTCCTTCGCTCGTGGCTTGATCAGCCCATTCAAACAACAATCGTAAACCTAACAGACGATCCTTCTTGCCACTTTCAAGAGTCGCATGCTCCAGGACCAATCGTGCATCGACGACAGTCTCCGATGTACCAGCATGTACATCAGTAGCACCACCATGATTAGGCGGAAGGACCAAAGCTCGTTCTGCTTTTGTGAGAGATGCAAAAGCAGGTAGCTCGAAGATCCACTCGAGAGCATGAGAGGTATTTGTAGTCGCATCATTCAAAGCCTGTAATGTGGATTGGAATGGCGAAGTAGTGGCGTCATGAGCTGGTCGTCGACGAACGTATATGGTCTGTGTAGATCTGAATGCAGCGATATGCGTTTCGTTCTTCTGGAGATCAAGTACTATGTTCCAGTACTCAGGGCTATCCGTGCGCACGGTATTGATTTGATCCAATTCTGGTAGTAGACAAGGCGTATGACGCCGAGTATGATCACCGCCTCGTGTGGTAATAATTATTGGAACGGGTACAGGTTGATTGGTATCGATATCTCTGGCTACAAGGCAACGAGGTTCCGCTGCCATGACCCAGAAATGGCGGAATGCTTGGAGGTGTGACTTGTTGTCTTGTACTGAAGACGGGAATATCGGGTAAAATGCCACCACCAGTGCAGCAATGGCTAAATTTGAGGTGCCAAAAGTGAACGTGCCACCACCAAGGAACAAGGCACCAAGTGCTAAGTGAGCGGCAAGATGACTGCCATATGGTGTCTCGCTGTCGTCACGACCATGCATTGAACGTAGTCTTCGGAAGACTTCGAGATCTCCAGTACCAGCCATGACGGTAGCCAGCGAAAGGGCCACAAGATCTTGACAATTCCGGACCGTGTTCCTTGCAAGCTTCTTGTCAAATGTATCTGCGTCTAACCGACAAATCCTCATGAACTGATCGAGGTAATGGATCAACAGGTTGCGAACAGGCAGAGATGCCGATCCTGCGAAACGAAGTGCAATGCTGAAACAGAGTCCAGTGACGATGTTGTAGAATGGTAGGTCCGAACTTGTCAGGAAGGTGATATTTTCAAGCTCGCTCTTATCGCGATAGGGCACCGGCAAATTGCTTTTGATCCAGAAATGTGAATCCCCTATGTGCTTCCACATGATGAGATGCCGAGCTAATGTTCGCAGAAGGAATATGTCAGGGCGAACATAATCGAATTGCAAAAGAGAATCTGGGACATCGATCTTCTTTGCCAAGACGTAGTTTTCCGACTTCATGAAAATAAGGGTAATCGCAATCACAGCCGCTGCTGTTGCTTTGTCCAGTACATGAGTAAGGTCCACCTTCTTACTCCCAGCAGCAAGTGTTAGTAATCGTTCAGTAAGTCGCATGTCGTGCAGTCCACGAAGATCAGAGCCTTTGCCCAAATTGATGAATCCCAGTGCAAAACCTGCCGCGAGTCGATACCCTTCATTTCGCAGTGGCTCCTCATCTATCTCAGTGTCAATATGTTCGATCTCCGAGACCATGATTTCACTCATACGGCGGTGTTGCGTATTGCAGTACAAGAGACCAATGCCCATAATTCCAGTTGTCTGTGTCAGTGGTGAAAGGTTGAGCTCTGCGGCACCTGGAGGCAGCATACGTGTGACATGAACAGACAACAGTCTTGTAATGAGTGAGTCCATCGTACCGATGTATGAGGCAGCTAAACCGAGCAACAGACCAATCGAGGTCATGTTATGCTTTGGCGTTAGGTATTTGAATGCTACCCACTTTGCCAAAGTCTTCAAATGGCCATTCAGTCCTAAGGCTAGCAAGAAACCAGCGTGTCGATTGTTTAAGTCTGGAATCGGCTTGTTGTATAAGATCCACGACGTATCTATGCCTTTTGCGTCGCGGGATATACTGAGCCCTGCAGAGACTCCCGAGTGGAAGAAAGCCCATCCAATCTTTTCTTCAGAGAAGGCTGCTTTGTCCGCGTTAACAGTATTGTTGTCGGGTTTCATCACGCAGGTCAGGTTGAACCCAGGGAGATGCCATTTCTGCGTTAGCAGAGGGACCCGAGCACTGAAGTATATTAGGCCCCTGCCTGAAGGAATTGCAAGTGTGCGATAAGCAAGCATTTGAGCATGCTCTTTCTGTGCTTCCAATAATTCTGATTCTGTCCATGTGGGCTGAGCTCGCACGCGTGCTATGGTAGGCTTAGAAGTGTCGAGTATAGTCATAGCTTCGTTCATCCTTCTATCGTCCTTGAAAATGGAACGAGTAATGGACTGCCGCTCGACTTCAGCTGACCCATCAAATGGTCCTGACGTTTCTGGTTCTGCAGCAAAATTGCAAATCGCGTGAACATCAAGATTCGCTTCGTGCGATGGTGCCTATAATGGTCAGAACCCAGTAATTCCTTGTCTTCGGTGAACTTACTAATAGGGTTGATTGTATTTGACGGGGTCGTTGTCCAGGTCTCAATAGCATTGTGACATCTTCACGACCAACCAATGCTAGCAACTCTTCACTCCAGTTGGCCGGAGGCTCTGTCTGGCTTTGTATCACGGCCTCTTGCAAAGGTACTAAGATTGTTTCGGGCAAAGTCTCTAGTAGAAGTAAGTCTGCTCCAGCGGAGGATAGCGTTTCCACTAATTGAACAGCTGACCAGCCGGGCTGCATGTTGCTGAAGAATTGTTCGAAGAGAAGTGTTCGGGGTGTCAGATTGTTCCACTGCTCGAGATCTTGAGCATTCTTGCGAGAAGACTCAGACCGAGATGCAACAAATTGTGGAAGGGTCATGAAAGGAGTGAGCGTTCGGGAATACAGACAAGCTTGAATCCAGTCATATATTGCTGGACACTCGAAAGTTTGAGGGATCGTCGATCTTATAGGAGAGTCTAGAAACAAGATCAGCTATGGAAAGTTTCATGCACATAGTGTCTTACCATTATCAAAGTCCAAGTCGACCAAGGAAGCCTCCTCGAACTCATAATACTGAATCCAAGTGTCCCAACCCAACCACCTAGAAAGTTGAGCCAAAATCGGCCCCAAGCTTACAACACCAGCTGAAAGAGAGTCTGCCATAGTTGTATCTAACTTCTGTTCCTCATTCCAGAGATGAAGCCCAACGAACGTATCAGCGAGAGCAGCCTTTCTGACTTCAAGGCTCTTGCTGTCAGATGTAGGCAGACAACCCGACATTGAATCTTGACCAAATTTCGTATTTGAGAAATCCCTTGCAAGTTTCACATGCTTTCGGACAAGAGAAGGATTGTCAGCCCCGTTTGGCTGGAAAATTGAGCTCAAAGAACCAGTATCTTGAGATGCTGACTCCATTTCTGTAAGCCATTTCCAACCATTGTTAGATGCCCATCCAGGTACCGGGTTGCCATTCGATGTCTCTTCATTTTGCATCAAATCCCAGTTCTCGAAGTCTGATTGTGCTCCACTACTTGATCTCAGAAAGCCACGAGACTTTTTCTTGGCATGTGTCTGTCGAGGTTGCGCCTTGGAGGTGACACCGAGTGCAAGAGCCAAGCAGAATATTGTGATTGTAAGTGCCGACCATTCAGTATCAACAACGTCCATAGACTCAAGTCGAATCCACTGTATGACGTTCCACCAGAAGACCAAGATCCCTTCTCCACCTCTCGAACCTGGAAGGACAGCTCTGCACACCTCCAGAATTCTTCGCACATGAGGATTGCGAGGTTGAAGCACTAGTTGTAGTTGGTGCATCTTTCCCTCATCATCGAGTAGATCAACGACTCCGCCTGGCTTCGCATTCCGTAGTCCTTGAAGCGCACGTGGCCCCTGGCTAAGCACCCGCTTGAACCCACCCTCTCGTTTAGCGCGGGGTATGGGGTTGTGACTTAAGATCCGCGTATTGCTAATCATGAACTGGCCAGGTAATGGCACCTTCATCAAAACGCTCCATGGTGCTTGTAGACTGAGTTCTCCGTAACCATCTGGTGTTTCGGTGAGGACCAAAATGCGTGATACGTCACCGTCATCAATTCGACAGGCGTCTATTACCCCTTTCGCTCTCATGATATGACCGAGAGTGACTACGCTCACGTCTCTCTCGGACGAAGCCATGTTATTGGCATTGAGATCTGTCTCGGCTTTATGGACTTTCAAGTAGAGAGTCAACACCAACAGCTTCTTCTCGTCAGGATCGAGAATGCAGAATACAATAGTATTTCCTTGTTTGTCGTCGGCAGCTGATGGCGGTGCTGTAAGAGTAAATATTTTACATTGAGCGGCAGCAGGCACATGCTGTGTTGAGTAACGAACGTTTGAATGCTCTGCAGAGACACTGCTGACATGTGTAAGAACAATTTCCTGTCTAAGTGCATCAAACTCCTCGTCATCAAGGCCCATGTTGTGGAAGCCTTCAAAATCACCTCCCGCACGCAATTCGTCCAATAAATCATCTACTGGAGCTTCGAGATAGCTGTTAAGACTCTGATTGAACTGTGTCGGCTGTGTGAAGCTTGTCCCACTCGCACCTGCATAGGTACCAATACTGTTCCTGACATGTTGGCTGCCCAGAGACTCTCCACGTCGGAGAGGTTGATGACCAGTCGCTAGCTCTGAGAAAGCGGATCGTTCGTGAGATGCAGACAGATCTGCCCTGGCAAGCATAGAGCTAACCCGCCTTGATTTCCTCCTTGGCACTGCATTACTTTCGAAATCAGGATCAAGAGAAGACACCAGGTCTGCGATCTGGTCTTTAGACTCTTCATTCTTGACAGGCTTCCTGCTGGCTATCGGAGCATTACCACCAAGACTCTCTCGCAATGTGGACTGTCCATTCCCAACCGGAGTGGTAGCGCCTGTCCCTGTGCCTGGCACAAAGGAACTTCTTCTCCGAGACATAGTTCCGCTCGGAACTCGCTGTTTATGCGGCGTACTAGACTCTTCGCCGATATAAGCGAATTTCCAGACTGTATACATGCTTGTCTCCCGATTCAAGGTCAGGGCAAGAACTAGAGGATTGTTGCTTGACTTCGGAGAAAACTCATCTCGACGGGATACATGAAGGATCTCTTCTGCAGTATTCAACGCCGTGATGTTCATTGAGCTTCTTCTATGCCTGCGATTCTCTGATTTTGGCGCTTGCGAAACGACCAGGCCCATCTCAGCAAGAGGATCAGACAGCGAAAACAAGCGTGGCCAATTTGAATCATTCTTCAATGATGGAGGATCCCACATGTCCTTCAGGGTTGAGTGTGGTATGGTCATCTGCTTTGGCGCTCCGAGATCTGCTATAGAAAAGGTAGATTGTTGCGAGCTTGCAGCAGAAAATGGCTGTGGTTGGGAAGAGACGAAGGAGTTCGGTGGCACTCGTGGAAACTTGAGGGAAGCTGCCACCAGATTGTCTACTCGAAGCTTGCGCTGTATGATTAGGCCATTCGGAGTAGCAGAGGCCGACTCAACCTCAAATGGCAGATGTATAACATGGCTGGTGCCGGAAAGAAAATAGACGTGCGCCTGGGTTTTCAGAAAGACGACGACTGCGGTTTCCCTGCGTTCCTGACTCCGTATCTCCAGGGGTAGATTCTTTTCTTTGGCAGCAAGAGGTCCAAGACTTGGAAAAGTCGTCAGTAGAGCCTGAGTGACATCCTCGTTCTCCAAATCGAATTTGTAGCTCTTTCGAAAAATACCGCCTCGAGACCATATAACACATCGCGGAGCGACAAGGAGCTCATCATCGTCGAATGATCCCCCTGCATGTTCTTCGCAATAGTTGAGCCACTTGTAGGAATCGCTGGGCGGATCGGGAGGCACAAGCCGTTCTTGTATCGCATATTGTAGCCCTGTAGGCTGATGAAAGCCTAACGAAGTGACCGAAGCCATTTCTCAGGGATCAAACTTCAAGTCATCGACGCGTACAAATCGGCATATCGTTAGGTATACGAGCCTGTTCTTGGCGAATGGTGATGGCAGAGGATTGTTGCAGATCCAATTGTTGACTTTGAGTCGACGCGTTGGTTTGGGACAAGGCTGAGATGAGGAAAAGAGGAAAGGCTGTCGCGTGCACGGACCATTAAAGAAGACCTCAACCACGATCTCACTTCACTTCATGCACCTCCAACAACCTTCAAGCTTCTTCTACAACGATATCAATCAGATCTAGCTCTTTACGTTTGGCAAATTTTGCTTTGATGCTATGATGTTGTCATGTCAACGGGCATAGCAGCAAATTCCTAGAGATCTTCAGAATGGGCAAGACGTCTGGATCCTGGGGAATCAAGATTTCCACCCAAGGACAAGTGTCATTGGTGAATGTTGAATATACTTAGCAGTGGCATCTTACTATATTCTGTGCTACAGTCTTTCTTATAACTTCTCTGCTATTTGGAATTGGGAGTCTTCTGACTTAATCCAGTTTATCGCATCCCAATTCCAAGTGCACATGCATGCCAAACATCCAAACCTCTACTATACGGCGCTCATTCTCCGTTTCCTATCCGAGTCAGCGCCTTGATTTTCTCCTCAAGCATGCCAAGATACATTTGATCAAATACAGAAGTATTTGCCTTTTTAGGACAAAGCGTTTTAGATTACTCAACATCTGCGAGACGAAACTTCAAGCATCCCGTAAGCTGGAGCGTCTTGCGCACGCTGATTTGAGCCAGCACTCCTTGAACATAGAGCAATTGATGACCGAGAGTCTACAGTTTAGTAGCATGTTATTCCATTGTAGAAAGCTATCTACATTGTATATAGAGCTTGACCAAATCCTCTCTCTCGATTCTCCATCTGGTTTTCCTCATCATCACACACACAATTCAGAACCTCTATTCACACAACCTCGAAACCAAGTCACGTCTCGCACAACCAACCACCACCACAATGCCCTCATCCTCCTGCCTCTGCGGCTCCAACCTCATCTCCTACACCGGCACCCCCACCCTCAAATTCCGCTGCCACTGCACCGACGAACGCAAACTCACCGGCGCCGCCTTCGCCCTGAACGTGCTCTGGCCGAGCACCACCCTCTCCGTGGTATCCGGCGCCCTCAAAGTCTGGGGCAAGGACGTCGAGAACGGGAACACGATCTCCAATCACTCGTGCGGCGAGTGCGGGAGTCTGCTGTATCGTACCAGCACGGGCTATCCGGGGATGATGGTCCTCAAGGCCGGGTGTATGGATGATGGTGTTGAGGCGACGAAGGAGTTTGTGCCTGAGGTGGAGATTTACACCAGGAGTAGAGCGCCGTGGGTTCCGGCGGTGGAGGGCTCGGTGCAGGAGTGGGCGGGGTTTGGATCTGGTGCTGAAGGGGTGGCTCAGAAGTGAATTGGAATGAAGACCTCGGAGATTTGGTGGCGGCTATGCTGAAGCGAGATGGACGGAGAGTCAATTCATTATTTCACCCAATATAAGTTGTCGAAGATAAAAGAAAACCAGATATTCAAAAAAATCCTCGATTGTCCGTTCCTAGAATGAGAACTTTTGGCAGTCTCAACAACAAAGACAAGAAAGCCAGACATTCAAACCCGACTCGACCATCATTTCCACCCAAGGAACCCAAACTTCCCACTTCTTCAACCGTCAAAGTAAAACATGAAAACAAAACCCAAGTATCCCCCAAACCCCCAAACACAAAACTCAAACCCGAATAACAATCTTTCCCACAACACTCCGCCCCATACTCCTCTCAAACGCCTCCCTCGCATCCTCCCACTCAAAAACCTCCATTAGTGGCTCTAACTTATACTCACTCGTAATCTCCAGCAACCGCGCCACATGCTCGGTATTAAACCCAAACACTCCCCTCACTACCGTATTCCCACATTAGCTTTCCTTTCCTTCCCAACAGCAAAATCAATCACAAAACAGAGGAAAGTGTGATAAAGGAAAGAGAGAGAAAAAACACATACCAATCTTCCCCCCATACAAAATATCCGGGACCAAATCACTCTTAGGGCCACGCTCCGATTGATCCAAAAACCCAATAAGAGACACCAACCCGCCCTGTTTCACACATTTCAAGCTAGTAGCCAGGTCGCCCGCGACGTCGAGGACGTGGTCTACGCCTTTGCCGGCGGTGAGGGCGAGGAGGTCCGCGACCCAGGTGGGGGAGGTGTAGAGGAGGGTGTGTATTGCGCCGAGGGATTTGGCGAGGGTGAGTTTGGTGGGGGAGGAGGAGGTTGCGATTACGGTTAGGCTGAGGGAGGAGGCGAGCTGTGGGAGTTAGGGGGGGAGGGATAAGGAGAGGAAGAGGGACGGACTTGGATTGCCGCACAGCTGACACCGCCCGTGCCTATTGTTAGGATTGCTGTTGATGGATGGATCAGTAGGAGGACACCAAGGAGCAAGTTGAGTGAAGTTGTCGCTCTGAATAGGTAGGTGGTTTCGACGTACTCATCCCGGGCTTCATCTCCATAGGCCCAAAGAGCAGGGCGTTGAGAGCTGTTGCGCCAGCGGCTGGTATCGCGGCTGCTTGTTCGTAGCTTAGATGTGCTGGTACACTGAAGAGCTCAGATTCGTCCTGTGGGGATCCATTAGTTAAGAAACTCGTTCAAGTAGAGAAGGAGGATATACGACAATAGCGTATTGTCGGAGCGTTCCTTGCACGGAACCAGCGCCTCGGCCACGCATTTCTTCGAGGGAAGGAGGGGGGGTTGAGGTAGTGTAGCCGGGGAGAGGGTGCATGATGATGCGGTCGCCCGGTTTGTAGGTTGAGGTGGGATGGGAGGCTATTATTTCGCCGGAGCCATCGGCGCAGGGAGAGAGCGTCGGGATGTTGGTTAGGGGATAGATTGGGTCTTTGGTTTGTCGTTGTTAGATAGAGTGTGAGATGGAGAGACGAGGGAAGGGATAAGTACCGTGAGCAATGACCATCACGTCTCTAGCATTTATACTTGCAGCTTTGATTCTGATAAGGACTTGATTTTCGCCTAGATCTTTGGCGGTGGGTGTTGGGACGGAGGTGTTGAGTTGGAGATGAGTTAATGCTTCGGGTGAGCGCCAGGATACAGATGGTAGGGGAAGGATTTGCCATGCTTGGGATGTCATTTTGGTCTTTGGTCCTCTTGGAATAATATACGAAGAAGTGCTGGGTGTGCAAATTCAGGTAGCTTGGTCTCTTGGAGGAGAGGTTATGTACTTATTATCGTGGAACGATGACCTTTATTTCAAGTAAAGATTATATATCAAATCACTCGATCCGGACTACTTTCGGCTTGTAGATCTCATTCTTGATAACCTTCTAATATGAGGTTTGAGGCGGTGTCCAAATCGTACGAACAGCCCAATAACCATTCACCAAGTGGACATCTTAACTCTAATGTCCTCTCCACTAAGACTAGAACTGTAGCAAGGAAAGCAGACTAGAGCTAACATGCGACGAAAAGAATATAATGATTATTGATCAAAAATGTACAACCTCACTTCGAGGCCAGAGTACTCCCATTGTTGGGGAGAAAGTTGGATTTATCATTGGTACAGCACCACGAGCACGGTCACGTGATCGGTATGATTATGCATCTTTCCGACTGCTAAGAAGATAGAACAGATTACGACTTAGAGACGAGTAAAGCCATGTGAAAGCAAAAGAGCTGAAGAAAGCAAAAGAGCTGAAGAAAGCAAAAGAGCTGAAGAAAGCAAAAGAGCTGAAGAAAGCAAAAGAGCTGAAGAAAGGAAGAAAGCTACCATGACATTCTGAAGAAAACCGAGTTAAAATCCACGTGACAGCATCCTCACATGCCCGATCTCGAAACAAGCTTCACCTCAAAGCTTAACCACCAATTAATCCGGAAGATCAAACAACTCTCTCCATCAGATCAAAACCCATTTAGCACTCATCACCAGGTTTCAAAAGCCCTCGGCTTTCAGCTGACGATATCCCCATTTACCAAACGATGGAGAAACACCTGACTCTCTTCAGCTTGGCATCTGAATCAATCACGCCAAGCTTCGTCCCTGAAGATCCCCCTGAAGCGTTCGATCGATCATCAGATAAAGATTGTTTGTTTCAGCTTTCGATCATTGGGAAACACTCGAGTCCATTTTTGTGATGTTGCCATCGTCTTTTGGGGACATGGACGCGCGTTCATGGCAGGAAAAGGGAAATTCCGATCCAGATGCATGGATGTATGCACAAAGAAGGAAAGGGAAGGGAAGGAAGGGAAGTGTGCTTCCCCACCGAGGGAGGGACAGATCTGGTTGCTATCAAGTTTTGAAATCGTCAACAATTCTCTGAATGTTGTCAAGTCTCTGATTATCGTCGACCCTTTAGCCGTTATGAAGCCTCTGTTTATTGTCATATACTTGGCTGCCATCAAGTCTTTGATTGTTATCAAATCTTCAACCATTGTCAAGTGCTGCGCGAGAAACCCAACCGCCCCACCCTAAACCACACCCCTCCTCCCCATTAAACACACTCCAACAACCCCAACAACATCCTCTGGGTCTGCATCCTTCATCTTGGCATCGCCATTGTATCGGGGAAACGGAGTTTGTGCTCCGGGGAGGGGTTTATATACCCCGGAATTAAGTTTCTGTTTTCTGGACGGACGGAGAAGATTTTGACCGTTATTCTATTCACTCCTTTCTCCGTTCGTTCCCCGAATTTCTGTTAAGAATTTTTCTTATAAAGCACTCTTTTAAATGGTTCTCCTGGAGGATAAAAATTTCTGAAGGTCTTGGAAGTCCCATCTTATGAAAGGACATATCTAAGGCAAAAAAAAGTCCTTTCAAATGGCCGGAAATTTGCTATTATTCAGATAATTTTAACCCAATCTTAAAGAGAGCGCATCATTGGACATGCAGGTACCCATGCGGCGCGAGTCAGCCTCCTTTTTTTTATGAGTTGATCCAGAAGGAGAGATTTCGATCTTCTGGCCAAGAGAATGCTGTGCTGTGCTGTGGTTGAAAGGAAACGGTTCTCGGGGATTCGGGGAGAATGTGGGTTTGTGTCTGCAGGAGAGGGGAGACTTGGGTACACACATAGAGAGGCAATCGATTAAAATGCTACAGAGGGAAGAGTTGGATGCACACTTGCAACATGAAAAGGCTTCTTGCTTTATCTAGCTGCAGGAATCCAACTCCCATATCGAGTCGCACAACTTTGCTTCACAAGAGATAGATAGATAGATCGATCAAGGTCTCGAATTCATGATTGCGGAAGGCGGATAAGGTTGAACTTAGTCAATATCAATGAATCGTGGGGTTGGCGGATTTCATGCGCTTATCTACTTGAGATATGGCCCGTCTTGGAAGTTGGAAGCCCCGTCCCTTAGCCCATCCATCGCTCGACGCTACGGAAGGAGAAAAGGAGCGAGCACATGCTCATTTGTTCTCTGAACAATTATCATCTCCGACCAATAAACAATTGCCTGTCGTCTTCTGCTCAATTCTCATTTTCACCGCATGTTGTGTCTGGAAGAGGAAAGCCCCTGAAAATTATCAGATGGGAGATCATTGGATGACACCGCCAATACCCCGTTTGATGCGCATCTCGCTACCCGCTGTCGCTGTCGCATCCTGGCTGCTGTATGGTTCATCACAGACCGCGTCAGGGGTAAAGAGAAGCCACATGGACAGATTGATGGATGCATGGACGTTATCCCCCAAGAAGCGATCATTTTATAAATGAAATCTCCTCGTTTCGCGATAATGGATGATGGGTGATGTAAAAATAGAATTCCGAATCCGGGCAGCATCTCGAGGTGTCGAATATCGAACGAACGAACGAACGAACGAACGACGAATCCTTCACGTGAGAGATGCCTTGTTGTGGAAAGGTTGAAATGCAAGAAAGACGACGGTGCGAACGTTGTAAACGACGGGCCGTAAGTATTTGTTTTTTCTTGCTTGTTCATTGGTGGGTGAGTGTTGAGCTGCCAAGTCTGGAACTCTTGTTGACAGTTTGAGAAAACGCCACTACCGCAATCTTAAATGCACCAAGCCACCAGCCCAGCAGACGCTCCTGTGGTCATCGTTCGTAATTTAATTCGACCATTGCTGTGATTTGTTGCCGAGAATCCGGCTGGGTGCTTCTGCTTTGGACCCCTGGTCCCGTGCCGGAATATTGTACATGTAGTGTACGGCGTGCAGTGGTAATGGTTGCTGCTTTCCATTTTGAGAGGGGAGACTCGTAATCAGCTCTACTCGTAAACTCGCAAACTCGCAAACTCGCAAACAGCCCCTTTCGGTTGTTGACTCCTTCTAGCTTGGCTCTTCCTTGGCTTTGTCTTCCAAGTCTCTCGTCATCATGTGCTACTAGTATCGGATTGCGTTGCTACTGTACTGTACTGTACTGTACATCGCACAACTTTCTTGTATTTCGAACCCACCGCACATAGCATAGCCGTGTGGGTAAGTTCCTCTTGGCAGTCTGGTTGTAATTTATACTTCTCCGATCGACGCCACATTGCGATCTTCCCATTGATCCAAAGGTTTACTTGTATCTCGCCTCAATTCTTGGCTGGCACAAGCGGGCACCACCCCAGGAGATGCAGCCAGCAACCCCTAAAATTTTATCCGGGCTTCCGTCTTGGGCCACATCCTCGTCGGTCCCGTCAGTCCTCATCATCATCATCCCCAATCTACTCCTGA